AAGCCCGTCGCTGCGTTGTCTCGACAGAAGTCTCCTCTTTATCATTAGTTGAACAAAACTGATAGATATAAGCGGACCGGGATGCCGGAGAAATTTTACCACCCTGTCCTACGTTAGACTATGTACTAGCATCGTCTCCAGAGATGGGGCCTAGCCAAAAGTGATTCAGGTGAGACTCCTGGGTGTAGAAAAAGAGGCTTTCTAGCTCTATGATCTTCATATACAGAGATGATACCGAAGCCCCCAACCTTAAACGTCATCAGTTTGTTTAGGGGTCCCTGACCAAGCTGCCAAGGGGGGAAAAACTAGCTAAGGAGGTTAGTTCCTCTAGTAGACTGGTACCTAGCTGCCATGGATAAATACTAGGATGTAATCTGCGGAGGCTTTGGTTCAGCCTCCTTGAATACCTTACATAGGATGTTCAGCGAACACGATCGTAGACATAAGAGGTAGGTACCGATAGACATGTAACAAACCGATGTTAGTTATTGCCATACCATCACGCCTTTCTCAAATGCGAATCTCGCAGATACGCATGAAAGCAAGATCAGTTGACTGGCGGATAACAGTCCCGCTATAAAGACAACAGTGGAAGTATCGAGAATTTGGGTACGTTTTGGGTACGTAAAGGAATCAAATGGAGACCTTTCATATGCGATGGTGAGACAATAGCTCCGACTTGCCTATTCAGGTTGATTTCCAATACTTTAGTCTTGACGCCAACCTAGACCTGGCAGCTTGAGATATGCATACGTATTCGCTGTGTGGAAAGCTTCTCGAAGGTCGCCCCGCTCGCCTAAGTGTAGTTATATGGATAAGGGTAGGAGGGGAGTCGACTAGGTTAAGGAATAACCTTGAACAAACTTCCCCTGTCTCGGTCCGTGAGTATATGACGGCTCTGATTGGTGACACATCTATAGCCTTCAACTCCTTTAGGCAAGCTAACCAAGTAGGCTAGCTGTAACCGATCACAATGACGCATCTGGGGTGCAGGGAACCAAGTCGGTACGACCGAGATGAGGGTTTCCGACTTCTCCTCGACCGAACTGATAATGCGAACTGCAGAACCTGCAGATGCCAGCATAAGAGCTCCAAAATATATATCAAATTTTTAAATTTTCCTTCGTGGAGATGGCATATCAGCCTGTCATAAGGAGAGGATCGTTACATAAACTCCGCTTTTTACTCCTGTGGTCCTGTGGGGGAACCATAGAACCTGCAACTAAGGTGAAAATCATTTCCAACAGAAACACACAACTTTCTCACTTAACTTTGTACCACGAAGAAACTCACGATATTTGCCCTGGGAGAAAAAAGTTAGAAAAATCTAATGTAGGATCGTAGTGTAAAAAGTAGCTAGAGCGTCCGCGATATCGTCATCAGCGTTCCCGGCGAGCGAGATCCGAATCCGCTTGGCACTCCTTAGCTCTTTATCCAGAACACTGGGACGTCTCAGCGCCACGCTAACCAGAAACTGCCTGCTCCCGATGTCACAAATGTGACAAGTCAGAATGGTTGTTGGATCGGATCACAGGCCATAGCTCCATCCATAGATCTCACCGAAAAGCCAAAGAGGTTTTCGGTTTACTTGATATAATCGACTGTCTCCTCTCAAGACAAACATGGGTCTACTTACCGAGCAAGACAAGCTTAACCTGGATAATCAGGTCGAGAATGTCCGAAAGCCAGGCCTCTCCTCCGTAGTGATACCCCGTTAAGTTGAATTGTTAATATCTGAAGGAGTCTTATAGTCTCTTGCATAGTGCAGTAGGTAGCATCGCAGCACGGCGCGAGCAAGATACCTGAATTATGCTAGACCATCCAACTTAATTGATCGAGGTCTATAGTGTATCGTTCACCAGTCAACCCCGAGAATTGTTAATGTTGTCCCACCTCGGACTAAATTTTGGATACGGCCAGCCATCGCTGCTGTATGGCATGAAGAGTGTAGGATGTACCCCTTATTTCTTTAGATACATATGCATACCTCTTAGCGTGCCGGAGGGGTGACCTTCGAGCATCGCTAGAGCGAATCTACACTTCTCGGTATTTGCCAATAGCTGCGTGCTGCGATGGGGAATTCCTTGGTGAAAATTTTTAATCAACATACATAGAAGCTAAGGATGGAGTTCGAACAAAAGATCCCTTGACCCGGAGGTATTACGGACGACGATCATAGACTACCAATGGAAAAGAGAGGCGCTAACGCAAGCAATGGGATAGTAAACACGATTCGGGCCTAGCCGTATTTTGTTGAGCCTCCACACAGAAATGCTACCTAGACGACTATTGGCTAGGCGTAGGTAATAAGAAATAACCATGGTTGAATACTGCCGTGAACTGATGTACTTGTGTCAGTCGATAAAGATGGCCTGTTGCCTCATAATTTGGAGTTTAATATTGTATAAAATACATACAAGTAATATACCTAATGTAGGTATGTATATCAGCAGCCGGCGTCGTACATCCACGGATTACTCGTATTCGCCGATTCCTTCTGTTGTTACAACGATCGTTTCTCGAGCTTCCGGATATAGGCTGGTCGTACAAAGCATTACTACGTCTTGTCTCTTTAAAGTACCTAGGTAGTTCGGTCTCGCATCACGCTGCATGAGCAAGTCCGGCAGCGCTTATTTCGAGTTACCTCGCAGGGAAAGGGATGAACCCGAGTGGAAGAAAATAATAAGAAGGATTCCTGAAAGAAATACTATGTAGAGTTTTGCTGAATACTACTACCGAGATATTTGCTTATACCGATGCACATGTGCCGCATGCATCCCAGGCCGGTCCAAGTGAGTTGTATCCAGCGGGCTTCGGCTGCTAGGCCGGTACTGTGTAAGTATGTGTATTCTGCGTATAGTTATACGTACACGCGTACAAGTTTGGCCGTCGTACACGACATGTGGTTGCGATTGATGTTGATTCGCATACTACCGCGCGACAATCCCTGAACCTGATCAACAGCGCGTCTAGTGAGGCTATAGTGAGGCGAGCCAAAGTGACATTGGGTAATAGCGATCGTCGGATCGGCTAGCCAGGCGAAGGTGTCAGTTAGCCGCCGGCCGCCAGAGAGGCTTCGATGACCGAAGGATTTATGGTGCATACATGCTGCCGTGTAAGTGGGACTCGGCAACGAAATGGAAGCGGGAGGGATCCGCAGGTGATAAAGTGCTATCGCCGAATGATACGAGTTCCGGAGGTTTAAACGACGACGTCAACAATTATGGAAATTATAAGAACTAGGGGTAAATCGTACCATTAGACGTAGATTATGTTCGGTTTACATTGACTTTAGATACTCTTCATATCGGGTTACGAACTTTATGATAACAATGGTACTGAATTATACAGACATTTCCACTCCGTCTAGCCCTACATAACAAAGCCGTGAAAGCACGTGCTCGTACTGAAATTCCCTATTAGTGATATCAACTAGGTTGCTGTAGCTAAGTATTCAGGAGATTATAAGGCTTACGTACCTATTATTGTTATGCATTATCCATGTTATAGAAGTTATTCTAAGCTATTGGCATGTGTACGTAGAGAAGTGAGGCAACGTGGTTGGGCATTCATAAAGAATACGTACAAACCTATAATCCAGAAGGTCACAAAACATGCATATACAACACTGTATGCAAATGCAGCCTAACAGTAACACCCTGGATATCATAATCCCGATATCAGGTTAATGATTTGCCACAACACGTAGCTCCCCTTATACGCCAACCCTATTCTCACACGTATAAATACCAACCTTCTCATGCCACCTCGTTGCGTAATACAGAGCTTGGAATCCTGAATTCCAGTAGTTGATACCTTACGACACGGTAAGTTCTGGGATCTTACCTAGAGTTGGGCGGTATTATAGCTCTGACACTCTGCGATATTAGGCATTTACGCTCTTTGACAAAGTCGGTGTAGAGTTGAGAAGGTTAGTTGAAAGACACGTCGAGAAAAAAAAGCTTCCACGAAACGACAATCATGCTCATATTCGCAACATGCCAAGTCACTATTATGTACGACTCTTTCGTGGCACGAGGAATTGGGCATGAATACCAGAGGAAGATAGAAAGAGACTAGGTAATAGAAAAGGAAATATTTCTAATAATAAGAGCATACTAAAGCAACTAGGTACACATTTACTAAGCTTATTCGAGGGAAGAGTAAGTCTCCATGAATAGGGGCTGGTATATCGACTAAAATCCAAATAATGAACTTGAAACCCTACTAACCTGGAAGTTATGAATTTCGGCAATAGTAATACCAACACGTCACTTCCCACACTGTCTAACTAGGAGATAGAAACCATACTGTCTTACGACATAGTTAATTTTAACCCAGGACAGGTAACTACTAAACCGACGAACGGTCATACCCAGTATATCTTTTACCTGCCTACCTAATTCACCCAAGTCAGAACAGAAGACTACCTACCCAGAAGACAACAACAATCCAGTCATCCTAACCCTCTTTGTTGGCATACCACGGAATCACCGAGTTTACCTGGACAAAGGAAACCAACTTAGTCAGGTTGTGGTTCGTGTAACAACCGGGTTATTCTGTTACTATTTACTTACACGAATTCTTCCACCCGTTGCTGGAAGCCGAGAACGGATTAGCTTGTATTTAATTTGCATTTAGATTGCAAAGCGTCCGTTTATGCGCCGAACGTGCGGAGTGAGCCCGGTAACGGCTGCGGCTAAGTCTCCGGCGGTACCTAAATTAATCGAGGACAGTAGTGTAACCGAATGGACTAACCGAGCTTCTCTATGAGTGAAGGGCAAAGCCTCAGCTTAAGGCAAATTTTTAGCGACATCTCGTAGGTACTATCCTCAAACTCATGTCTATTAGGTTTATTTAAAGGGCATATATACGAGCATAACGTCTGCAATTAGTCGTTCTTAAGAGTGAGGAATAATAATTTAGGATGCAAAGCGAAGACTTCATGGGGAAAATTGCCACTTGCAACTTCATCTACAGCATTAAATATTATAATCGAGCCGGGCTGATAGCATATACTTCATTAAGCCTCTAATCTATCAACGTAATGGATATAGGAGTTGCACTGACGTAGAGTAAAAGGCCTTTGGTGAATTGTGTTGCTTCTTTTCTCGCTATTATAAGACGTTACGAAGGTAAAGCACCACCTCGGGCTTACTTAGAAAGGATATTCATCAAGTCATGGACTTCAATCCAACTGCTGGTTTCTAGCTAAGTACCTACTATCGCCTCCTTCCTTATGAGGGGTTCATCGCCCACACCCATACTCATCCTAACCTCATAACAGCGTTTACGTTAAAGACACGATGGAGTAACGAGACGTGAATGATTCAACTTCCGTTAAGAGTTTAATAGATGCTCAATAGCACCTTGTACGCTCCCGCCGCTTCGTCGTAAGGCGGCTACGTTTCTGTCGAAGTCATAGAAACCCATGTCGTTCAGTTGTCTCAATTGTTCTGCGTAGCGTTCCTCGGGAGGTCGGTTGTCTGGTGGAGCGGGTGATCCTGATGGCGACCCCATGCCTAGAACTTGGACCATCTGCTGTAAAAGCTCAGGGGTCACGGGGGGCAGATTGCCCAAAGGATTTGCGCCTGGAACGGCTCCAGCACCGGCGCCGGCGCCGGTACCCGGAAAGGCACCGCTTCCACCGAAGAGACTAGCAAAAGGGTTGGGGGGCTGACTTGAGGGATTTTCCGTACTGGTTCCTTGGCCCTGGGTGGTACTGGTGTTACCGCGTTCGGTTTGTGCGCCACCTGTCGCCTGGGTTGCCCCCGGGCTAGTCGCTCCTGGAGCTGGCTGAGCCGCTGCGAATGGGTTAAAGAAAGCGCCGAAAGGATTAGCGGCAGCACCACCACCGGCACCTGGAACTTGAATATTGCTCCAAGTGGCTGGGTCGAACGGGTTGTACTGGCTACCGGCGTTCTGGGTACTACTAGGATTGCTGTTGGCGTTACCCGATGCATCGCTAGAAGATAGACTGCCGGGAGTGGTGTCAGTCACACCAGGCATGGGAAAGGCATTCTGAGCAGCTTGGCGACCTCCCATTGCCCGCTGTAATCGGGCAGCTCCTCGTAAGGCGTCAGGGTTGGTCATCATATGGCGGAAAAGCGGCGACCGCACAAGCTCGCGGGCGTTGGGGTTGTTTCGCAACATAGGGTTTGACTGAATCATCATGTCAATGAAGGCATCGTTGTTCATCATCTCATTCATCTGTTGAGCGACGTTCGGGTTGCTGAGCATATTGGCCAGCTGCTCTTCGTCCATCATGGAACCGACCATCTGAGCAAGGCTTATATCAGTCTCCAGCTCTATTAATAACGAATGTCTATGGTGGAAAACTCACTCCGCCGTCAGGACCGAACATGTCTGCGGATGGTAGGTTGGTCAGGCCGGCGTACCTTGCACCAGTCAGACCTGCTAAGGGGTTGTTTGCTGTACCTGCCGCCATATTGGTGGGAATTTGGGGCGCTGTAGGTGTAGAAGAGGATGTGGATGACGAGGCTGGGGCGGGTGTCGGGTTGCTCGCAGCGCTTTTGACTAGGTGAACGGTATTCCCGTTCTTAATCCTATACGTGCTCAAGGGCTCCTCGTTCTTCATGACACGGCCAGAGTAGATTAAACGTTGTCGATCAATAGGGATATCCTCGAAGTCGGCACCGGCAAGCTTATTTTTTAAATCGGAAACGGTCGCGGTCTCGGCCATGGTGATAGTATGCTGCTTGTCGCCCGACGTCTTCACCTTGAAGGTGACTTGAGGGTCAGAGCCGCCCTCGGTTGGTTCGGCCATTTTCGGGATCGATCGTCAATTGAAATGTTGAGGAGGCACAACAGCGATGCTAATAGTAACGCCTTAGGAGCGATATCGATATTGATAGAAAAATAAATAAGAGAGTTGTTCTATCGTAGCTAGGAAGTCAGGAAATTGAATAGTAAGAAAGCCTGACGAGTTGATGGAGGCGGCAATGGTTTAGATCGGGCGAGGTATGATTGGGTGATGAGGTGTTGGTTGGCGATGGTTGATGATTGTCCTAAGTATTCCGTATTCTGGTATTTCTAAAGTCTGGGTCTAGGTCGACGTGGGGCAAGTCAGCATTGTCCGATTATCTAGGGTACTAGATAAGACCCTATAACTTCCCCAACTTCCCTAGCTTTTAATATGTAATCTCCGTAATCGTCTTGTACCTGCCGATAATGTATAGTAAAGTACGCCATCAGCCTCGCGAGTAGCCCCTCCATTGGTGACTTATGCGACGTTAGCTCTTTCAACGTTCTTTTAACATCCATAGCCTTCCGCTGGAAGCTCAAAAGAGTCACCTAAATTTACCACATACATTACGGAATACATAGGTACCTATGTACCTAGGTATGTAATGATACGGTTGCCTATCGGACGGAGTCACGCAGCCAGGCTCTAAGCATCCAGGCATCCCGATGTCTTTATTAAGGGGCGCCAAGTTAAAAACCGAGTTCGATATTACACATACCCGTATTCGTGTAGACAATACCTTGCGCATTGGTGTCAATTATCCTATCCGCGACTTTTCTATCTTCTGCTCTATCGCATGTTGAGACTTGATTGCCAATTATAGAATTGCTCATTTGGCCCCAACCTTTGATTCCCTTTTTATATATAATTACCAGGTAGTCATATGGTTTGATATAGTTGTTGGGATATCACTAATAAGTAATCCCTATTGGCTAACTCATACGCGGGGCTATCCGGTGTGGCAGCAGGGCCTATTAGCCCTAGCTGACACCCACATACTTTTATAGGGTAACTGGCCACGTAGCTAATCTCTCCCCATACAACAATCAATATACTACTTTTGGGAATACCCTCTCTTTTGGATACCGCTCTCTGCATGCAGACCTTGTCTTTCCAACAATAGTTAGTAAATAAATAAGAGCCAATTAATACGGCTATTCTCACGACTTTAAGTTACAAAATGTTGAAATACTACTTGTTTGTGTTGATTGGGGGCAAAGACAACTAACATATGTGACATGCCACTTTTCTTAGAATCCAAACATTATCAAAACATGAAATGACAAGTATATAAGTAACCTAGGGGAATTAATCTTAACAGGAACCTCATATGGAAAATTCGCTGTCATCTCAAATGTCATAATGGCGCTTCAAATTAACAGGAAAGTTAAACATCTAGCAACTCTTAATAACCAATTTCGCTTTCTAATCGACGACAAGTATGTAGTATACGTAACCGTTGAACCGGATTTATTGCCAAACGATGATTGGTCGTTCATAAATTTTATCTCATTTCCCCCTGGTGACTGGAATCAGGGTCACATTTCGAAGGACCAACATACAGGCAGTTTAGGTTTTTCCTCTATCTCATATAACATTGTCCCAGGAGTCAAGAATATATGGCACCAGACACAGATCGATCATTTAGAATTTGAGCAGCCTTGCTCTCTAAGCCAGAACATTCGCATAGTCACGCACCCCTTCTTCCGCGATCCGGTAATAATCAAATTTGCTTCGTTTCCCTGTCAGATAGATTATATTGAGACCGAAACAATCATATACAATCGTCTTCAAGGCACAGGAATTAGCCCTGAGTTTTTAGGTCACGTAACGGAAGAGGGTAGGGGGGTTATCGGATTCGTCTTGGAGCTCATCGCAGGCAGCAGGCCAGCGGAGCCTCGAGATCTAACTATCTGCCAAGATGTCTTAGCAAGACTACATGCCCTAGGTATAAAGCATGGCGATATTCACGGGGGCAACTTCCTCGTCCGAGAGGGAAAAGCACTTCTAATCGATTTCGAGATATCACATTTGTGCGATGAAAAAAAGGAACTTGAGCTTGAATATGATCATCTTACAAAGCTACTCGGCGGATGCAAAAGGGGTAACTAAGGAGCGCCGGTTTATAAGCTTAGAAACTGCTCTTTATTGAAGTAAATGTTGTGCATTACTTTTCAATAAGACGTCATCTCCTTTTGCTTTTAAGATTGCGATGTAGAAAAAGTAACAGCAGCCGAAAGATCTACGCAATGTATTATTACATAAGCAACTAGCCAAGGATAAAGGATTCCATTCCAATATGAACCTCGGCATCTCCAGACAATAATTACCGACTTCCCCATGGGGCGAGCTGCAAGCTGCAAGCTGCTAATTCTCATTATTCATCTATTCATTCAAAACACCACTTGGACATTTCAGTTATCTTCACGAGCGTCTCATCTTTTAAATTGTGCTTAATCATATCTCATTTTGCTTGTCGTTATTAAAGATTTGTGTAGTATTGTTGGCTCGTTGCTATAAGTTTATCTAGCGTTTATCTGGCCCAGTGAATCGAGACCTCAATGAATTAGAAACAATATGCGGGGAATACAAGTCGGCCAATATGTCAAGGTGAGAAGAGATAAATATATATTCCCAAGTAAATCGGATATGTTTCGGCTTTGAATATCACTAACACCCTCCCAGGGCCCGAAAGAGCTCAAGGTAACCGAGCTCCCAGACCCAACACCAAAACCAGACCAGTACCTCATCGAGGTGCACGCCGCGGCCACCAACTTCTTCGATATCCTACAGATACAGGGGAAGTATCAAAACCAGCCTCGTAAGCCAAGCCATACCAAGAATCCAACCCTTACGTTAGGTTAGGTAGCTTTATCATTAAATTCTAACACTCCACCCAAGCATTTCCCTGGGTTGCCGGCGTCGAGTTCTCAGGCATCGTCCTCGCCACGCCGTCTGCCTCCAAATCGCCCAAATTCCCAGTCGGCAGCCGCGTCTTCGGCGCCAGTCAAGGCGCCTACGCGACGCGCGTGTGCGCTGCGGAGCACGAGTTGCTGGCCGTGCCGCAGGGATGGTCGTTTGCTGACGCGGCGGGCCTGTTCATCACAGCGCCTACGAGTTACAGCGCGCTAGTCCTGCGTGCAGACGTCAAGGCTGGCGACTGGGTGCTCGTGCACGCGGCGGCGGGCGGTGTTGGACTGGCTGCTGTGCAGGTCGCTAAGGCGTTTGGAGCAACTGTCATCGCGACGGCGGGGACGCCGCATAAGCTGGAGGTTGCGCGCCGTTTTGGTGCTGACCATGTGGTGGATTATCGCGATCCGAACTGGCCTGATCAAGTGAAGAAGTTGACGCCGAAGGGCCGCGGTGTGGATATCGTGTACGACCCCGTGGGCCTGGTGGACAAGAGCACCAAGTGCGTCGCGTGGAACGGGCGCATCCTGGTAGTTGGGTTTGCGGCCGGGTCGATTGAGAAGGTGGCTATGAATAAAGTGCTGCTTAAGAACATCAGTTTGGTCGGAATCCACTGGGGAGCGTGGGCGAAGTTTCAGAAGGAAGGCATTCCCGTGGTGTGGAATGGGATCAACAAGCTGGTTGAGCAGGGCAAGTTCAAGGGTACTGTCTTCTCGGATAAGGAGTTCGTTGGACTTGAGAGCGTGCCTGACGCCTTGGTTGCGTTAGGGGGGAGGGAGACGTGGGGTAAGGTGGTCGTGAAGATCCCGCAAGAGGGTGGAAGCAAGTTGTAGGTTTCAAGGATAATATTGGCTGGGGTTTGTTGGCTTTCGCAATATTGCAAACTATGCGAGTACCTTGATGGACAGGTAGTGGAGTATTATAATCCGTACAGGCGCTCTATTTTGGTCATTTAGAAGGCATTTATTTACTTATAACTACCAAATGTTGGACATTTTGACCCTTGTAATGCCATTAAATCTCTTGCTTAACGTTCACTAAAATCCTCCGTGTCAAATCACAAGCCCTTCCCTTTTATGATGTAGTTTCCTTCAAAAGTACATGGTTGTCATAACCCATATACTTAATCTGGATCTGCATGCTCTCCAGCACCCTACGCTTCATCTCTGGTACGGTCTTCACAATATCCATCTTGAGAAACGCACCATGCGTAGAGCTGAAATTGTATTTCTTAAGTATACTCCACATCCGCTGCAGCTCATCGGGGGCCAAGGGGATCATGTTCGGAATACTCCACATGAATGAATAGCTATTCAAACCCACGGGTCGAGCCCGCGCAACCCCTACGGCGTCCGCTTCCCAGCTACCTAGTCCCGAGGGTGTTGTAACTAGCGTGTCGGCGATGAGTAGATGTTCCTCGTATAACACCACAAAAGATCCTGGGAAGTGGCCGCCAAGCTTGAGAGCTTTGACCCCGGAAGACTTGCCATCGATCTGTAAGTCGAACTCTGTTTCCTCCACAAAGACCTGGTGCGATGAGCTCTGCGTCGTCCATTGCTTATCTTCGGCGGCTAGGTAGACGGGACAGTTGAAAGCACGGGCCCATTCTACGTGCGTCGAGTAATAGTGCGGATGAGAGATGACGATGGCTTTGAGACCACCTAAATCTTTAATCTTGTTGATAGTCTCGTCATCAATGAGAGTGAGACAATCCCAAAGGACATTACCATTTGGAGTTTTGATGAGGATGGCCCGCTGACCAATGGCTATCTTGGGCTCCGTATGAATAGATGTGAGCCTGCCGTCACCTTCGAAGGGTGTCCATATATTTTTGGTATTTTCACGAATCTCGTCAAGGGTAGTGAAAGCTTGACCAGTCGGTGGCGTGAATTGACGTGGGTCGTCACAGATGAAGCATGTTCTCAACTCTTGCCTGTCTGCGGTGGGAAATTGTGTCCCGCAAGCTGTGCAGATGAGCCATGTTCCTGTCCTCTTAGGATCATATGCGGGTTCACTAGATGCCATGTCTAGATGTATTTGCTGCGTATTTGCTGCTCAGTTGAACCCGCGAACTGTCTCCTATACTCGATACACTTGTACAAATTATCGTTGGCTTCGAATTCGAGATTCTCCCTTTAGGTTCACGTTATGTCCACCTCAGAGGCAGGCTTCGATATGTCTCTCCAGATTCTATAAATACGAGAGACGTACTTAGATGTCATAGGGGTCTTTGAAAATAGTAGCATTAGTGTATTTAGAAGCTCTGCGGGGTGCATTAGTGGGGGATAGGGGAGGAGATTTGGAGAAGTGGGGGAAGAGTTCAATAGCTCCTATATCGACTTGAGTGGTAAGTACTTCTAGTCCTTGTGTAACATGGACACTTTTAAGGTTCTATTACCAAGTAATACAGTCTTATCAGAAGAAAGTGGTACATGAATTCTATTCCGTGTGCGGAAGTTGTAGCCGGTTATCAGCGGCCGGTGAAGAAGGTGAGCTGAGAAACGCGGGGAATACCGAGCTCTATCCGGTTCGTGTAAGAGGGCGCGAATGAGCTGACCTTATCTTTCACCCCTTCCTGCCCTTCTCCGGCATTCCAATTGCCGCGTCCATAAGGCATGTGGTACATTAATAATAACTCAAATTCCCATCTTAGACCTTTCTTCCGCTTCTATGCTACCTAAGTAATATCTTGTCAACATCTTGTCTTTTTGACGTCACATCTAAGTCGTCGTTAAAAAACAGGCGTCTACATTCTGGGTTCAACTAACAAGATGGTCTTCTTCCTCGACTACATCCAACATAAAAAAGACTGGTAAGAATTTCATCCCCACCATTTCAAATATTTTACCAATGAATCTGCCATGCAATAACCGGTTTCGGAAATCTATTTCTCACAGCAAAACAGCAAGTTTAAGCAGAATGAGCGTGCAGAGAGACTTCGGGCTTTGACCAACTATCGTGGCCCCTTTACCCCGCTGGACCGAGATATCATCAATAAGCCCATCGAAGAATTGGTCGAAAATGTACATAAGGGTGAGCTTGAGCCCATTGACCTACTGAATACGTATGGAAAGGTTGCGCTCAAAGCACATGAGAAGACGAATTGCGTAACTGAGGTTATGGTCTCTGATGCTGAACGTTGGATCGCGGATGGCTCCATCAACTTTAAGGGTCCACTGGCTGGTATTCCGATCAGCTTGAAAGATACAATTAATGTTGGCGGGTTTGATTCGACTGTTGGCTACAGCAGCTTCGTTGGTAACAAGCAGCCGCAAGATGGTGCTACTGTTAGACTACTCAAGGATGCCGGTGCTGTTCCTTACGTCAAAACCAACCTACCTATCACATTACTCAGTTTCGAATCTACGAATGACGTCTGGGGACGATGTACCAATCCGCATAATAGCAAATACTCTCCTGGAGGATCGACCGGCGGCGAAGCAGCCCTATTAGCGTTGGGTGGACGAATTGGAATCGGAAGCGATGTCGCTGGCAGTGTCCGAGCCCCGGCCCATTTCTCCGGTATCTACAGTCTGCGATGCTCAACTGGAAGGTGGCCGAAAGCAGGCTTTGCGACAAGTATGCCTGGTCAAGAAGGCGTGCCCAGTGTATACAGCCCTATGTCCAGAACCTTGAATGACCTGACATATTTCACCCGTGCTATAATTGGTATGCAACCATGGAAGTACGACCACTCTGTTCATCCTATACCGTGGAGATCCGACGTGGAAGAAGAGTATGCGACAAAAAGCAAATTACGCGTGGGCGTAATGAGAACCGATGGTGTGGTTGATCCTAGTCCTGCATGCGTACGCGCATTAGATAAGGTAGAAGCTGCCTTGAAGGAAGCCGGCCACGAGATTGTCGAGGTTGACGTACCGTCGCCATACGAAGCACTTAAAATTGGTGCTCTCCTATTGAACGCCGACGGCTGCAAGGTGTTTAAGTCCTTTTTCCGCTCCGGCGAATGGAACGATCCGGGAGCTCACCAGATGGATTGGCTCATACGGCTTCCGCGCCCGTTCAAGTTTCTCTATTACCTATGGGTCAAGTACGTCCGGCGAGATGATATCTGGGCTGGCCTTGTCAAAGATTGGCACGAGAAGAGCGCGTACGAACAGTGGCAATTGGTTGCTCAGCGCGAGGCCTATAGGGGAAAATTCTTTGAATGGTGGAATAATGCGGATGTCGACTTCTTAATCACACCTCCTAATGCCACACCAGCTGTGCCTCACGATGGTATGAAGGAAGCTGTAAGCAGTTGTGGCTACACGTTCCTGTTCAACATTGTAAGTGAACTCTTAAATCGGCGTTTGCTTAGGTCATGCTAAACGACAAACATAGGTTGATTATACTTGCGGCATCATTCCAGTGACACATGTCGATAAGACCCTCGACAAGCTGCCGCCTACCTTCAACATTAGGAAACTGAATGGTGTTGCTCAAGGTGCATACAAGCTTTATGACGCCGAGGCGATGCACGGATTACCAGTAGGCGTACAGATTGTTGGGCGAAGGTTAGAAGAGGAGAAAGTACTTGCCATTATGAAGAGAGTCGAAGACGCACTCGGAGATGACAAGTATCAACTACTCGATATAGATTGATTGATGGTTTCAGACCGAGACATTGTTATAGATCCGACGATATTATAAGATACCATGTTTGCAGCGGTTTCGTGGCAGATTTATTATTAGACAGGCCACTCAAGCAAGACCAGAATCAAGACCAGAATTTAACGAATTACTACTTGCCTCCAAAGCTTTGGTGGAATCATGTGCGCATCATCCCTGGACATGTTGGAGATGGTGCATTCCTACGAAGTCCGATCTCGGGCGACCTTACGGCCGGTTGGTACGAGTCGGCTCCCTTATATAAATCTCCCTAGACAGCGAATAGGTTCGGAATAAATATCTATACTATGAAGTCAATTGACGGTCATCAACTCATAACCATTATACCTAGGTTATAATAGAACAATAAAAAGTCACTCACGCAGCAACCAGCTCTTATTCTAAGAACCTCACCCTCGTAATGGCGGAGAAGAAAGATCATTGGTCCACCGAGGTAAGTCGAGCGAGAGCTACTAGTTAGACATAAGGTATTCTTACCTAGGTACCTATATATACACTCTAACAAGACTATACAATCAAGGCGTATCAACACTCAGCATCCTTCGTGCCGAAACTCGCCACAAAGATCTTACAGTGGCTCGATCCACAGAAGGACGATGTGATCCTAGATATCGGTTGTGGTGGTAGGGTTTTCCTTTAAACATACTTACACTAGTACTTCGTCTTGAGATCAATTGGCTCAATGCTTACCGCATCTATGATTCAGACGGCGTAGTCAACATCCAGCTGCAAGACATCCTGGCCCAGGGTAACGGCAGCATTCACGGCACAGATTCATCGCCGGCTATGATCGAGGCAGCGACACAAGCAGCTAGCAAGGCCGGTGCATCGAAATGTACCTTCGAGGGTAAGCAAGCCTATCCTTGCCATAGTAGCAAACTTACACGACTAACACAAACCCAGTCGTCGACGCCCTCGAACTAGCGCAAGCATCGCATCTACAGCGCGGGCACTTCACCAAGATCTTCTCCAACGCAGCACTCCACTGGGTCTTTGGGTCCTCCAGAGGCGACGAAGAGCGCCAAGCATCCGTATTCCGCGCGGCACGAGACGCCCTCGCGCCCGGCGGCATCTTCGCGTTCGAGATGGGCGGCCTAGGCAACGTAGCCGAGATGCGGACCGCGCTGCTAGGAGCCGTAACGCGACGCGTCGGGCTGGCTAAGGCGATCGAGCACGACCCGTGGTTCTTCCCCGACGAGGCGTGGGCCACGGATATGCTGGAGAAGAAAGTCGGGGGGTGGAAGGTCGAGAGGGCGGAGCGCGAGTATCGTCCTACGCGGGCTGATGCGGGTGGCGTGGAGGGGTGGGTGAGGTTATTCGGGGCGCAGTTTTTTGAGGCGTTGAGCGAGGGGGAGGAGAGGGAGGAGTGTATTAAAGAGGTAGTAGATGTTTTGGAGTTTGTGTGTAAGAATCCGAGTGGTGGGTTTCATCTGGGGTATGTGAGGTTGAGGGTTTTGGCGAGGAAGCTGTGAATATGCGGTTTCTTCTATATCCTGTAGATATTCATGGCAAGGGAATCGTATGCTGTCTGATAGTATCTATTGCAGACATGAGAAGAAAGAAGAGGGATATGAGGTGAGGTGAATATAACTTCACGACCTTGACATATCAAACCGCCTTCATTTCATCGAAAGCGTTAACCTAGGCAACTAGAAAGAGACATCAAAAAGTGTTGGCTCATCGACTTGTATAAATGAAACGGCAAAGGCATCGTTGTAAATGACTTATATTACAAACAACTTAACATGACCGCTTCATTCTCATAGTAAACACATGTATATGAGTTAACGAACGCTCAAAAGTTAAAGCGATGATAGCTTGTAACTATTTAACTTCTTATAACCATGAGATACATGACACATGACGTCATCCTTTCGATTTGTCTCGTGGTGCATTCATCTGATCTCCTCCAACTCATGACTTGACTCATGACTTGAATCTATATCCTTCTTAGAATCATACAAAACACCATGTAAAATCTTCACTAAATGGTATATATACCATACTCCCTCATAACTAGGTACCTACCTACATTAAATCTTCCATCCACCAGCTAAACATATCTTCACAACGTCAAATCATGTCTAATCTATCTAATACAATGCTAACCCCAACACCCAATTCCATCCGCGCCCTCCAAGCCATCAGCATAGCACTCCTCACCACCACCGCCGGGGCTAGCGCAAGCCTCTCTATCTTCCTAGTCCCGCGGCTAATGGAGTCCCCCACGCCCCTCATGGTGGGGCAGTTCCTGCGCGCCGTGTCTTCCGCTCGGCGACGATTGACGATCCCGTTAATACTTCCCGGCATCCTGCACGCGTACCTAGCGTACTTGGTACCCGTAAAGGCCCGTATGTACGTTATTGCGGCTACTCTGACACTTAGCACGTTGCCGTGGACGCATTTCGCGATTACCCCGCTGAACCGTGAGTTGGAGGGGCGAATCATGACTCTGGATGCGGAGGAGTTCGAGACTGCGCACCAGTTGGTGGACTCGTGGGCTACGCGGAATTTGTACAAACCTGTTGTGAATTTTGCGGCTGGCATTATTGGACTATATGCTGCTCTGTGGTAAAGACTGATAGCATGGGTTTGGCTTTAGCCTTAGCACCAAACTCTCAGGAATCGGGAATAAGGGTGTTATATTGGACGATTTTATTGACCTCGGGCGATGCTGACTTATTTGAGCACAAAGACTATCACGGATCTCAGTAAGATGTTGCTAAGATAATACTTCGACTAAAAAGCAGGCCACTATCACTATATTCAAGACCAACTCAAAGTCCATTCACCTGACCAAGCACCACCCGCCGTTAACGTATCGAGACCTGTGATCGTTAGGATTTTACTCGAGTCCTGTAAACTCCACGCGCTACTAGGGACTTCTTTCCCGTTCAACTCTAACTTAGATATGGCATCTTGAGCTCCTAGGATCGTCACGTTGCCCAGCACATTCTTGTCTTCGAAATTTCCGCGAGGCGTGGCCTTAAGTGACGAGTTTTCAACAGTGAACTGATAGACATTAGCAACCTAATCCACTTATGAACAATAGAAAACTAGGAATCTTACATCAACCCATGTAGTAGTATTAGGCACAAGGCTCTCTCCATCGTCGAGATACAGTCCTCCACTGGCATGTCCGTCGCTATCTAATGCAACAAGGAGACTCCAGGGGCTGGCTCTAACGGCTGCAGTGGTTAGACCTGGTTCTTGCAGCGGTATGACTTTCCCGCCTCGCACGTAAACCGGGATATGGCCCAGTGGCGCATCAATAGTGACGTTTTGCCCGGGCGCAACTCCTTTGATTGACGTCTTGTTGTACCAATCGTACCAAATGGTACCAGAGCCTACACCAGGGAAAACACCGTCGACGGTCGTAGCACCCTGAACTAAGCAAGGGGTAATTAGGACTGCATCGCCTAGAAGGAACTGCCTATCGGCGTTAGCCAGCCATGGCTCATCCGGAAACTCCCATGCCAGAGCACGGAGGGTCGTTGAACCAGTAGAATGGCTGAGATAGAAAGTCGTGTAGATATATGGCAGCAACGCGTATCGGATCTTCATGGCCACCCTAGAAGCTTCCGCTACAGATGGCCAAAGGTACGGCTCCTGGCTAGCAGCCCCTTGCGTGTTGTGGTTCCGGTAGAACGGGAAGAAAGCGGACAATTGCATCCAGCGAGAACACAACTCTTCGTCGACGTCGTCGGCAAACCCGCAGGTGTCAACACCAAACATAGGGATACCAAAAAGGGAGTAGGACAGACCCTGCGGGATGGAGAAGAACAAAAACGCCCAGAGAGAATAGTTATCGCCCCTGTTTTTACGGTGAGCTATATTTCAAGAGTTGGTGGATCACATGAAGCTATCTTACCCCCAGTGGCCGGCCCATTTTCCAGAGCCTGCAAACTGAGACCGTCCGATAATGAATGGTCGCTTCTCAGGGAAGACATTTAAAAGGGCATGATAGGTAGCGTTCAGAATTTGATGTCCATATAAGTTGTGGACATCGTACTCTATAATCCCACCGTGGTGTGTCGCATTGGGACTAACAGCATGGACGGCAAGATCGCCGTGGAAGTTGTTGACAGCGTACGGGGGCCAGTTGACGTTCCGAACGCCCGGAGTCGGGGCACTGCGAAGATATGAGGTCGGAGTAGGATCTTCCCGGGCTTCAAGAGCTGCTTTCCTAACGTTGGTTGGATCGACACTCTCGGGGAACTGCCGTATCTCATTCCTAGACTCGCTTGGAAGGTCTAAGTTCCGTTCATCGCTGCCACAGCTACCCACACAGAATGACGAGACTTCTGACATATCAATCCAGATACCGTCGAACTTGATCTTACTGTAGTACTCAGCGACTTCGGATATCCACCACCGGTTGGCTCCCGTGCCATTAAATAGAGCACCAATCCAGTCAGGAAAAACTAGATCCATCAGCATGGCTACGGGGGGGAGAGTACTTAAAGACACATACCAGTGAAACCTGGCCAAACTTCTCCGACGTATATAGACCCATCAGGGTTGAGTAGAAAGGCATCTTGATCAACGCCTCGATTAAAAGGGGTGTATGCATCGCTAGAATTAGTGGGATCTGGTATATATATGGCCGAATCGATGATAGGCACGTAATGCTGACCATTTTCATGCAAGCGCGATAGGAATTCGGCCCCCTCATCATAGCCATAGCGATCTGGGTCGTTTTCAAAATCTCGGTACGCTTTCATGTAGTCGATATCGGCTACGAGGTGTTAATAATAAACTATCCATAACTACTAAGAATTCTGGTTAAAGAACGTCACAATGACTTACACCAGATTGTCTCGAGAGGAATTTCGGATTTGGCAAAGTTATCAATAACGTTTTGGAGCTCAGTCCAATTATTGTAACCCCATCTGCACTGGTGGTAACCAAAGGTCCAGTACTGCTGCATCGCAGGCAATCCAATCGCACTCTTTTGGTATGACTTGGTAATTTTGTCCTGGGTAGGACCTTCGTAGAAGTAGAGATCAATGCTGCCTCCGAGCGCTCTCCACGTAATGTTGGTTTCTCGTAGCAAGACTTCCTGGATATGGGCGCTACGTTGGAAAACACCGTGGGTATACGACTTATACTGAGCTGATTTATCCGTAGCATCCGGGGCGTATGTTAGAGCCCCAGTATCTTTGTCTACCTCAAAATAACGAGTGTCAAGATAGATAGGATGGTTTCCATAGATATTGGCATCGATATTATCGCCCACATCAGCTGCAAAGAAGGTCCCTGATACTTGTTAGCTCATATCGGAATCTAAGAAAGGCAGGGATACTATACGAGTAAAGTTGTTTCCAAGTCTGAAGCCATGGATTACCTCGCCAAGGCCGTACAAGTTATAATTCTCAGGTAAAGATGAGCCAAACTCAATAAATTGATTTTCATAGACTAATTGGGAGCCTTCCGTAGTAAACAAGACATCTTTGGTGCTTCTTCTAGTGACTTTAAATGAGAATGTAGGCTCGTTGCTCCAAGTGAAGTCGAGATCGCTGTCCGAAGAGTCGAAGTCTTCTTCGGTTTGAGGCTTTGGGATCAACTCTTCAGGGAGGATAAACCAAGTATAATTCTCAGAACCGATGTAGCGGGGTAGTATCTCGACGTGCAATCGATCCACCGCTTGATACTCAACGGTTAAGCTTAGATCTTCGACGTCGGTGCCATAAACATTGCAAGCTTCTCCAGCCAACGTGAGATCCGCCGTAAATCCATTACTCGTGTTCTTCACATTAGAAGCTACATAACCTGGACAGACAGTTTGGGGGTTGACAGCTTGAGGATCAACGATATTGGGGATGATGGGTTGACCAACATCTGGATTGGGATCCGGGTCATCTTCAGAGGTGAGAGCATATTTTGTGATGGTCGATGTCGGCTGCCCTGGAACGAGGCTAGACAGTGACAGTAGAGTCGCCAAGAGCAGCATGATATATCGAATCATTGCTCCCCTATTCAATCTTCCAGAACACCAACTCCATGTGATTGCAAAGGATGACACAAGACTTGAAAACAGGAGCAGACGAGAAGCGATGTTTAATTGACTATACCAGGAATCAAGCCGGACTATAAATGACATGAGAAATGGGTGAAAGCTAAGAGAGTCGGCGGATTGTTCGGCGATAGTATACGTGGTACCACTCCGACTGGGCGGAAGCCACCGACTTATAGAGCTGAGTATATTCATGTTGAATCTGTTAGTATAATTAACTACCCCCACCTACGCATGTTGGTCCTACGAGGTAGAGAAGAGGTAGCTTTGGAATCCTCCCAGGGCTTGTATTCAGGTAGTGGAATAACAAAACCGGATAATGATCATCTCTAAACGAATAGTTTATATGCAGGCTGTTATGAAGTCATACATAGCTTAGGTGGGCAGGGATACCGGGATACACTACCAAAACGCCATCCCTTCACGAGGATGACATGAACTGCTGTTGTTGCATCACTAGAATAATGGTAAAGACAATTATAGTCGGTGAACAAGATGTCGAACAATTCAAAAAGCGGTTACAATCTCCAAATCTCCCCGCATTCTTATGCAATGTAGATCCATCCGGGGACGCATCCGAGCTTTTAAAAGCTCTTTTTTGTCTTGTTCAGCAGACCGGCAGCTGCAGAATACCACCGATAAATACGACCGATATTGCTTCTTGAAGTCCGCAGGCGGACAAAGCGTATATAGTTGCATACCCCGCGGTTTATTTATACCTATGTATTTATAGCATATAGTCCAGTATTAAGAATGAATAACTTAACTTTGCCCCACATAAGCTTTTACACTAGTGTACTGTTAGCTTATCGCAATTCGCATTTCCCGACATTCCAATTCCACCCTTGTACTAAAACATTAACAACCTCTAAACATATCACATCTTATTATTGCCGGTCCAACGTCATCCAAGGATAGGTATACTATTGCGAACAGTATCAATTCGCGAGAGAAGCCGGTTCAATACAGCCAAATAAAATCGCATATCAACCCCCACCATGGCTTCAACAACGGCACCTCTGCCGCCTTCCGAACTCGCGAAGCAAATCCTCGAGCACAAGGCGCCCAGCTACACCTTCAGCTTTTCGCCATTCCTACGTTCTACCTACGGCCACGGATTCCCGCCGAATAGACCCGTATGCAAAGCATTCATAGCAGGGCACTGTCCGTTAGGTACATCATGTCCCGACCGTCACGTCGCGCCCAACGCGGCCAGCAGCACCAACGCCAGCTACAACTCCCTAGTATGCAAGCATTGGCTGCGAGCTCTGTGCAAGAAGGGCGAGAGTTGCGAGTTCCTTCACGAATACAACCTACGTAAGATGCCCGAGTGTAACTTCTTTGTGCGCAACGGCTACTGCTCTAATGGCGACGAGTGCCTATACCTGCACATCGACCCTCAATCTAAACTACCTCCCTGCCCACACTACGACCGGGGCTTCTGTCCTCTGGGCCCCAACTGTTCCAAGAAGCATGTCCGCCGCAAGTTATGTCCCTACTACCTAGCCGGCTTCTGCCCCGACGGTAAGGCCTGTAAGGAGGGTGCTCACCCGAGGTGGGATAAGAATCTCGAGAAACCCATCGCTAAGGCGGACGTCATACCCGAGGAGCCTATTAGAAGAGACGATGGATTTATGGATGAGGACCAAAGAGATTTCGGAAGGCAAGATAGGGATAACAGGGGCGGCCGGGGCGACAGATTCGGTGGCGGGCGTGGCGGTCGGTGGAGAGGAAGAGGTGATAGGAAATTTGGGCGTGGAAGAGGCCATCACTAGAGATGATGCGTCTTGGCATACATATTTACAGGCAGGCAGACGGAACGGAACGGGTATTATACCGTAACACGTCTCGATTACCACCTAGGCTCGAACTGGTGGGGTTTGCTGCCACCAATTTCCGCCCATATGCAAACATTCAGCTTGCCTTGGTTGACTCGTTTTGACAACAAGGCTCGGAACCTTCGAGGCACTCGATGCAATCAAGCTAGTTACCATAGGCGGATGCTTACAAACCAAAGCTTCTGAGCATGGAATAGTCCTAAATTGGAATTTTCAGGACTATCGTCTACGGGGATAGCAGTGACCAGCCACTGTAAAGAAGACCCAAGGAAAAGACGATAGGAGGACATAGGATACCCCAAGATATACTACTAGTATAGCAATCAAGCGGTCGTTACCCACGACGTCAATCAAACAAGATTGCCGGGTTTGTTCTAAACAGGTATTTATGCATTCGTGTGAACTAAGTAAGCTATATAAGCTAGGTACTATCCACGTAAAAGAGAAGCGAGATATATCCAAGCATTGAAAGGAGCAATGATATGTCATCCGGCCTCATCGCCCGCCGTATGTATAGCCTTTATAACCCCCGTCGCCCTATCCATCAATCATCATGATACGACGCCAGCCAAAAAGCAAACCGCCTAACACTCCCCTTAACCTAACCCTTGACCCTCGTAGATTTCTCAACGTTGCTCTTATTTCCAGACATTATGGCCATCATGGTCCTTCGCGACAGCAATAAATTCACTGCCCTCGCCAATCTCGCTCTCGGCGCTCTTCTCGCTACCGCTACTGCCACTAGCACTATCCGGGCGCGCGCCTCCCTCCCATGCGCTAAGCTCGTCTACCTTGCGGATCCCCATCATCCACGCTACTAGACCACGCGGGGCCCAGCGGCCAACGAACCCATAGAGTCCGGCGCCAAGGCCGACGCGCACTACGTCGCTCTGGTTCGAACCATCGATCACGTCGAACACAGCGTTATGCAGTTCTCGCAGGGAGCTGCCGCGTAGTCCGCGGATGCGACCAGCGGAGATGGCCGACGACGACTGCGACATAAAGTTACGGCCGTATGCGTTGCGTGCGGACTCGGGCCACTGTAGCGTCTCGACCGGCGACGGGGGTAACAGCGGGTGTAGACCCGTCGTCGGGAGAGCTGTTGCGTTTGCTCCAGCGGGGCCCGCACGGACCGGCGTGAACCCCGCGAAGTCGAAGGTGCCGAGTTGCATGTGCGTTACAGGGATGGCAAGGGGGCTCAGTTCCGCCGTTAGGACTTCTGTAAAAGCGGAGAGGGCGGAGCACACGGTGGCTTCGGGGGCGTGAAACGGCGGGTTAATCGAGGAGATGATGGACGGTGTGAAGACGAGGACTCGGGGTGATGCGGTGGTCTCTCCTTGAGGTGTTATTCTAGATGTGAGAAGAGGTAGGAAGGACTGGATCGTGAGGATGGGATGGAGGAGATGAGTGTTGAAGAGATCGGCGAAGCTCGAGGGAGGAATCGTAGCGATAGGGGAGGTCTGGTAGTTGAGTGAGGGGATCAGGATAACTGCCTTCAACACCAGGTAGGTCGGCTTCGCTCGCGGGACAGCAGCGTGTGGGGTTTGGAGATAGGCGGCGAATCGTTCGATAGCTTGGCCGGCATTCGGGGGCTATAGCAACCAACATGTTAGACACGAGAAACATCAAGGTGTTATTTTAACTTGGAATACTTAATACTTACATCGGTTATGTCGATACCTAAGGGCCTAATGTCAGGTCGTGAGAGGCTCTGCACGATGGCCTCGTCGTCGATAGTATTGCAAACAACATATACGATAAACCCCCTCCTCTCTAAATCCAAGGATAACGCCTTGGTCAGAGGTAATGTTGGCGATCCGGCGATAACGACGACCTCGAGTCTACCACCATTTCGAGCACGCTTCGCCCGACGAGGTTTACGGAGCTGTCTGGTATATCGTATTGACCTATATGTTATATATCCAGCAGTGACGACCACCACACCGCAAAGTATCTTGTGACGAGAAATCCAATTTTGTATACTCTCGTACGTAGTCAGCGGTATGATCTCGACGGGTGGTGGTCGAGCAGTTGGTTTTGGTCGCACATATTCGGGTACCCATTCTGCTGACGATAGGGTATCCCTAATCTCATCGGCGACCTTGTCGACTGCCTTGTCGACATAGTCGGCAACCTCTCCGGAGTATCGTCGGATCTGGTTGGGGATGGACGAGAGCTGTCACATGTCTCCTCCGTTAGCCGTTTTTTTCTCTATTCATTTCGATGCGATGCGCAACAAAGTGCGGGGTGATAATATTGATCTGTAGGGCACTAACCAAGTCCAAAAACTGCTGGTCGTCGGCAGACATGTCCGGATATGAGTTGCTTATATTTCCAGGGTTGAACGGTGGATTAAGAATTGGGTATCGATGAAGTTTGGCGAAGACGGGAATATCGGGGTTCACCAGCAATGTTGATTTTTCGAAAGATAGCCCGCCTCGTATGGACCTATCGATACCTTATCAAGCCTATTAACCCTCCGTGCTTACCAAATGGCAAATGCGGGATGATGCACTCCCCGCATGCACTTAAATAGTGGACCCTACGGTACCTAACTCAGAGAGTACCCAGGTACTTAAATACCGGCCCGGTTATTAGGTACTTGAGTACATCACCCCTTTTCAACGACCAGAGCATGCAAGGTACATTGTAGTTCAACACAACTTAAACACTCCCGAGTTTTATTTAACACGAAGCATCATGGTAACGCAAGCCTTTCATAGAAGTCGCTTTCTAGAAATACATACGTATCTTTGTCGTAAAGAATTAAAACCAAAGGTTGTAAACTGAACCCCTATGACATAATGATAGCAGTTAATAGTTCCATACTCGGCGAGAAGAGTATACGCTGCGCGTATTTTCTATAGGCTGCGGCATATTGTAGCTTGATAAGTCACTGTTAAACCTGAATGTAGCTTGGAAATTTGATATTCAATAGGCTTTAAGTTATAAACGGGACACCTTTTGCCCAAGAGTTAATTAATTGAGAACCTGATAGTGTGGAATCATAAACTCCTTAGACTTATATTCATTGTCTACTAGAAACATAGGGTACTCGAATCTAATCTGAATAACTATAACCTCCCCATAGTTACCTACCTACCCAGCTGAGTGTCTACATGAAAAATTATTTTATAACGATACTCAACTCTCTTATTAGACCTCTAAACTAAATGAGCACCATCATACTAAAAATACAAAGATATAGAAAACTTTTACTAGCATTCAACACAACATCCTAAGGTAAACCTTAGGCATTACTCCAGGAAATAAACAGAATGAACACAATTCATTGTACAAGACAAAGGGGTTAATGGTGTAACTTTATTACAATAGAGAAGAGAACCCTGAAATAGAACCTAACAACTCCTTTATCCTGCATCACAATCTGGTACCATGCAATAGGAATTCCCCTAAATCACCTCATAACCTCCGAGTCGTCTCAGTCCTGGGACATATGATCATAGTCCATCCCACCTAATCCATGGCGCTCCACGCCGAGTCCCTCCATGAAATTCCCGCATAGCGTCCCCCCCCGTTCCTCATATCGCTATCTGTCTACAATATTCGGCACTGAAAGCCAAACCTCTGCGAGCTTTCCTTCACCAAGTTGGTAGATTGGCCCATGGCGTCTGTATCTTATCATATACGACGTCGGAAATTTTGGTACAGTTCTTTAGGTCGACAGCGGGGCAGATAAATTTCGGATTGAATAGTGCCATTCGGTCGTCACCGTCGCGTCTAAGAATGAAGTCGAGACCTTTGCGTAAGGTATGTCCCCAAAGAGGATTGAATTCGCCACGAAATTCTATTTTCCGAGCTTGCCAAAAGCACCGAAGAATGCCCTTGACGAACCATAGGTCTTCGTAAACTTGGCAGCGTAGGTATTGATAACCATCAACCGGCGTGCCGTCTTCATATCTGGAGTAATTGTCGCAGGGGTCGAACCAAACCATGACTTTTTTGGGCTTCATGCTTCCGAGAGAAATACTGCGAAATATTCCTTCCCATTTGTTATAGTTGTCTTTGTGTTCATCCCGTCCCCAGCAGTTCCAGGCACCTCCCCACAACGAACACCTGTAGTTGATCGTGATCTCTTGGATATGGCGTATATTGTGAGGGCCAATCTCGTAGAAGAATTTGTGCCAGTCTTCGAGAGGAAGACTTACGCTCACTTTCTTATAGATGTATGGAGTGACGTCGCTATACATTTGTTTGCATACTCGACTGAGACCGATATTTGGAAATGAGGTCTTGTGATAATATAGACCTAGCTGGGAATAGTCGTATATACCATCGTCGTCCCATCCAGTTATATAGACCTCATCGTAAATCATTTGCCGTACCTCTAGTGGTAGCGAAAAGAAGTTTGTCTTAGAAGTAGATGTTGGAACCTTCTTAACGGCGGATAGAATTATTTCGTTAGGCGTTGCGTCTGTCTTGAACCCGTTTAGGATTATAGCTTCCCTGAGTTCGAGCGAAGCCATTTGCTCCTCGAGGCTCATTTGGTTCTTCATTTTGGGACAGATGTTTCGGTTTCTGTAGGTTTAAGAGTTGAATACGGCTGTTCCTTGAAGAAATGTGTTGAATATAAAAATATGCGTGTGTTTAGGAGAAGGTAGGTAGAGGTAAGTAGTTTTATACCCAAGCCCGGAGAGTATGGGCAGGGGAAATAATGAATTGTTTTGGACAAGAACTTTGTTTGAATTGTGTTTGAATTGTCTGATGCTTAAAGGAAGTTAAGGTTGGACTTTGTTTATGGCACAATGATTAAATAGAGATTCAGGTTGTGCGTATTTAGTCCAGTGATTCATGGTATTAGGACAGTGAGGAGGTGCACTGTGAAGGTACGATATGGGTGACAACCGTAGCAAACGTACTTAAGGTAGCCATAACAACATGCCGCGTAACTTCTATTTTAGGGACGTACCTTAGCCCGTAACTTCCTACCTTAGGTGGGTAACTTAGGTACACAAGCACTCGAGATTCTTGTTGAGTCTCGAGTCCTGCATAGAAACATTTTGCATGGACCACCATCAGGTGGTGTGTGCATCGTCAACGAAGAAGTTACGATGGATAACGACGAGCAAAGTTTTTCTAGGGCACACGGAAGGCACAACAGATGACACAAGAGGGCAAACAAAGTTTGAAAAATATTCAATGAATCATGTTTATCTTGCTATCTGATATCCTTAAAGCTTTATATTGTATCCCTATGGGTACCTATCAGGTATCTTAGGTGGGTAATTCAATACGCTCGGAGACTAAATAGAGTAAACTTTAGATTCCTAGAGCTTATGATATTAGTAAATGAAGATAACCGAAGTGTAGCTGTGTCCAGCTAGGATATAAACTCACACGTTTATTCTGCGAAGACTTATATATACGCGTGGTAGAAGTAAATACCTAGTGACAGTGTGATTTTATACCGTACCTCTCCCTATTTACGTACCTAGGTATCTAATTATAGGTATTTACTAGACGACTACTTTGAGCCTAACTAAATTAGCGAAAATCAAGATTGGGGACATTTGTTAGGGATTTACAATGTCTTGGTTGTGTTCATATCGTCTTTGTAACATTTAAATCAAGCAATTATATTACTAACAATGCCCTCCTTTCCAATTTCCAAGTATACACGCGCTAGTCAGAGGTTAGTGATATAACCCTTAAACAGGTACCTATGGTAACGTATAAATCTATATTTTTTATCTAGACTATAAGCTCTAGTGCTTCAACCCTTCATTTATCAGACTGCTTAGCTCCTATTAGTACATACTGTAGTTTTACCAACACTCGACAACTCATTTCTGTGGCTTTCCCATCGCCCTCAGCTTGGCACCATATGTCCACAGAAGAAAAGGGGCAGGCCACCCGATCACGACAAACGTGAGCGCAAGGACGCTGTTGCCCCAACCATATCCTAAGTTCTGATACATCGCCGGGGCGAAGATAGGGAACGCGAATCCGGCAATACTGCGCAGGAACTGCGAAGCTGCCGACGCAGATGCGACATACTGGCGATAGGCGTCCATCACGTACGCCTGCATTGACTGTGTATTGTTGATGATGCCACAGCCGAGAATGGCGATGCCGACGTCGGGGACTATCCAGGGCAAATGCCTCTCTGCTGTCCATCCGTATATTAACAGGCCTAGTGGGATGAGGATAGCTCCGGGAATCATGAGCGGCACGCGATATTCCGGTGCCGTGTTATTACCGGCCTTGGATTTTAGGTACGCCCATAAGCGATCCATCACTCTACCACCAGCCTGCGCGGCAATGGTATAACCGATGACAAGAGCGATATAGTTAAGCCCGCTCTTTGTCTCGCTTTGCCCGTATCGCTCGATCCATAGGGTTGCAAATGTTGACAGGACAAGATAGAGCATTCCGAAATTGTAGGCTAGGAATATCGCAACAACCTGTAGAATAGGCTGGGTTATAAGTAGTCGTAGAGGTCGGGTTAGAGAAACAGATAGCCTGCTTCTCAACGTCTCAGATGCAGCTTGTGTCGCGGTATAGTAAGGGTTCCCCGTACTTTTCCGTAACTTAGTCGCTCTTCTATTGAGCAGGATGACTTCGTATGTTTCCGAGAATACGAAGAAGGCTACAATTACGAGAAACCCATCGTATATAGAAAGGATCCAAAACGTCCACCGCCACCCGATCGATTGCGAGACAGCACCTCCTATGATAGGTCCGAGTGCTGGTCCTAGAAGAGGAATAAATGTGGAGATGGCAAATGAAGTTCCGCGTTCTGCAGGTATCCAAGTGTCTGCTAGAACGGGATTGCTAATGGCGAACTCGGCGCTGGCCCCGATGCCCGAAAGTATCCGGCTCGCGATGAGAAGACCGGGCGTCTGGCTAAAGCCAGCGACGGTATTCCACAGGATGTAGAAACAACTCGATAGCATCCATACCGGCCGACGTCCAAAAACCTCAGCGAGGGGCGACAGGACCATAGGGCCAAATGCGAAGGCCAATACGAAAATAGAAAGGAATATCTGAGTCTCTTCCTCGTCCGTCTCGAGGTCTGCTGCGATGCTCTTAAGGGCAGGAGCCAGCATTGCACCAGACATGAGAGTCACCAAGCCTCCATTAGAGAGGAGGATAGTTATTGTCCATTTGCGCGTTAGTGACCAATTATAAGGGTGCTCAGGGTCGCCATCGCCGCTCCAGGTAACCTATTAAGGGTTTAGTAATTATTGCCCCAGACCTCCTATATTTAGGTAGGTAGTATCTCTACTGTCTTCTGATCTGAACCCCGAGGCTGGCATCGCCTTTCTGTCTCATCTCGCTTTCATTTGAATAGGAACATTAGGTGGTCAACTTACCAATAGCGGATCTACCTCTACCTGTGCTGAGTCGGCAAGCGGCTCTACGGGTTCGGTGTTGACCGGGTATTTTTCAGCGTCTTGGGTAGTCATACTGTATACGATGCTTGAGAATTTGTCAACCCCCGTGCGAGAGGAAACGATGTATTTAAATAACGGCCCAGGGGACCCATTATAGGGAATCCTAAAGGTAAGAGGAGAGGGTCTTTAGCGACGGGCATAGCTCTATTGCCATTATATATAACATTATATATCTCGCTGGGGTATTGGTGCAGTCTAGAGTACAGTACCCAACAGCTGACTGCATTAGCGAAATTTACAATTATCCCCCTGCCATACATTGGACACCAGAACAGTGGTACCCCTATCGAGCCTCGCCTCGCTGATATGTTTGGGCGGAAATCATCAAGCAAGTGACCTAATATATGTTGGAACAAGATCCAAAGTATATCTTATTAGTGAATAGGAATCGAATCTCGGTTTGAAGACGTAATGGCGACCCTCGGGTGCGATTTCGGCGCTGTGAATATTGAATACTATTCATGCTGAAAAATGGAAATCCGGCGTGATGCGAGAAGTGCTCGTATTCCGTCGTAACTCCGAATATGCATGTCAGTTCCTATAGTTTGTGTAGTCTGTTGGTGACAATGCATAGGTATTACGTAGTATCCATGCCCACTCCGACAAAGAAATTCCGGGAATAGAATCCTATTATCAGATGCCCGGCCATTGTCTTATCAGATCACTCCCAGGCATCTTATTGGTGGAACACATTCACTCTGTAAAGACAGTGTTGACCCCACTATTCGGGCTTGTGATACTTCAACCTCAAGGTAAGCTTCTGAGTCATAAACTCTACCTATTCATAGATCCACAACCAATCGGAGATCGGAATACTGGAGTAACATTCCTAATAGGGAAATAGGGAAGAATAAGGCGTCAAAGAGACTAACCCATCCAGGTTTACGATAGGCTAGCTGTATAGCTGAGTGGATGCAAACAAAGAATTATAGATGGGCTCGAAGCTTGAAGTTAACGGAAAAAAGTAGGTAAATATAATTGAACGCGCTACGAGCGACATCTCATAAAAAAACAGCTAACATACACGATCCTAGTATCCCAAAGTTTCATCACCATCCTCTTACAAACTACTGGCTTTTCCCAACAGTGCTCTTAGCTACAACCAAGTCTCCGATAGCTGAAACAGGCACATTACCCATGATATCGAAAACAGCCACGCTGGCTTGGAAGTCCCTTCCGATCCAGTTACGCAGCTCGACCGCCATTAGGGAGTCGACACCGTAACTAGAAAGCGGCTTGTTCAGCTCTACATCGTCAGCCGAGATGGCCATGGAGCGCGCCAGCTTCTGGGTCAATGCGCTAATGACGATCTGGATGCGTTCGCTAGCATCTGCCGTAGATCTAAAGAGAGCGGCCACGTCTACACCTGCATCCTTGGAGGCGCTCTTGGCCTCTCCAACAACATGGGAGAACGGAGAAAATAAGGGCCTGGTTAGCAGAGACGGAGGTGTCTGACCTTTGACGAGGAAATCAGCCGGTGTGCGCAGACCGAAAAGGACTTGGCTACCAGTAGGCGATGGGACAGGCTCCGAAGGATCGCAAAGCACACTAAGAAGGGCCAAGAGCTCCTTGTCGTCAATCTTCTGCATGTCATCCCAGCTCTTTCGTTGACGCTGGTATGCTTGCGTCTCTGCGACGATACCGATGTTCCTCATCCAGCCGATATCAATCGAAACTCCCTTTTGGCCATGCGCAACGCGGTACCGTGCGAGCGCATCTTGGAACGAGCAACCACCCGCATAATTAGACTGTGCTAACGCTCCGCACACACCGTTAAGTGAGGATAGGAGGATAAAGAAGTCTAGGTTCTTGGGTAGCAGTTCGTGTAAGCTCAAGGCTGATTGAACCTTAGACTTAATTGTGAGATCCCACTGGGCGAAGGTCATGTTGTCGAACACGGCGTCTTGGAGAACCATGGCGGCATTGATACAACCCTTGACAGGCGGCATCGTGCGCCCGGCCTCCTCGAGGACCTTGGCAACAGATTCGGATGAAGATACGTCGCACGCAGGTGCAAAGACATTGACGCCGCGCTTTGCCAAGTCCGAAATGACTTCGGCGAGCACGGGCTTCGAGCTACCTGATCTCGATGGCACGATCAAGTGCTTTGCGCCTCTGTCGGCCATCCATTTGATGATGGCGCGACCAAGACCACCGGATCCTCCGGCAATCACGTAAGATGCGTTCTCGTCGAATCTCCACGATCGTCGTTCCAGAAGGAGTTGCTAGATCACACGTCAGTTTGCTTTTTCTTCCAGGTGCTTCATTATAGGGATTACTTACCGGAACCACGTCAGTGGGCTCAACATTTAGAATGATACGTCCAATATTCTTTCCGCCCTGGAGGTAACGGAACGCCTGTTCGACCTTCGACACGGGGTAGGGGTGTAGCGGGCCGGGGTGTTGTACAGTACCCTCGTTCAGGAGACCAATAGTGGCTTTCAGAAGGTCGTAGGTTAGCTCTGGGTTCTTGAGGATGACATAGCGTAAGTCAACAGCTGAGTAGCTGACGTTCCTGGCGAAGCCGGCCATGGGTAGCGATGAGTTGGCCTTAATATCAATTACACCGATCTCCACAAAGCGACCAAATGGCGCCATGCACTCCCAAGTTGACCTCAGGCTATCTCCCGAAAGTGAGTTAAGGACTACGTCAACACCATATCCGTTGGTCACTCGCAAGACTCCTTGGGCGAACGAAGTGTTTCTGCTGTTGAAGATGTGATCATCAGGGATGGCAAAGGTATCCTTGAGGAATTGCCTCTTTTCATCAGACCCAACAGTAGCGAATATTTCGGCTCCCTTCGATTTCGCCATCCAAATTGCCATTTGACCAGTGCTACCAGCGGCAGAGTGGATGAGAACCTTGTCGCCCTTGCGAACACGGGCGAGTTCGATCATAGAATAGTAGGCTGTCATGCCAGGAACTAAGATCGATGCGGCAGCCTCAAAAGATAGGCTATCGGGAATCTTCAGAACGGCCTTGTCCGAAGCGCGCGGATGTGTTCGCATGCAGTCTATCGAAACCATGCAAACTCTGTCACCTGGTCGGATCTCCGGGTCGGTGTCGGGTCCTACTCTGGTCACGACACCGGCACAGTCAACACCTAATTCGTTGTCCTCCAAGCGGCCCAAAGCGCACAGAACATCTCTGAAATTCAGGCCCCATGACTTGGCCTCAATTTCTACTTCGTGCGGGAGAAGTTCTGCTTGCTGCGCGATATCTTCGACAAGTTGTAACGAGTCCAGGGTTCCGGTCTCGCCAACGGTAAGTTTTAGTGACGGTCCTTCCGAGAAAGGCTTTTGCTTCAATTGCGGATATAGGAGAGACCGGAGCGTATCGTTACCGGAGATATCCTCTGCGACCCTACCCGTAGTGAGTTGGCCGTTGCGGACAATGTACTCTAGCTCCCCGGTCTTCGATTCAAAAGCCGCCTTGTAGGCCTTGGCGACATATTGAGCATAATCAGCCTTAGTCTCCCCCTGAGACTCAATCGCGACTGTTACGATGTGCTTTTCGCTTTCTTCGTGTCGAATAGATCGCAAGAATCCGCTCATAACACCATACTGTGAATACTGTTCATCTTCCAAGCTCGTCGCCGTGACCCACAGCAAAGTCTGTGCGTGCTTCAAGAGTCCTTGAAGCAACTTGAACTTGTCCTCAGACAGCGTCGCAAGGAAAGGCTTGCTCATCTCAGCAATGCAGACTACCGTATCATCCTTGGATAGATCTGCCGTTGCGACCTGATCGAGAGCAACGATCCGAGCCTGCTGATCTTGCGACTTAACAATGCTAGTGTGGATCAAGTTAGCCAGCTCGTTTTGCTCGTCCGACTGGCTATCGACAACAAGAACAAGTCCCGACTTATTGGAGGCCGCCTCGCGGACTTCTTCCGCGGCCCTAGATACGATTATACTGAAGATATGGCAAGCTTCACTCTTGTAGTCTCTGAGGACAAGGTCGTTTCCGCTGAATCCTGTCCATTTCAAGACGTCATCCCACTGCTTCTCGGGTATCGCAGGGGATAGGCCTCGCCACTCTTCTCGACGACCCCACCAACCAGGCACGAGACCGAATGTGAAGTTTGTGACGACATCTTGAGGCGCAATAACTTCGAGCAGTAAGAGGTGTCCAGTCGGCTTAAGGGTGGTGCGCACGTTCTTCATCGTAGCCACCAAATCTTCCGTGGCGTGCAGAACACTTCCGGCGACGACCAAATCATAAGAGCCCGGCTCGAAGCCTTGGCTTTCGGCGCTACGCTTCATATCAAAGGTCTTGAAAGTCATCCTTTCCTTGTAGTCTTGCCATCGTGCTGTCGCCTTCTCAAAGAAAGCGGGTGAGACGTCAGTATACGTGTATTCTGCGAACTTGAGTGCGCCACTCTTCTTTTCGAGTTCCTTCAAAGCGGCAATGACGCGGGATGTCATACCACCTGTTCCGGCACCAACTTCGAGAATGCGGAGCTTAGGGTTCTCGTGGGTAGCGAGGTCCAGGAATTTCAGCATTCTGTGGTCGCACACGTGCTCAAACATATCTGCGTAGAACACGTCGGCCAAGTTTGCATCAAAGATAACCTCCAACGGGTCTATTTCGCCCGTGAGGATATCAGTTAGACGGCGTACTACTGTTGTGTGTAGCTTCCATGGTGGGTGAAGGGCTTCGACCTCTTGAAGGAGAACCTCGAGTTCTTCTTCGCTTATATCTTCAGCTATTCGTTCGGCAGGGACAGACTTGACGTGGTGTTCAAGCCACTCTATATGCCTCTTCTGAGAATCGGGGACCTTCTGACCCTTCTCTCCGGACAGCAGTTTCAAAGTCTTGGAGACCACCTTGTCCAGGACGAATGTCAGCTTCTGATGATGAAGTAGCATTGTGTTCTCATCTCTGACGAAAGTATCAGCGTCGACTGCAGATTCGAGCTGCTTCGGTTCGATCAAGCTTAGCTGCGGCTTCCAGTCGATGCTATACAATAGCTTCTTGGCAGCCTGGCTCCCTTCATTCTTTCTTGACACAACTCCAGTGACTAGTCTTCGCATTGTGCACAGCACAGATCCATCATCCGCTAAAGCGTAAATAGAACCCTCGTCGCTTTCTCGGCCACCTTTAACTTCAGACGTCGCGAACCACTTGACCGAAGAAGTCTCAGGTTGTTGCCATCCGGTCTGTGAAAACCATCCATCTACTAAACGTACTGGAACATTTGTAGCATTGGATAAGTCTAAGCCTAGAGTCGTACTCACTCGCAAGGCATGGAAAGCAGAGTCCAGGACCACAGGGTGAACGAGACTTGTTGTCTTCCACTTTGACATGTCGACGCGAGCGATGGTGTTTGCCTTGCCATCCCACCGAATGTCTTCTATAACTTGGAATGCCTCTCCGTATGCCAAGCCATGCTCGGTAGCGTCCTCATAGAACACTTGGGAGTCAACAGGTCTCGTGCATAACGCTTGCGCTTCTAGGAACCGGTCGGCAATCCGCTGGTGGGCCTGTCGACGTTCTTCCTGGATATCAGCTTGGGTGGGCTCTTCGTACTCGACTTGGACGCTGGCCTTAAAGCATTCGGTCCATCGATCATCGTAAAATGCATATATCGTGATATCGGACCAAGTAGATTCTTTCTCATACGGTCTCTTCACCGGTCGCAAATGAAGCATAGTCTCCGTCCGGTCTTCCCAGGCTTCCTTGACTACGATAGGGTTCATAAAGTGGGCCTCCTTCACGTAATATCCTGATATTTTGCGGCCGTCGGGTTGGATCTGTTGTACGGCTTCCATCGCCATTATCAACATTCCTGCAGCAGGATAGAGAGTGGTTCCGCTGATGACGTGGTCTCCAATCCATGGCGTAGTCTCAACACTGAGGAAGTTCCTCCACCTCGGCTCGAGCGGGTTCCAGTCGAAAAACCTTGCTCCTAACGTCTCGCCCTTGGTACTCTCGCGCAACCTGAAATCTCGACTGAGACGAGACTCGGCCCAGTACGTCTTTGAGTGGTCGAAAGGATACTTCGGACAGTCGACCAAGAAACGATGAGGCTGTTTGTCAGACGACTCTTGGTTTGCCGCTGGGATGGATACTGCGTGCCCATGGCAGAAAAGTTGCCCGAGAAGTTCCAGAGTAGTCTGGACCGCAGAATAGGATCGATGAAGTACATAGCTATACCGTATTTGCTGTTTCTTGTTTTCGGCCTTCGCCAGCGTATCCTGAACCGGCCGACGCAGCGCGGGGTGAGAGCCAACCTCAATCAGGTCAGTAATATTTCCTAAGCCTACCTTCAATGTTGATGTCTTCTGTGTTAGAACATCCACGGCATCTGAAAATCTGACGGGAGAAACCATGTTATCAACCCAATATTGGGGCGTCGCTAGCGAAGCTGGCTTAACGGGCTTTCCTGTAACTGACGAGACCATTGGGATTGACGACTTAATACCCTTAGGGTTATTGTCATCAAGAGAACCCATTTGGCGTATATACTCATCTGCAATTTGAGACATAGAGGGTGAGTGATATGCAACACCGGTCTTAAGCTTCTGAGCGAAGATGCCATCTTTGTCGAGTTGCTCCTTGGCGATGTCGATGGCACTCTCCTTGCCAGAGAGCGTGCAGTTTAACGGGCTGTTGATACAGGCGATATTAATCTGGGCCGCGACCTCGGCGCTGATCTTCTGCAGATACCCTTGGACCTCGTCTTCGGAAAGATTTACAGATATCATAGCCTCCGGAGAAGAGCTCGTAGCTCTAAGCTGCCCAGCCAGCTGTCCTCGGAAGTAGGATACTTTGCAAGCTGCTAGCAATGATAGTGCGCCAACCGCATACCTTTAGGGCGTAAATTAGAATAACAGTAGGCATTCAGGGGTAAGCAAACTCACGCTGCGGCAATTTCACCAGATGAATGTCCGACCACTGCTTTTGGAACGACGCCGAAACTCTTTAGTAACTCGATCAGTCCTAATTGAAGAGCTGTTGATAAAGGCTGGCTGTATTCAGGGCGGTCAATATTCTCCTTATTGTGAAGCTCATCTATACAAGTATTAGTTATATCAATAATCTCATAGATCCTCTGATTTCTTACCAAATATCGACCATTTACAACCCAGGCTCTGGTATATCTCATCAATCTGTTGTAACGTCGTCTTAAATAAGGGATACTTAAGAAGGTCCGAGCCCATATTGGCATATTGGGCTCCCTGACCAGTGAATACAAAAGCTATTCCAGCATCAGCAGAACTTCGAATTGGTTTGGCTGCTGTAAGTTTCGCATCCTTGGATCCGTCGCCAGCAACGGCGAATGCTCGCCAAAGCATATGACTTCGGCGGTTGGCCAATGTAAAAGCTAAGTCGTCAAGTTTGCTTGGGTTATCTGAGATATGGCTCTCGTAGAAGGCTTGGTAGTCCCCAACCATACGTTTGAGGGCTTTCTCGTCTGCTGCAGACCAGACAAGAAGTCTTGACGGAGACTCCGCTTGGTGGCCATTAGAATGGTGACCGTTTACTCCGTTACTATGACCATTAGTAGCACCATTCGTCGAACCATTTGCTTTGTGAAGCACGGTGGTGCAGTGGTTTCCAGATAGCCCTCGTTCTTGTACTGCAGCAAGGAATTAGCATTCAAATCTTGTTAAAAATCGAGAGCATTTCTCAGGCGCCGTAACTATTTTTCAAGCCGACGAAGAGGTCCCGTGCCCAGAGAAGACGAAGAAATATTTCAATGTAACATACGGTAATGCAAAGCATCGTCCAAAACAACGTGGACATTTGTTCCTCCAAATCCAAATGAATTTACTGAAGCGCGGCGCACACCTTCAGAAGGCCAAGGGACGTTCTCGCTGGGAACCTGCGATAATGTTAACCCAATAATTAGTTTAAGGATTCATAATAACCTACCCTGACATTGTAGAAATCTGCGTCGATTTTCGGGTTTATCTTTTCGAAATTTGCATTTCCCGGTATTATACCCTTTTCAAGAATCACTAAAGAGGTATTAGCCACTACTGAAAGGTTCAAATATAGACCAAAAGGATGCTAGAAACTTACATATCGACTTTAGAACGCCAGCTAAGCCACTGCTTCCTTCTAAATGTCCGATATTTGCTTTAACAGAGCCACTGCGATATTGTTAGAATTTGAGATTCAGATAAATAACCGTTCATTGACATACACATAAAGAGGATCTTCTGGCGAACGGCTTGTTCTGAAAACCTTCCCTATAGCTTTCATTTCGATTGGATCACCAACTGGTGTTCCCGTCCCTAAAATGTGTTGTCAGCAATGAGTCTCCTATCGTCAGGACACATAATTACCGTGAGCCTCGAAGTAACGCGTAACGTCAAGAGGCAGATTTGCCTTCTTGTAAACCTGACGAATCAGGTCTTCCTGAGCCTGAGGACTGGGTTGTGTAAGTCCCGGCGTGTGGCCGTCTTGGTTTGAACTAGTAGACCTAATAACTGCTCGAATCATATCACCATCACGCACAGCGTCCGATAGTGGTTTAATCACGAGGGCAATAACGCCTTCTCCTCGAGCATAGCCGTTTGCACGGTGGTCAAAGCTGTAACAACGGCTATCTGCAGATAAGAAATTAAGTGATGATAACATCTGGTATATAGTAGGGCCAAGAATCAGGTTAGACCCAGTGACAATTGCCTAATGAGATCATTAACACGAAGAATCCAAATAAGTAGATCATCTGGTAAAAATCATTTACTTACAGACGATGCTTCGCCAGCCCGTAAGGACTGGCAGGCAAGATCGAGAGCCAACAAGCTGCTCGAGCAAGCCGAGTCAACGTGAATACTGGGTCCGTGTAAGTCGAAGTACCAGCTGACGCGGTTGGGTAAAATTGAGGCAAAGGTTCCTGTGACTGCCATGCGAGGTACATTGTCGGGGTCTTGTGCAATCATCCTCTTGTAGTCATCCGTCATTGAAGCGGAGAATACACCACAGCGTGAGGCTCTGAGCCGGTCGAGTGGTATTCCGGCTGTATATCCTTCGTTAGTGCCATAAGCGTGGTGGGATTTTCGATACCTAACTCACCATTTTCGAAAGCATGATATGATGCTTCAAGAGTCCACCTTTGCAATGGATCCATAGAAGCCGCTTCTTTCGCGGTCACGGAGAAGAACGGCGCGTCAAACGCTCCTGGGTCTTCTGTAATAAAGTGACCGCCTCGACAACGAAGCTATAGAATATTAGACAACGTCTATAATATAATGTATATAACATGATTAACTCACATTACTATCATTGCTCGATTCGAACGAACCATTCTTAATACGAGACTCTGGCCACTCGGTCATCAAATTCTTCCTGTCCTGGAGTACCTGCCAGAAACTAGAGACGTCGTTAACATCTTGAGGAAGCTTAAAAGAAAATCCTACAACGGCTATGTCGTCAGTCATCGTGTCAGAATGTAATTATACCCCTTATCTAAAAGCTATAGTCCAGTGGCCAGGTAGGAGGACAAAAGTATGCTCGAAAGCCTTCGCTTAGGAATAGGCGTACCACCCTACCTTTATAGGAAGTGTCGTCCAGAGCTACTTGTCAACTTGTATCTTTTCTGGACCATCCTGCTGGGTAAGACTATATTCGGGTGCCAATCAGCAATGATGTCACCCATGGTTCGGCTAGGAAGGTGTCCAACCGCTATTCGTAGGGCCAGGGGAAGCAAAGTGAAAGTCCAGATAATGGATTCATGGGTGGAATACAAAGCTCCTAACTGCAGAAATTTGATTTCATTGGATGGTCATGCCGCTATGTATTCCTCATATAGACTATGCCAACGCTTTGTGGTATGCCGGGTATGGTAGCCGGTACGTACGATCCATCCTCCTACGTGTGAAGTTAGCTGTAACGGCCTGCTACTGCCTATACTATGGACTAGTGTAGTCCTCTAGTGACTAGTTAAAGAATCTTGGCCGGCAGTTAGCGGTCTATATTCGTTTCAGTCCGGGGCTAGAACCCAGTATGGCTCCGCCTGGGGCAGACACCGCACAAATTCACAAGCGCTTTTGCCCTGGCCAAGCTAGTCTGGGTAATCGTAACCTAGACCGTTGTAATGTGGGTATGTCTGTGGGTATGCCTCTGGGTAAGGTGGGTGTGGATATTCAAAGTGACTTCTGCTGCACTACGTAGTTGCAGCTCTCCCATTAGATTCCTAGGAAACGGGAGTGGTGAAGAAAGACTGTCGCGGATAAAAGCCTTTAGATTCGGATACATACTTGCACTTCCATGTAGCTAGCTAACCGGATGGGGTCGAATCAGGGAACTTGCCGAGACCACTTAATATCGTAAGATACTATAAAGCTCATGTCACGAAGGAGGTAACTTTAGTGCTAGAACTGATCCACTTAGCGGTATATGGTTGACTTGAACAATTCGTCGAAGGGGACTGCTCTCTGCCACGTACGTCAAACACCGTTGTTGGAGCTAGGCATACATACAATAAGGAGGTATATATAATCTAAAATTAAAACGCCATGGAGTCTTCACCAGCTTGGAAGTCTACGGCCCTTCGCAACGAATCATAAAGTCATAACCAGTCGTGCCTGTGGTAAAATACAATACCCTATCCCATCAATTCATGATTCTAGTGTAGTTGGGGTTTAATAAACCTGTCCTCTACGGCTTGATCATCAGACAGTTTCGATTCCCACAATTTGGACCAAAAGGTCGGGTATTGCCTAATTCAGTAAATCCAAGAACCTTGCCGGGCGGACTAGAGTATGATATGAATGCAGACGACGAAACTTAGTGAGCCATACCGACAATTCGTTCAAGGTTATCGGCTACTGGGACGGGACGTGGGCAAATTAGAAGTTGGAAGCGACTTACATACTGTGGTAGTGTAGGCACAGGGGTGCCGATCTCGCGGGACGAGTTTAAAAACCAACTACCATTAGGACCCGAACAGGGGACCCTTAACAAGGGTGACAAGGGTAATAAGGATAACAAGGGTAATAAGGATAACAAGGGTAATAAGGATAACAAGGGTAATAAGGATAACAAGGGTAATAAGGATAACAAGGGTAATAAGGATAATAAGGGTAATAAGGATGACAAGGGTTTTGAGAAAGAATGGGGTCTTGGTCACCTCGGTGTACGCTATCAATGATGAAAATAAACTACATACGCTACCCGCGATGCATGCAACTGTCTGTCACTGCTGCAAGCCTGAACCTTAGTAACGGGTCATCAGTAGTGAAATGAGGCTTATGTGTTATTATATTGCGTTTGGTGGCTGGCCAACTGGTATTGGGAGTTCAGATAAGAGGTAAGGAGGTACTTAGGCTGTCAGGGGTAGTTGGAATATTCTTCAATGTGGAGAATTCCCGAACGGCTCACCCCGCGACTCCGGTTCACCGTAATCGGGTATATAAGTAAGTTATTACCTAGGTACCCAACCTATGGTTCGGGTTCGTGGGGTGTGTGATCAGCGTAAGTCTTAACTAAGTCTAATCTTATTAACACGATATGCGCTTCGGGGTTCTTATAATTCTCATGATGCATTGTAGCAATGGATAAACATATCGCATATGCACCATGCGTGACCGTAGGATTCAACACGCAGCTGTTCTGTTGCAGTGCTTGTATTGTATAAGAGAGCCCGGTTAGCGGTTAGCTTTGGCAGATAACAAAACTGTTTATAGAGAATGATTTATCATTTACCGTTTGAACTTGGTAAAATACGTAATGTAGGTACTTTGCAGGCTAGACAGCACAACCTACCTTAGCTTCTTGGAATACATACATACTATGCAGTGTATGAGTTCAACTGTCCGTGCGGTTACCTCGCTTGCTAGATATCCCTGCTGCAATATATATATCCTTGTGAGGATCTTTTTAAATCTTGTAACTAGGTATTCTTCTTTTACATCATATAGTTACTATGTACCCGAGTATAAGTAGTTGAGCTTATCTATTACGAGTTATAGAAGACATGTCATTCTTTCAATATGCATTTTTTTCGCTATAAATTTGTTGTGCTACGTAAGCGATAGTGTGGAGCGGTCCCAAGTGAAAACGAAGGCTTCAATGTGCGTATTCTCCATAACAGATAACAGGTAACTAAAATGTAACCTCGTCAAAGACATCTTAACCACTTTCCACGTCCATGGGCCCTCAGTTATGGTAGACCCCATAGGCTCGATAGAGTACGCAGTAGCGCAAAATGACAGTTACCGAATGTTTTATTTTCCCGCGTCGGGTCTCTCGAAGCTATTTTATCTTACCCGTCTTCGGGCAGTTTCGGTTTCGTGATCTTACTTTAATGTTAAAAAGGCAGTCGATCTCCTCTGACTGCTTACGCGAGATGATTTCATATATACGAAAAGCGCAACAGCCAAGTTCTCATGGAAATAAAACTAAAAGAATCAGGAGATTTCGTATGTTGATAACAAGTACCTAACACACGTAATGAGACGTAATACCTATTGTACGTACCAAACCCCGACCAACAACACCGCCTTATGCTTTGCATTAGAACTTCCCGAGTCTAAAGTTTCCGACACATCATCATTCAGCTTGGTACGAATCTCTAGGTAGCTATGAGGTATACACCACTCGGTGGTAAAATCCATGGCAATACCCACGCACAAGATACCCTAAACTTACGACAATAACTTCTTGGTAGTGATGTTAGGTATGCTCGGAGGGACAGGTGTTGAATTTTGATGTCCCGGTGCGTTAGGTAGGTGAATACATGGCGGACCGGAATCTTCACGGCCGAAATCGTGGGCAATACTGTCAGCTAAGACCATAACCGTCCCACAGGGACCGCTGTAAATCATCTCGGCTTTTTTTCCCTCCTTTTGGGTAAACAGGGCCCCCTGTGTATGTACACTACAAGCGACACTAGTGTAAAATCCACCTTATCCACAAGTAGTGGGTTACAATAGAGACGATGAGCTAATAGCTATGTCAGCTATGTATAGGTAAGTATCGACACCGTCGTTAAGAGTCCAAAGGTAATTTCGGTGATAGCTCGTCGGCGATGATGGATAGGTTAGGTACCTAGGTGTACAACTTAGCAATGGAAGTTAAGATAACTACCTTAGGTACCTAGGTAATTAACCTATTTATCAAAGTATGTGCGTCGCACGACTTATTTAAAAATGTCATATTATATACTTCGGACGAATAAAAAATGTTTAATCTAAGACAGACGCACATGCAGACGTTGTAGAACTCGACCGACGTATTACGAAAACGGTTCTTCCAAGCCTCTGGGATGGTGCTCGCATACATATTACACGGCATAAACCACGCGTGTATAAAAGTTATGAATAGTCGAAATTATAACTACCTGTTAGTGCTGAACGGAATATCTTTTGCTACTTTGCTTTACCTCGCCTCGTTCTAGTCACAAATTATGAACTGTATTAGTGCATTTCATGCAGGGGAACCCCTGAAATACACTAAGGATCTCGAACGTTTGACCCCCGCGTAAGCATGGCCCGTCCCGATTCCTTTTAATAAAGGGACTCTATTTATTAGGCGTCACTCCACCGTAGCAACGCTAATGGCAGTTCGTACCGACATTATTACTGGCCTTATGGTTATTTCTCCATCACGTGAAGCCAAACGAGTGAGACATACGTTAGGTATACAGATAATAGGTAGGTATATAAATATGTGAATCAAACAACTAAGTCCGTGAGGTTCCTAATGCGTGGCGTCTTTCAAAATCTGCAATCGAAATGATCAAACTTGGTGACGATATAAACACCAATGGAGTATATTACTTGTTGCGTCGACATGCATAGATAGTAATAAGGCACTGATATTGTATGACGAACAGAAACCGATATCAACCGTAAGGGTACAATACTTTAGGGAGATAATAATTCGTTCATGTACATCACCAAAAGCTAAGACTTAATAGTCCGCGGGAATAATATTATTCAGTATATTTTTCAATGACCTCCACGCCGGGTCACTCTTCACGGCCTGTCTTGCTAATTACATACAAAGGTGACCTCGGTCAATTTTGACGAACCGTATTCCAATATGCATTAATGTTTGCTTTTTTTCATAACTGAATGCGCGCGCTGATATACAAGAAATTCAACGTAAGGCGCCGGCTAACCTTTTCCGATGAATCGTACCCCATCGTGGCCAGCACGAATATTATATATTATACTCTGTTATCCCCATGCCAGAGGGCGCCGTGATCCATGGTGGCACCCTTGGCATCACTCACATACTCCTGCTTTACAGTCACGCGAGTGGTGCGTAGGATGCCCTGATCAAACTTGTCGTCTCTGAGTTGTTCTGTCGACTCTGATGGCTGGAGGTCCTTCATCGGTACGCCATACTCGTCGATCTTCTTGTACGTATTCGTGTGGGTGTGGGTTGTGACTGATGACGCGGTGGGCTTGTTCAAACTACGTAAGTGGGTGTTTTTCAACCCTACGAATGATCTCGCCGCCCGTCGCATTTTGTCAAGAACGCCGTGGTCTTTTAAAATCTTCGGAGTAGAAGGCATGCATGCGATGATGAAACCGCATGTAATTTCTGCAAAAGCCCAAAACATCACGGGTCCGAATTGGTATATGGCGTCCGCCTCGGATACAATAGCCACTTGCGTCGTTACTCGGAAGATAGCCGAAATACAAGCCCTACATGATTGCAAATTAGAATATGCACAAACAAGATTCGTCGTTCCCATAACTTACAAGATACCAAGGGAGAAGAAAAAGGAAACACCAAGCTTCTTCTTCAACGATAACTGCAAGTTCCAGATAACTCTTTGAGGAAGAACCAACATGCAAACGTCGATGAAGAGGTTAATCGCAGCGGACGCGAGACCGACAAGAAACTGGTTGTTGCAAGTCCCGGGAAGCGTCAAATCCCAAATCTTCTCATACGGGAAGCAAATGAGGGATAATGCGATAGGGATCGAGATCAAAAGCGCGATATTTAATCCCATGAGTCCATAACAGCACCACATAAACGCATTTCGCGTACCGGCAGGAACGAGTACTCGCGTCCACTCGATCAAGATCGCTATCTTGATAAATGGAATTGTAATCGCATATGCAATAGCAGCATAATGGACATCCTGTTTTCGTTAGCTTCCTCCAAACAAGCCAATTCCATGTCTTAAATCTTACAAAAGCGTAGGGAATCGTATCCTTAACGCGGATTTCATATTGATGAACAAAGTACCCAGGGTGTTCTGTCAGTCGGAGCCCGAAAACTGTCCAAAATATGAAGAAGCCCTAGCTAAATGTTAGTGATATCACAAGGGAACTCGGCAACGGTCGAAACCAACAAAAGCGAGCAAAATCATATCTAGATCGATGGAATAATGTCAGCAAAAGAATCCTAAGCGCCAAAATGTCAACGTGGACAACGTACAATCTTCCGGCTTTAACTTCTTGAAGAGGAAAATTCTTGCGTAGAACCGAATTATCATGCAAAGACTCGAGACGACGACGCAGGCGGCGATGACACCGTAGGCCAGAGCGTTGTTATTTGAAGGGTGGTCGAAGTTGGGTGTAACGCCATCCGGGGCTGCTAAGGCTGGCGCATTGAGAGCCGCCTGTTGTTGGTCTTTTGGGAGATACGGTATTATGTCCGACATCGTTGATTTGTTGTGAAGAGTCGCGTGCCGTCTACTACATGCAAGACGAAGATATTCATGTGGGTTTACAAGTATATAAAAGAGTCCAATGGTCAGGATCGAATAAGGGGGAGTGGAATCGTAGATAGAGTATGAGATCCTTGATAGCGACAAGGGGTTTGGTGGAAAGGAAGAACCCCCAAAGGCCCCCATGGGTCCCCTTGCTACACACGGACTCTCTTACAACGAGAACTCTTATGCCAAACCTAGCGAAGCATTGTGAGAAGCTCATGATCCAAAATCGTTCCCCAGAAGCCCTTGTCCAGCGGGACTCATTCCCGTTAATTCCTAGCCATGGGTCGGATTCTAGTGCTTATTCTACCCCTTGTTGCCCGTGTATTAGGGAACACTCTCTCGCCACGTCCCCGCTAAAACTGTATAAACCTGAGGCTTTGACAGGTTCAACGCTATAAGATAGTCGCTATAGAATACAGGGTGTGAATGCAGGTTAGTGACATTATAGTGGATCATTAATAATAAAAACGGCCGAAGCATCAACGGCACAGGTAAATTATTTTATACCTGCATGTAATGTTGGGCACATAAAACTTGCACAAGTCCATTTAAAATAAGTACGAGGGAAAGCAGTAAAAATGAAAATAAATAAAAATAAAAAAAAACCCCAACGCACCCTCAGGTACCGGTTATACGTTATAGACAAAATATCAGAATTGCTACGTCCGTCGAAACCTCGTCACGTAACACGTAACCCTAGGCAGAGGTTTTATCGCATTGTATTGCACTGACCACGACAAATGTGACCACCCACGAAATTCTATACTACCCATGCAAGTATTCGGAATCCCAAGCCACGCAAGCCAAGGTACCTATCCAAGCCATCGTAATCACCTAAAACGTCGGGGAACCGGCTGATTTACTCATGACTTACAGTAGTGGGTCGGTGATTTAACATATACCACGAAATAAATACACTAGGTATCTATTTAATCACGTCGATCCGGGGATTGGCCCACACATGTAGGCAAATGGCAAAGAGATAAAGAGGGAAAAAATATGGCGTTAGTGGAAGAAAAAAAGGAAGAAAAAAAAAAACGTCATGCAGTATTTTCAAAAGCCTGACTTAAAACAAGTCGAACTCTTCATTAACAATATACTTGTATGGTTCTAGGGCCTTCAAAGCATATTCAACTCTAGACGAAGACGATCTTCTTGCAGCGAGAGAAATTAAGGCTTTAAACCCCTTATGCATATAATCTTGGAGACCCTGCGCCTGTCATATCTCAGTTTTACGTATTTGGCATTACCCAATACCAAGGTCTAGGTACAGCATAGCGATTCGGCCATCTCCAGAATGAGGTGGCTTTGTTTACATGGAAGGGGAACCAGCGCACAGGTACACTTACCTTCCCCATGGCGTGCTCGGAGGCAAATAAGCTGATGGTACCTGAAAGATATTTGAGATGCAGACGGGTAAGTATCTTTCCTTGTCCTCCCCCGTCCCCGACGGATATCACACTAGGCCTGGGAATAACCGCTATCTAGTAAGGATCAGGGAGGCTCTCGGCCGGGATCACGAATTCGTGTTTGTGAACGGCACGGTATCAACCGAGCCAGATGTCGGTAAGTCCTCCCACGATGTAGTGCATTTCCCCACGGTAGAAGGCTCACTAATATAACGAGGGGCCGATGCGATCACCGACGAGTTTTTCGGCTACGTCGCCCATGATGCAGACCAAGATCGAGAACTCTGTGACAACATGATCGAGTTTGTCGAGAGTCAAGGACCGTTTGATGGGTTTATGGGATTTTCCGAAGGCGGTACCGTGGCCGCAATGATGCTTGTAGAGGACGCCAGGCATGGTTCGTTTGGTGGTATCAAGTGCGCCGTGTTTTTCTGCGCCGCTCTACCCTTCGATCCCGACCAGGCCCGAACTGGCGTAATCCGATATATCGATCCCGACACGGATGGGGTTCTCCTGACCATTCCGACAGCTCATATCTGGGCCCAAACTGCCGGGGCACATGAGATTAAAGTTCATCAGTCTCTAACCCGAATCTGTGATGAGAGCGTCAGGGAAGTGTTTCTTCACGACTTGGGTCACGATGTGCCGGGGGCAAAATCGGACAAGGGTTTAGCTGGAGCTCTCCGAGCCATTGAACACGTGATTGAGAATGCTATGGACAGTACCAGATAATGGACAGTGCCGGATGAACAATATGTATTGAGTAGTATGTAGTATACGGATTACATACCCTATGGAGTCTATACCCTATGGAGTCGGTATACGTGTATGTAATAAAATTCTACCGCTGGTTCCATTGTTCCAAGGATCGCAGATTTTGAAACTTCGAAGCAGGGGATCTACTCCTTATCCACGTCTGCGGAATAGGTAAAAATACCCGCTCTCCCGCCTCAGTCCCACTTCAGTCCCGCTCCCTATTTTACTTGGCAGAATGGCGTCAAAATAAGTGCCTAACAAAGGGAAGACTTTTGTAAAATATGTTTTTGTGACAATATCAAGCAATATACATATAAAGTTATTATAATATAAAATAAGCTCTAAACTATATTCTAATATAAGTTTTAAAGGCAGTCTAAAGTATTTCGCTGAGTTGTGTGAATAAGAAAATGAGCCTTCTGGTATGTTAGTACTTACAAAATCGACACTTTTTTGACGCTACCTAGATATTCTGCTTGGCCATGTACAAACCTTGCAAATGCATCTTCGCATCCTTGAATATTTGGGTCGCTACCATAAAGACCATACAGACTCAACGAGATTTTAATATGCACTCGTCCGAGTTCCTTACATTAGGAGCCTCGGTTACGGTAGTGTATCATCGCTTCTACTAGTTTATTCCTCGTCTACCACCCTCCTAAACAAGTAATCGAATGGATCATCAGATAGGTATTCTATCAGATTTAGGTATAGCTATACAGGTGGCGTGATATTATACGACAACCCGAAATTTTCGAGACTCAAACTGATGTCTCCACCTATGTCAACAGTCAACAAACACTATCACCAGATTCATTTCGCGCTTTGGCGTCAAAGATACAGTAGATAGGTATTTAAGCAATCATATACGACTACCCCAAGTGTGATCACACAATGTTTATTTCATATCGATAAATCTGTGGTCATACGGTTAGAGAAACTATCACGAGATAATGAATGAGTAATATGATGAACCGAAGCTTAGAAGTCATACAACTCAGGCTGACCACTATACTATACTATTCCCCTTTTTCAAAGTGCGGAAATATTGGTGCAACTATAGGCTGGGACATCAGTCGATATATCTAGAGATCTCTGGGACTAATCTTAAATTTTTATACGATGGAGGTACTACAGAGACAATATTAACCTTACCCTAGATTTTAAGAGTCGATTCCAGAAAGCAAGCTTTGGTATTCCCTAGAATATCATCATTACATCGGCTGTGATCATGTCTTCGAATCGGACCACAAAGGATAATCAATACCCCAAGCAATTTTCATCCAGGTAAGATACATTGTTGCAACTATTAAAATGGATAGCGTAGATACAGCTCGGTGACAAAAGAAATAAGGAGTATTCTTATCCAATATCCCAACTCATTTCAAAACATCTCACCTTCAGTCTCTAACCTGAGAGACACGAAATTGTCTCGTCGAAGCTTGAAGCTATCCCTGAGATCTGCATACATCCATAGTAGCAGGCCTGGACAACGAAGAAGAGACTAGGATATCGTCTAGGTGCTAACTGGCGATTGTTCGTCTCGGTTATTTTTAAGCTTAGCTTCAGGCGGACCGAGTCTCAACGTTCCTTCCCGTCACTATGCCGCGAGGCGACAGATTATTCTATTGGCTCACGGACCACTGCGCCTCTATTATCAGACGGCCTCCCATTTTTGGCTAGGACATGGAAGTCTGTCTATCCTGCATGTTCCGTCGCCCCGGAAGCGATCGATGCCTTTAAAGTTAACAGCTCTTCTCTGCCGAGACACCACTCCCTCCTCCGGCTGTGCTTCTACATATGCACTCCATTATCCCATTATCCAAGAACAAGGACCCGAAACTTGAAAATACGGAGCCCCTATCGATGGTACCTGGATCCCCGCCATACGTTCCCGGCTCTTCTATGACGATAGTATCGCGCAAATATCCACAATCTAGACCCTGCCAAACCCTGCGTACCTAAGCGATCTACATATACTATACGAGGGCAAAGACTCTGTCACGTGAAATTAGCAGGATGCAGAGAACAATCCTACATATGTACATACTCAGTTAACGCCGCAGTGAGTTCGGCGATGCCATTGTCGCCTTGCCTATTATGGCAATGCCTTACTAAACAGCATGACAGAAAGATCCTAATCCTTGCTCTGTTAAATTCAGATCTAAGCGATCAAAACATTTAAGCCTAAAGTCCTTCAAGAACACGACAAAGCGCCTGTAATGATCTATCTCTTGCAGGCATTTGATATCTTACCAAGAGGTCCACTTTGATACAAACCCGGTTGTCCAACCCATCGAGGCTTCAAATTTTAGATTTTAACAATCCTAGGGTTTGGAACGAGAAAACCGGCAAACAGTGAGCGGTGTAGCCAACACTGTGGTAAGGATGATTCGACACGATACATGGTGCCTAGATTACAGAGTTAAGTCTCTTGAAAGGATATTGCCAAACTGACGGGTACGAAATCGTATAACAATATGGTGTTCTAGACTACGAGGTCCAAATGCTTGGAATATGGGTACCTAGGTAGGTATCAAAGCCCTCGAATACCTGCTATGTATAGGGTTAATGTGCAGTTACTTATTCATTTCCAAAGCAGAGGTCGGGGAATCCAACTTGCACACGAATACCTTAGGTGCCTCATAATAACATCACATAATTACTAGCCTGGACTATGCCATCTCAAAAGTCTGGTTTAAAATGTACGAATAATATGCGAAATAATTAAACGAAGATCCCAAGCCGAAGCAAAGTAAACAAAGGGCAACAGAAAAACAGGGGGTAATGCGTTTTTCGGCGCGCGTTTGCCGTCTTCTTGATCTTCAATGCCGATTCCTTAATAATCTCCCATAAGTTCCAACGTTATCCTATTATAATCGAGTGATATGACGTTAAATACATGATGCTAATGTAGGTTAACGCAAAGTAAATACTAGGTACACCAACAAATACCAGAAAAGCGGAAAATATAGAACTGTTGCAATTCCATGTTACTCCTCGTGCGTCGAAGATCCACATGCTTATTGTCGTATCGAGCAGCCAATAACCACTCCTGATTGGCAAGACGCCATTCTTAGATAATACATACAAACAGCTCCATGCATTCTCGCTACTACGACGTCAACTGCTTGCAGTCGTCACAGGTGACACTCGCAGGAACCAACTGCTTGAAGAAGTGGTTATAGCTGTAGGGTCTATTATTGTTGTCACATCAAACGGGGACGACTATGTATAGGCAGTTACTGCATATGCTGCAACCTCGAATGCGTCAATGTGCTTCAGTGACCGATACCAGGCAGTCTAGAACTAGTTGATTACCAGGAAACTCGAATATTGAAGGTCTCAGGGATTCCGTTTTATCATCACGCATATGTAAAAACCGTTTATAGACCGTTTATACCAATTTAGAACGAACGGAGCTTTAGAACGAGAGCTAACCGTGGTAGTAGTAGTAGCAATACTTATTACTATTAGATACTATTAGTATTAGATAAAAAAAAAATTTTGAGCATAACCTGATTCAACCGACATCACGCGTCGATAGCACCACAATATCTTCAGACGCGCGGCACATTTGTGTACATATCTCCGAAGCACTCTATTGGCAGATACTTGCAAACCCCCTCTACGCAATACGTAGGTACTAACCCCTTAGTCATGAGGAGATCCATTGGGGAACATGTTGAGGGTATCAAGCAGCTATCAGCATTGAGTGACAAAGATAGTTCTGATAACCATAGTTACCTAAGTTAATATAATAGTCAGTACTTTCAGCAAAGATAAACCAGGTAGACTCATTGTAGTTTTGGCTCAAGCTGACCCTAATCATCTGTTCTTACTGGCATTATTACATATCTCCAGATATTGAGTCTAAACTAGATCTAGAACATTGACATCGTATAACCACTGTACTACACTAGTTGCTATATTCAAACTCTTGATGGTCTCGACTGCCACAATCGCTTCCGTGCCTATGAGAATAGAATCACGAATCAAGCTTAGGTTCTTACTGCATGATGAACGGTCTCCTTGGCATCAATCGAAGCTAAGAACGGCGGTATTCAATGCCCCGAGCTTTGATGATTTAACTTGGCCCTGGCTTAGCCAAGAGAAGTGTTCAGACTTGTTGTAGTTTAGCTAGCTCTACTTTAAATTATATATGCCCTATGACCGGCGCGAATTCCGAGCAACCCGGGTCCTAGCAAGGCTGGGCAGACCCGAAGCGCAAGGGGCTGATTACCTACCCAAGGGTTTGGATGATCAACGGTAACCAGGAGAACCGCACAGGCTGCGACGCAGATGGGTCCATATATGGGCCTGAATAGCCTCAAGATACTTGGTATCCAATCAATACTAAGAATTTCGATTCGCAATGATCCAATACTATGTAACCGTATTTAGTGGAAACTCCCCCGGTCGGTTGAGGTGTAATACCCTTATCTCCCGGGCTGCGCCGCATATAATATCCCTTCTAAAATGACCGGTGCTCGGTCCTCTTACTCTATATCGACAGCACGTGTAAAAGATACTGGGCAAAGGAAAAAGGAATTTAGATGTTTACCTTACAATTTCCCTTTGCCACCAGTAGGTTCAGCTGCGACATTCCAAGAAATCTCAGACCGCCCTGACACTCCTAACTTACTTGGCTACTCCAATTCTCATTTGATTCTAGGTTGAATATCCGGTACGCTATGTGCGTTCGAAAGTTGCTTGGACAGCTCGACGAAAACCCCGATAGCCGTGTTCCATACTCAAGTTTGCTTGGAGGAGCCGGCCAAGGCGAATAGAATGGCACCACGTGCATGGTTGGGTTGAACTACAGGATATATTAGGTATCTTAACAGCGATTCGGAGTTGTAGGGCTGCACATCATATCCTCTCGAGAGCCTACGACGACGAGTCTTTCCATACTGCCACACCGTTTAATGCGCCAACTCAGCAACCCATCCACATCCTATAACCTCTCGGCCAACTCATAGTTAAACAGGCATCCGATCCTCATGAAACGTACCGACGTCAATGACGCAAGTCGCGCTCAAAGAGTAATACGTGGTACTCTAACCATCTCATCCCAGACTGAAAGGGTTTAACGTAGAGAAGCGTCAGCAAGGTTTAGGATCCCTGGGTTCTGGGGTGGGTTTTCGATGATGAAAACCTCAGTCGGTCTAGTTCTAAGGGTGTTGTTTGGGGTATGTATACAGTAATAGCGGTCTACTACGTGGATTATGGAGACCTTCTCCAACATGATTGAACAGAGCAGCCCCCACGAGATCACTCCTCTCGGCATTAGGGAGAGGAAGGAGAACTGGAAAAGGTTTGAGCTCGAAAGTGGACGTTCCCCATCAACCCAGCCATAAAATATTGATTGTAGGTGCCTGGTATAATATTCAGTTTAATTTGCATTCCACGCCCATTGACGAATAGAATTTTTATCAAATCAAATATGTTATCGTGCTTGGTGTACTATCTACCTAGGATTGTTAAATGCGGCCCAGACGCCATGAGCTAAGTATTTACATTGCGATTATATCAATACCTAACCGTCATAATTGAAATGTCAGTATAAGCAGTGTACTTCTCTATCTCCCCGGATATATTAAGAAATTTGAGAGGTGCTGGAATTAGATACAAGGTCGATATCATAGAATTAGAAAGTGGTCACTGAAACATGATACATCATAGGGGTATTAAAGGAGCGTATAGGTCGGTCGCGAAGCAGACACCCCCGACTACCATTCTCACGATAGCGTTAGTCCTATACTATCCGTAACGATACCCACAACAACTCATTCAAGCCTTAAACCAAATAGTTAGTCTTAAATTACTTCGCTTCAAATCGTATAATACCTAACACGGAAGCGAGTAAACCTATGAACCCCTAGGTCCGACTACAAGATTAGCTATTGCCTGAGTAATTGCCCTTGGAGAATAAACCTTAAAGGCATTCATTCTATTCAATATTATACAAGGCTCTTCAGCGAAAAAACAATAGCACGGCGCAACCAATATATGCTGTTCGTGATTGCGGTATCTTCTTCGACAAGTCCCAAAGAAAGAACAAGTGAAATACGAGTAATGTACAGTGGCGAGGAAAGGGGAGATATGTTACCTCTCTCCCGAAATCTTTCTTGATTTTACCTAGTCTAAAACGTCATTTCTTTTCAAGCCTTCCTTTCCAGAGGTCTCGGTAGTTCGGGATCTTATTGCTTTATTTTAATTAACTTTTATAAGCGGATAGGGTCCGGTCAACTTCAACGGCCGCAATGAACGAATTTACTCAACACACATAATCAATGGACCTCGCTAATATATGCATAATACGTACGTACTATCAACTCGAGCTACTTGGCGAGCTTTTATTTAGCTGCTATACCGCGAACTTGTAATTATTAACATCAAATTAACACGCCATCTTTACATCTTATGGCATAGTATGCGTGTAAGACGAGTTAATCTCTAGAGTGGTTGCTGGTTACCTGGCTTAGATCCGAAGATTACCAGAACGACTGGCTTAAGGGCACAAAGTAGTTGTGAAAGAATTCGTACTGCACGACTGCCAGTATATACGTGTAACCCTTCCTTCTCTTTCTCTGCTGTATTGGCAGTATTGTAGAGGTAGATATTCTCTCCATATGGCATCGCGTCCTAACGGATATATTCCGGGTTGTTAATAGAGATCTTGTTTCGTGAATTCATATTCATTCAATTAATTCAATCATGCCTTGTGTTGGCCAGCGGATATAAAACGGCAGGTCAAATGCTTCATGGATAGAAAAGGGTACATTTTTGCTGAAGTATATCCAAAACTTGTAGCATTCATGAGCACTGCATTTCCCTCTATATAGTTACCTAAGGTGATCATTAAAGCCGATACTTTTATTCATGACTTCCTAAATAATACGTTATTAGCTGTTACACTTATTCGGTCTGGCTGCTTACCTGTAAAAACACGTGACTTGTGGAAAAATATGTACCTAAGATAACGGTTTAGCTAAACGAAGCATTGTTTGTATGGATTTTTGATAATAAAAAGTTTGTTATTAAAGAGATATCAAAACTCTATAAGTGATTCACTTATTAAAGTGGCCTTAGTTGGGTACTTGAAAGTACTTGCTTGATATAGTTAACGACTTAAATACTTGCCCTTTTACTTTAATTTTTTAACGCAACCCCGCCTCAAAAACTTCAAGCAAACCTCTTCAACCTCGACAATGGTTACAATCCAAATACTTTCCGACCTTCATTTGGAGGCTTATAATACTTATGAAGACTTCGAGATCACTCCTCACGCATCGTATCTCGCTTTGCTGGGTGATATCGGTTGCGTCAAGAAGCATGAAGAAAGATTTCTCGCATTTTTGAGAAGACAGCTCGCCAATTTCCGCGTCGTATTCTTCCTGTTGGGTAACCACGAGCCTTATTATTCAAGTTGGGGTCATGCCAAGCAGACCATGCTCTGTTTTGAACAGCAAGTATGCCGGGAGCGAGAAACGCAGCCTTGTATTGGCGAATTCGTCTTCCTTAACAAGAGAAGATATGATATCGACAATAATGGAACAAATCTGACAATTTTGGGTTGCACGCTCTTCTCCAAGGTCCCCTCGGATTCCATAGATGATGTTAGCTATGGCTTAAACGACTTCTACCATATCGAGAACTGGACAGTTGAACAACATAGCGCGGAGCACGATGGAGAGTTGGAATGGCTGAACAACCGCGTAGAAGAACTGCAGGGTTCTGGGAGAAAAATCGTTATCTTCACACATCACAGTCCAACACGAGATGAAAGGACTGTAGAAGCACAACACCGCCAAAGTAAAAGGACCGCCGGGTTCTCTACCGACCTCAGCGATCAGCATTGCTGGCGCAGTAACGACGTAAAACTCTGGGCATTCGGGCATACCCATTATAACTGCGACTATGTAGATACGAAGACTAACAAGAGGGTTTACACAAATCAGAAAGGGTACTTCGGCGGTGCCGACGGGTTTGATGTTAACAGAGTAATTTGTTTATGAGTTCTCGCTATAGAAAAGCGGGCGTAGACAGTATCCAGCAAATCAATATCCAAATTTAAACCTAAATACAGTAATGTACATGCGCAAGATCTGATATTAGATCAAGATTATGTGAGAATACATGGCAATGTTAAATAATCTCATTAGTAGTAAGAGTACCTTGATTCTCTCCCACCCGATCCACGGGATGAGCTACCACCAGAAGAACCCCCACCAGAGGTTTGGCCAGCAGATCCTGAAGCACTGTCAGAGGGCGTCACAAGACCGAGCCTTGTCATCCACCAGTCACTGTTTTTATCGGTTTGTCGAATGACGTCGGGCAAGCCTCCTTGAACAGGATTTAGCTGATGAGGCGCAAGTATCAGGGGTCCATGAGACTTGGTCACTTCATTCAGGAGGTTTTCGGCGTCAGCGGCGTCGCGACGACTTTTGGTGGGATCACCGCGGAGGCCACATGAGAATATCTTAGAGACTATGAGGTCGCTCGGCGTGATATAAGGAATCGTCCCCTCGGGAATATCCTTAACCCTTTGTGCAGTTGGTGGGAAATACGCAGCCTATATAGTAGTTAAAATCGACGAGTCCATATTATTGGTTAACATTTGGGCAATGATTACCTGGAAATGTCCAACGAAGTCTATTTGAATCAGTCTGTCGTTGGGCGTTTTGTAATAAAACCACTGGGCGTATTCAACGAATGGAGAGTTACTTAGTGCCAATAGTTTCGGCTTGATACTCTTCGGTCCGTCTAAGGTTATGATAAAATCAACGTCCTGTGAATGGGTGAGTTGTTTTCGATTATGGTCTGAATATTTGCAAATCATCTGACCTCGGTAGAGCGTCCCCTAGGTAGGTATTTCCATAAAGCCATCCCGCCAATTACGGCTATATGCTGCTCTGATAGCCCGGGAACGGTCTTCATGATTCGGATTACATCTCTTGCTGCGGCTTCGAGCTCGGCTAAAGATGGCGACATTCTGCCTTAGACGCTGTATATGATATGATTATTGGTAATATAATGGAATAAATAGTAATAAATCGTTTAGATGAGACGATGAGATGCTGGAATGAAGAAAAAAAAAATCCTGTAGGTTGAGTCGCTATTTAATAATGGCTACGGTAGATCGAATATATCTGTAGATATTAGACGTTGATTGTGATCTTGCAGTACGGGACCGACTATACGGCCTCGAAGCGCCACGAGTTTGCATCAGGGAACCAACACGTCCATGGCCAAGGATATCAGGTTGGCTCTCTAAACTATAGTGACTCGTAACTGGCTAATAGCCGTTCTGTACGTTGGCACGAAAGATCAACAGTAGATCAACAGTCTTCAATCCTCAAAAGAGAGACTTGCATGAAATCCGACAGCTAGGTAGCTGTATATTAAGGGAATACCTTCACAAGGGAAGCAATATCACCGCTGGCGGGCGAACGGGTTTGCGGAACCAGGCGCGTAAATCTTCGCTAATGCGGAAAGCGTCTAGGGGCTGCGCGTCGAGGCGCGGGGGACCCATCGTGATACTATTAACCATAGGAATAATATCACAATTCCTTATTTTTCGGGGTTGTGAAATGATTGGCTCTGCAGATGCGAAAATAAATACGGTGTGTAAGGAATGATAATGCAGACTAAACTGTTGGAAACATTTAACAATATCAGACCACGAAGTCCAGGTTATAGCCGCGTAGGCCAAGCGCGAGAGAGCGAATTCTCCTCCGGTGTATCTGATGCGATCTAGGGCTACGTCGGCTGGGCCAAAATGAACGATAGCTGTGCCAAAATTGATCCAGCAACCAATGTTCTGATGTTGCTTGCCTAGGCTACGTGGCGGCCAACGTACATTGAGAAATGTCTTCTGCATCAAGAACTTTGTTTCTTGGCATACTTGCCCTATAGTCGAGGGGTCCCATCCTAGAGAGCGCAATCTATCATTGTTGGAGTGTTTGGAGAACGTGACAATGTACCAGTCGGCCATCGCCATGCGCCATATCTCGTGGCGAAGCTCTGCAGGGAGATAGGGAAATAGGTGAAACGTAGATTGACGGTCCATCACCCTGAACTGATACTTGATGCGCTATAATAAATTTGAGGTTGAATACCTAATCAACAAATGCGATTCGACCATCCATTTGGGTGCCCGAGTTTACGAGGGATATTGTCTGGCTGATCTCAAATTCCTAAAATGGAAGAATTCCTTGAGAAGGAAGTTCGTCCGTGCGTAGCCTTTAAGCGTTTTTATTGGGTGCATCTTCTACCAGATTCCCCACTTTCGAAAAAAAGTCGAAATACGTACTATTTCAAGCCCTTTTTCAAGATGCTAAAGGTGTTAAAAGTTGCTAAAAGGTATTGGGGTTCGAACCCCACGCTTTCTTCCATTTTCCAAATTTTTTTTATATTTTTTTTAAAAAAATTCCAGTAAAGGCTGGTATTCGAGTTTGTTGCCGCTGCTGGCGGGCGGGTGATTGACCTTTATAAACTCGGGCTATTGTGGTGCCCCACAGGGGTGCCCTCTTGTGTTGGTTGTGTTTAAGATGAAGTTGGGACAGGGAAAGTTGGGACAGGGAAAACATGTGAGCTGCATTAGATTTAGGTTTAGGTATTTGGGGTAAAGCGCGCGGCTACTACATAACGGTGGACTACCTTAGGTACCTCCTAGGTAACCTAGTTCTAATCATAGACGCTAAGATCATGTGTTGATAAAGAACTCTAGGCAATTTTCTTACTTGCCTGGTGATATATCATTATTTCTATTCTTTCCGGTATTAATGAATAACGTATCAAATTGTTTGTGTAATATGAGTTTAGCCCGCAATAATCTGCGTAGGTAGATATATTCGAGATCCCGACAAGTCTTTCTCAACGTTCCTCTTTTAGCCTTCTAGCTCACATACAGGACTTTATCAACTCCGAGCGTCAAACCTTTTATACATTTTTTTTTTGTGTTGGCATATATTCTAGCCATGGTTCAATTAGAAATAGAAGCACTTGATGAAGGCTTCGTCAAGTCTATCTCTCAATTATTATCGGATGCTGGCGTACCTTCAGTTCTGTGGGGTGATTATCTCCTAACTGTGTACGGAGTACCGTCTATCATCGGGGTATAACTTGACCATCTATATGCGATTAACATAATGATCAGCACTAACTGGGTGTAGGGAATAGAGTTCATTGTCCCGGATGAAAAAATCTCAGCCGCGGTAACCGCGTTGAAAGGATCCAATCTGAAAAGATGCCCGGACCCTAGATCATGTGTTGTATCTAGGGAGCATACACAACAACCAGCCCCATCTTTCCATATGCATCTTGGAGTGTCGGAGGTGGATGTTTCTATACGAACGCATTCTGAAACCCTATGGTTTATTTCACCCCCTCCTGAAGATATTTTCAGCGACAACCAGTCCTTGGCTAAGCTACAAGCTTCACGCTACATCTTCGCTTCTGACGACTCTATCCTTCCACGCCCTAGACATGGCAGGGGTCACGGTGCCTTTTCAAAAGAAGGGTTTCCTGTTATCGTCCCGACTGCACATACCATTCTCGAGGCATATATGCGCCTATCTATTGTACATCGGGAAGAATATAGCGGTTTTTATCTCAGCATGATGACCTATGTTGCAGAATATATCGATGCGGACGGACTCCTGGATGACACACAATTACCGGAATCATGCCGCAAATTCTGGCACGATTTCAAAGACGGCCGGCGACAAACTAGGGAAATGATGAACGAACTCCAGGACTATTTTGACAAGGAGAGCACGGAAAAACGGCGTGGTGGTCGGTGGTCAATCGCAAGACTTATCACTTCTTGGCTTGGCATAAATGATGGAAAATAAGTATATTTTCGAGTAGCCTAAAACATTACCACTAGCTTATAATAGTCTATAGAATAGCAATATATTAATATTTTTCATCAGACCCCGTTAACGCTCTTACACGCTGGCAGTCGGAAGAGCGCAGTCGAAGATGGAAGCCGTGAAGTTCCTCGGCCCGGTGTAGTGCTGGGTGCTCACCGCACCGTTGTTCTGTGTGGTGATCTGGCTGGCGGGGATGGTGTGGCAGTAGGTGATGTTGGAGCGCGAGTTAAAGGGGTACCAGATGGCGAAGTCGATACCGCCATCCGGAGTCTTGGTCGTCGACCACGTGTAAGCCGTGTTGTTGCACTTCCCCTCCGTGATTTCGGGTAAGACGTCAGGGCCTTGCACGAAAGCACTGCACACATCCGGAGGGAAGATGGGATCGGTGATAATGTTGAAGTTATAACTAAATCCGAGTAAATAACTATCCAGAGGTATCTGGAGATGTGATGGTTACTTACGCGCAGAATGTGCTATGCGGAATGCAGTCGGCGGCGAAGTTGGCAATGCCGTAGTTTTGGGCTTGGCGCCTCTGTATAGAAGCAGCCAAAGCAGTGGTAGCAAAAGCGAGGACAGCGGAGAGCTTCATCTTGCCTGTTGTTGATATGAACGAAAGTACCTTGTATTAAAACGAGAGTGTTGTAGTCGAAGCGATGCTTTTATAGTCGATATTTAATTTAATATCAAGTTCAACTGGTGATTAACATAAGGCGAATAGCCTCAACGCCGCTGGTAGGGAGCGCATTATATGTTTATTTTCAGTTCCCCACAGACGTCGATCATGAATATCATGACTCGGCCCAGCCCAGCCGAATCGCCCCATCGTGTTCTTTGATATCCGCCACCGTTACATCGCATCCGCCAATAGTAGAGCGCGCTTGGTCGATCTTTTCGTATTCCTCTCATTAGGGCTGTCAATTTCTCGGGATAACCACAGGGGCATAACCAGCCTTCAGTTACATAGTAAGCTGAATTGTATGGAACAGCCCAACGACGTCGTATTCGAGTAATACGTTCCTGAAAGCGGCTCCATTGCTAGAAGCAACTAGACATGAAAAACATCACCATCAAGCCCTTCTCGTATTGTCAGCCCACACGACGCCCTATCTTAACATCGCTACACCGACATTCACCCAACAAAATTGATGAAATATCTCATTTCGAACGATTATGCGTCGACATCGGTAATTAGGAGAACTCTTCGGATGAACTACTATTATTTACGGCAGCATCATCTTGAAGAGCATGCTTTAATAACACCCATTAGAGTCACTCTCAAATAGCACTTCAAGATTATACAAAATTTGTATTTAATAGATACAACAAAGTTCTTAAACACGTCATGACACGTTATCTCTCTAGAAATATTCGCTGTGCAAGATCACAAGTGAACAGACATGGTTTTACCACCCTACTTTAATCCCAAGCGACATCACTTAAGTGTGGCCGATAAGACCCGTCTGAGGAGCGTTGTCGGGGTTGATGTCAACACCGGCAAAGCCAAGAGCCTCGTTCCAGGCGTTAGCCGTCGAGGCATCTTTAGCACCAGAACCCAGGTCGGCCTGAGCTTGCTTGCAAGCAGTGTGGGCGTCGTCGGATGCATTGCAAACGTTGACGAGCTGGTCGCAGATGCGGTTGAAAATGATGTTGGGGTTGACTAAGGCGAGAAAAGTTAGTATTCTGTGAAGTGATAAATCCTAAGAGGGGAGAAACTTACGAGCTTCCTGCTGGCCCTTGTTGACAACGGGGTCCTGAGCCTGGAAAGTGAACTCGCCCGCCTTGCGGCCGTTGAGGGACTCTTCAAACTTGACGGTAGGCGTGCAAGTACCGAAGTCGAGACCAAGGCTTGAAGCTTGGAAACCAGGGAAGTTACCAGTAACAGCGTTAGTAACGGCACCGGCACCTGCTTGGCTGGATGCGGTACCGTTGTTGGCGCTGGCGTTACCGCTGGTGTTGTTATTGTTGGCGGAAGCAGCAGTAGAAGTGGCAGCAGCGGCGGTAGTCGTTGTCTTGCTTGATTTGACGCACTTAGTAGCAGTTGCAGTTGCTGAAGGGGCGGCGGTAGTAGCTGAGCCAGTATTGGTGTTATTAGTGTTATTATTATTACTGTTGTTGGCACTGCCACTGGCGGCGGCTCCGTTCACTGTGAAGTTGGAAAAGCCCTGGGCGGTCATGACGTCGGCAACGCTAAGACCGGCAGCGTCAAAGGGAGACTGTAGCGAAGTCGCCGAGTTGGCGTTCTCAACGTCCGAGCCGGTTACGGCAGGGTCGACTAGAGGAACGATTCCACGGAGCTCTTGCGTAGCGGGTAGGCTGGCATCACCGCAGATGTTGGGTACCGACACCACGAACGGGTTGAAGTTCTGCTCGGCAGCAACGAGTTTCTGTGCTGCTGAGATGACCTGAGGGTCGGTGCCGAGAGTTGACACGATCTTGTCGGCGAGGGTGAGCTTGGCGCATGGGTCTGCAGCGGCGAGGAGTACGCCGGGAACAGCACCAGCAAGAGTGGGAGCTTCACCTGGGTTGCCGAAGTTACTCAAAGCCTGGATAGCAGCAACGGGGATTTGCTCCTGGCTGAAACGGGCTTCGGCAACGGCCAACAGAGCCGAGATAAGTGCGGCCTTGGTATACATGATGACGGAGAAGAAGAACAGAGTTGGCGTCAAGCAACAGATTCAGTTTCCTTGAAAAGGTATGGAAAGTAAATTTAATAGAACGAATAAAGACCGACCGGGCGGTATGGTGAATAGAACGAAGGGAAGGTTAAGAGAACGAAAAGTTCACAGAACTGAAACGAATTGGATATCAAAGAACGAACCGAAGCTTGATAGAGAAAAAAAAGAGAAGAACTCACGATGTGAAGTTGGGGTAATGCGATTATATAGATAGCCCACGTGGATCGCCACAAGTCAACGGCGATCAGTTGGGATAGGCCAGCAGTCTGAGCAGGCTTTGGCGAGCCCCTTCCGCCGATCAAACCTCACCTCAGGGTTAAGATCAGATGGTGAGCCAGCATGATGCGGCAAGGATATGACCGCTCGTAGTAACCCTCTTCCGGCGGACGTTCATCCCATGTCAAGCGTCTCGTAGTGAAGAAGCGGAGGGTACATGGATTATATGCCGTGCCCCTCGAAAATAATGAAGCTCGTTAGGTAGACTGGATGTAAGATACCCCCAGGTGCTTTACCGCGGTATAGAGAAAATGTATTTTTTTATTAATCTGCATTGTTGAATATCGTCTCTGATATCCCATGGGCGGTTAATGGAACTGTTAGCGGAAACAGATATGACCCAGGGGATGCTTTGGTCGCGTGCGTCCATTCTAAATTGTCAGGGGTTAATAGGTGAATACGGCTATGTATGAACGAATCTTAATGGGTATCATATTGTTTTCATGCTGATCTACGAAGTACGAGGATAGTAGTATCCAGTTACGGATTACTACGATGGAAAATCCTCAGGTGAGGCTCAATTGAGGCTCGGAGATCAACAATAGCTGGGTTCGGTGTATTTGCAAGTCGCCAATCATGTTATTCATATTAATATGACATTAATAATGAGTATAACTAGGAGCTTAGAAGGTAGGTCATTTTTATGTTTCTTTATCAATCGTAAAGAGCACGGTTTATTCGCAAATTCGATGCAAAAGTGCACGTCCCGATTCTCTCTAACGCTGTCTTCTCTTCTATTACCTTAAAGGGGCTCTATGTGGTGTTAAATTCAAGAAGGATTGGTAGCTACCTGGGACTAAGATCAGAGTAATCAGAGTACGAGCTTCACTAACCTTCTCGAATGTCGAGCTAGGTACGGCGACAGCTTGGGGCCTTTGAAGGCCCACCATCTTCTTTAAACGGCTGTCTCCGACGCCTTCTAACCCCTCTACCCTCGCTAAATATCCCTGCCAGAGAGCGATCAAACAGCTCCGTAAGGGGTTTTGAGACGGTTTACGAGACTCAGGGGGTTTTATCTAACCTCGCTTTTCTTACTACCAAGTTGAGCCTCTCTTGATAACGGAAATTGGTACTGCAATTGGCGCAGCACCGATTAAACAAAGCGCTTACCATGACTGTTATCCACGGTCAGCTAATTAGCGGTCTAAGTGTTAGCTGTCTTGGTGAAGCATCTACTAGGTATACCGCCTTGGGCGACTTCATAGTCTCTCTCGGTTACTACTAGTTAATGGTAATGTACGGTTACAAGTACAGTAACCGATGAGACTACTCGTAAGTTACGTCGGTAGGAAATATCACTTTTTATTCCTCGATGAATAGATCTGTTTAAAGGAACTATACTGATCGACTGATAGATTTTCGATAGGATTGAATATCATTTACTCGGACGCCGGGGAATACTCTTGCTAGGATTTTCACAGGGACGTCCTCAGCTTACTCGTCGATCTATGCAATTCATAGCTACGGCATATCGGCTCGATTTCCCTTCAATTGTGCTGATGCATATGTCAATCTATGATGAGCATCATGCGTCGATCATCGATGTTGCAATATTGACTTGTCGGCTCTCATTTCATCCGATCTCGTTAATTTTGTTCTTATGATTTAGGGTCTTCGAGCCCAGCTTGACGGGCCACGCATTCCCCTTAATCCGGGGGCGGTGGATCATAGAGGTTGATCTTATGAATCTCCTTGAAAGCTCCTGGGTTCGTTGATTGGGCCCGAAGGACCCGAGGAAAAGTTCTAACTCGATGGTATCGTATGCTAGCATAACGACTCAGTCTTGACTAATTCGCTCGGCCGGCGCTTGACCAAACATTCCCTACTATTACCTCCCGGAAACCCTTCATTCCGGTCGGACATCTTGGTGCTTTCGAATGCCATTGTAGAAGCACCATGGCAAGATAGTTGAAGGCTCACTGCGAAGTGACAAGCAATCAATTATTTGGATCTTCGGTGTTCCTACGGGCGATGTTGAATGCGCCGTGTCCTCAGGTATTGGCGTCTATACCTGTATGGTTACTGGATCGGGACGCAGTACCGTATCTCCTCTTCATCTGTTGGCGGCGACTGATTTATTAATGCTGTGTTACTAGATCTTACCTGGTATTCATGAGCTACAATCTAGAGGCCCAATGCCTAAAGGTGAATTTTATATTTCATATTAACTAGAATCACGCTGACAAGACTTAGATAGATGATTGCTTTTCCAAGGAAGTTTATTGACTGATCGGAAATGAGATTGAGTACACGGCCCTGGCCACTCAAACTGCTCTGCGCTTCTTCTTTATTGCCATTGTATGGTTATCTCCTATTTTCATGGTAGCGGATAGAGCGGCTAGATACTATTCAAATGCATTCGTGGCATCAAGCAGTACTTTCGACAAGCCCGTTACTCTCCTTAACGACAGGTAGTGGCAGATTCATAAGCGGACTTGACTCAATCCCACGAGGACCGATATTAGGACGTTTTTTAATCTCAGATTCTGGTTCACCACTCTTTAACCGTCTAATTATGTCCTCTGGATCGAAATCAACGCCAATGGGGTTCTCGATGAACTCGGGACCCATAATAAACTTAGTAGACTCCTCGACCGTGTCGAAGTTATCTACCTGTGTTTCGAGTATGTTGCCGTCGGGGTCCTGATAGTACATGCTTATGGTAGGTCCGTGGTTGACACACCAGACGGGTAGTATACCGTGGGCTTTACGCTGCAGATAAGCCGTTGTGAAGTCGTCTAGCGTTTTGAAAGTGAATGCCATATGGTCCAAGCCGGCGCTCAGCCGGATCTTATCGCCCAAGCCAGGAATCGATATGATAGCGACACGATGATGCTCACTGTCATAGGTCAAGAATGCTAGCGATTCACTCTCTGACACGACGCGTGCACCTAGAAAGACCTTGTAAAATTCAAGCACGGGCTTGAACCGCCCTGTCCTAAGCACAACGTGTGCTAGACTATCAGGCGAAAGGACTTTGCCAGACAGATTCGCTCCAGCCATAATGTAAGAGGTTGCGGAAGTCGAAAAGGATTTAATCAAACGTTAGTTTCTGATTAAGAACAGCTGTATCGAGTTTGAACTAGTGTCGATTGTTGTGGACGATATTGAGCAGTCTACCTAGGTACCTACCACACAGGGAACACTTCGACCTTTTATACCGTTACATATCTAATATAATATCTACAGAGCACTTATTAATATATCTTGACCACTGACTAATATCGTTACAAATACAACGGCTGCACGCGCCCTCAAACGGATGCGGGGAGCACACACCAACAGTATGGAAAGGTGACACAACTTTGCGCCGTCGACGCCGTGAGTGTCCGAAAAGGTAATCTCCGGGCCGCAAGGGAGTAGGGCATACCTGTGATAAGGGATGCAAATTGTGACTGGTTCTCCCTTCTCCCCGCCCGTACACGTCCACCTATGTTAGACCCCTGGATCACCAAGACATCTAAAATATCAGGTAAGACAAAGCGCCTCTAGCTATATCATTACATCAGTCTAGATTCATATTTCTTCGTACTTACGTCCCCTCATAACTTACCACTTACCTACCTAGGGTACTGTCCCTTGTTGCAGCAAGTAGCAGACGTACTGACGTAAATCTAGACCCCTCTAATCGACTCACAATAATGTCTCGGCTTTTGACATTGGGACCGAAAGGCAATGAATGGACCTATGATAAAGATGCCAAGATCTACAGCCTTACTCGCGGATCATCCCCATCGGCATTTACCCTCCGCACGACTAAGGGTCCTACGGATACATCGATCACGCTGGCGCCGAGCCTCAGCGCTCTGGTTGTGGTTGACATGCAAAACTTATTCCTGCATCCAAGTTGCAATAACCACCCTACTGGTCTGGTTGCAGTGGAGCGTACTCTTGAACTAGTTAGAAAATGCCGCGAGATTGATGTCAAGGTATAGTAATAATGCTAGCACTCAGGATCGGTCTACGTATAATCGGGTTGTCTTATGATACCCCTCATATCCAAGTGAAATATGAAAATATAATGTTATACATGTGTTGAACTTCGTACTGACATTGGTACTGGGTCTAGATTATCTGGTTGAACTGGGGGTTGAGTGAGGAGGACCTCGAAACCATGCCAGCGGCCGCCGAACGGGCCTTCGATAGGAGCCTACTTACGACGTCTCCAGACGGCAAGCAGGCTAGAGGCGGCTTCGGCTCCGACATGGGAGAGGGTAGAGGTCGAATGTTAATGGAAGGATCGTGGAATGCAGCGCTTTATGGCGCTTTACGTGACATCACACGCGCATCGGATATATTCTGCAGCAAGAATCGTATATCCGGCTTCTGGCACGGCGAGACGCCGCTCGCGAAGGAATTAAACTCCGGTGGCTTTCGCACTCTTCTATTTGCCGGCGTAAACACGGACCAATGCGTCTTGGGAACTCTAGCTGACGCATATTATCGCGGATACGACTGCATTATGGTCGAGGACTGCTGTGCAACGGGGACTCCAGGAGGGCAAGAGGTTACTGTACGCAATACCTCGGTGAGTTGACTATTTGATCTTACTATTCGGTCTAAACATCCCAAATAATCCCAATATTAAAATGTCAAGATAGAATAGCCTTCCCTCCCCTCCCCCTCCCCTGCTGTAGTTCGGATTAGACATTTCAAAACGTTTTGCTAACGCCAGACGCATAGGGGATATATGGCTTCGTAGTTGATAGCAACAGCGTTATTGATGGTACGCTCGACGCCGAAGCACGGAAATGAATACGACGACATCTATGACTTCATTTATTGGGTGAGGCTTGCTTGAGACAGCCCGTTTCTCAGATTGGCAACTCCGCAACTAGGTACTCCAAAGCATATTAAGATGTCATTAGTAGGCGTTGAGCACTGTATGCTACGTTATCTCCCCAGTTTCTATGCGTACCCCAGGTATTAGTCTTGAACCCCGCGTGTATGTATGTGAGGGACCTTCGGGCTTCACGAAGAAAATTAGTGCCTGCGGTTGGGTAGCATTAAGTAAAGCTTCTCCGATAATGCGGCGGTCACGATCTCCAAGTAGCTCCATGGCGGACAGTTTGACTACCCTCGTAACTTGACGGGAATAACGCGGGGTTTCGGTCAACGACTTACCTATCTGGTATAATAGTGCCAAGATAGAACGAGGAGGTTGATTTGTCATATGTCAACGTCTTAATGTCTTAACTGACTAATAGTGTAAGTGTCTTAATAAGACAACGAAAAATAATTCACTTTCCTGACAAGTGTTAGTAATGGCTATTTTGCAAAGTACTGCGATTATGTATGGCTATATTATACGACGGTGTGTAAGCTCGTATCTGTATTCAGCTAAAGGCAACTTGATCCTGTCAATTTCGTTGGTCTAGTGATCAAATATTGATGACTATGGCAGTACTTATGAGACTTGAATTGGACATAACAACTGCTGCTGTGTTCTGTTTAATACGTTATTCTTGATATCATCACGCGCATGCACAGATTGACTCGACAGTACTAGTCAACTTAAGACCTATATTGCTTCGATCTTAGTTGGCGAAAAGTGGCTTTGAACCCAGCTTAGTGGAACGTTCAACGTCTCCAAAGCTTTGGTAACAGGTAACCACTAAGGACTCTCTGTTGAGTTATGACTTGGCAAGAGTCTCTCCCAGCTCCTTGCCTCGGTCGGCCGCCGCCTTCACGGCTTTATCGACAGCGTCCTTGAATCCCGAGGCATCGAAGCTTTTCAGGGCGGCTTCCGTAGTTCCCTTGGGGCTGGTAACGTTGATTCGCAGCTGCGCCGGCTCTTCGGACGATTCAACTAGCATCTTGCCCGCTCCAAAGCAAGTCTGCTTGGCCAGACGCGTTGCCTGCTCCCGCGAAAGCCCTAGGCTTATCCCGCTTTCGATTAAATGCTCAACCATAGCGAAGAAGTAGGCAGGACCGGATCCTAAATCACGTTCGCCTCTGATCAGGTTCCAATGGGCTTCAATTCAGTGGGAATGGTCCTTACCTGAGAGGCCGGTAACGACGTCGATCAGCTCTTCCCGATCCACCCACTCGGCCACTTTGCTCACGCTACCTAGTAGCGCCGCGGTCAAGTCTTTCTCTTCTTGCGACACGTCGCCACTTGCGAAAAGGCCCGATGCGCCCTCACCTAATAAGGCGGGTGTATTAGGCATAACACGAATGATGTGGGGTGTGCGTCCGTCGGCGAGCTTCAACCACTCCTTGAGGCTCTCCAGCGTGATGCCTGCGGCAATAGAGACAATTAAAGGTAGGGACGTGCGCTCGGCCCAAGCGCCGGCAAGCTCTTGGCATACGCCCTTTGTAACCTGCGGCTTCACTGCGAGGACGAGGAGATTCGCATCCTGCGAAGCCTCAGCGTTGGATGCGGTGGTGCGCACCCCCGTTGCCCCAATCTTATCCCGATTCACCTCCCAGGGCTCCGAGACGATAATATTCTGCTTGTTAATGCCCTTAGCCACGAGACCACCAATAATGGCACCGGCCATGTTACCGCCTCCGATGAACCCTAACTTGCTGTTTTGTAGTTGAGAAGCCATTTTGCAGTTTGTATGTCTTACTGATTTCCGTCTTGTGCGGATTTATTAATATGTACAGTAGTGTATGTACGGATGAAGCCCGCGTGAGTGTGTCGATGTCGGCTTGCTTCGGTCTTCTTAGTGTCACTTAGTATCTAAACTTCTGCGGCTGTGCTTAGTGGCTAGGACAAAATTATAGGGTTTGGTGTGGCTGGAGAGTCAGGTTACCTAATACATAAGTACCTAGGTACCTACCTAGGTATACCTAAAGCTATGGAAAGTTGTTAAACAAAACCCTCATTATTATGGCTTCACATTATAAGGACTGTCCAGTTACTACTTTATGATCATAATTTCTTTCTTCTTTATTTATTCATTTTTCTCTTAAGGATTGTTCAACCTTTGTAAAATACCCGATGGCTTCTGCAGGTATTTAAGACCGATATAGAATGTAGCACTTCCCCCTATGATAAAACCCCGTATATATATTTCCTCATATTTTATAGTCCTCGATAGCTTCTTCACAGATAAAAACCTATTGTCGTCAGGTTGGCGTAAATAGCGATAATGTATCTAAGTGGTATCAGCTTAAGTTCCCCTCTGGTCGGTTAAAGAGTCAATTATGACTTGTTTACCAAACCTAAGACATTTGTAAAGGGGTAAAGAGGTTGTCCACAGTCTGTTCAGTCCCATCTATTATTCTAAGTATCCCACTCCTCAGTCATATCCTAACAGTTACATTGTACTACACACATTGTCATTGACAATCATTTACATGTAGATACAATTCTTTTCAATTGTGCTCATCTATTCCAGTACAGCGAACATGTACAAGTGCTTGGCTTGACTATATATATTTACCCCTTTTCTCTCGAACTCATCGTCGTTCCTCTACAGATCATATTAACAACCTTATTACCAACATCATAATACTTACGCCTTTCTCCTGAATCCTACACCATATTGCTGTAGCATCCACCCCGATAATTATTCCAATATGACATCTATCACAAGCTTGCCCAACGAGCTCCTTATGGAGATTTCGGAGCATTTGAACCGTGCAGCCGACTTGAGTTCCCTTTCCGCCACAAGTCGACGCTTCTACTTCACCACTAACCATATCTTCTATAAATTTGCTGCTGCAAACCACCCGGATATGCTAAGCGTGGCCTGCGAAGCTGGTAATATTGAGATGGTGAAGAAGCTTCTCGAGGCAGGGCAAAACCCAAATACGCTCACGTCCAATTCCCGAGATCCTTCTTCAGAGGACCGTATTGGCTTTGAATGGGTTCGCGACACAGAAGACACTAGATTTGTCCTTGACTGTATAATTAGTCGTAAGCAGAGGGCTATAGAACGTCGTTCAAGGCATAATAACGATCCTCCTACTTACAACAGGGAATTAAAGAGTAGAAAGAGTAGAAAGAAGGAAAGGAATAGGGAGAGTAGAACAAGAAGAAGAGTAAGAAGATACTTGCGTCTAGTTTTGAAAAACTTCTGGTTCCCCCTCCACTCTGCTGCTATAGCTGGATCTACCGAGATCGTCAAGCTATTGGTAGACTCCGGTGCTCTCTTGGACGTTCCTGCGCATGCTATTTATAACTGCCAACCTCATCACGACCGGAAGGAAATCAAGTCAGAGTATTACTATTGGACACCATTACACACCGCCTTATGCTGCGGCAATGAGGCTGTGGCAAACTTGCTTATTAGTCTAGGGGCGTCAACAGATGTTGAAATAAAAAAAAGGAAGTCTAGTGCACTGCATTGGGCGGCCCGTGGCGGCTATTTATCAACCATGGAACTACTTTTAGAAGGCGACCACAAGGTCCCCGTTGACATCAAGGATATTGTAAGTAATATTTATTAACACTGCCTCCCCCCCTAAATGTGTTTTGAACATCATTTATTCCATATAGGTACTTCCGACTTTTTGGATATATCTGAGCGAACACTTCCCTTCTTTGGAGATAATGATTACTGACCTTTTCATAGGATGGCGCAACCCCCCTCATGTGGGCTTTAGGGACACCACATAGCATCCAGACAATGCATTGCCTTATTCGGCACGGTGCAAACATGGAAGCACGAACTAATAAAGGGTGTCCTTGGTTTCATGAACAACCCACTGCACTCTTACGAGCCATTCGTTGTTGTTGGTATGAAGACGCCCTTTACCTTATTAATTCCGGGGCGAATATCCATCCTCCTACAGACGATTTACCATCCGCATTGGACCAGTGCCTTATTTCCCTCCGTGGGATCCCTAGCGAAGCCACAGCAGAGAAATGGTTCCACCTTGGGTCTAAGGTAGATGACGATATGCATATGCAATTTCGTAAGCGTTTTCTGCTCGAGCGCGACCTGGGGTCTTTGTCAAAGAATACTGAGTTCAACGATATTTGCGATGAAGAAGTTCGCTCTGGCATGGTGGAATTGGCCAAAAGGCTCATCTGCATCGGTGCTAATGTTCACGGTTCTCCTGGCACTCGACATTCGCCGCTAGTGCGCGCATCAGGGGCTCATTTGGCAACGGTGGTAGACCTGTTGATAAAGCATGGTGCGCGAGTTGACCAAGAAGACGAAGATGGTCTAAATCCGCTACTTGCTGCTGTCCTTGCCACGGATACGGCATCTCCGAAATCTTGTTTTGATACCGTTGAGTGCCTCCTCAACAATGGGGCAAATCCTAACAAGATAACTCGGCGCAACCGACCAGTTCTCATGGCTTTATGCGCTAGTTCTTCCCCAAGCCCAAATGATCTTGAGCTGGTTAAGCTTCTAGTCGAACATGGTGCGGATATAAATGCCCGTAGTGCCGTAAGGGTAAATCGTCTTTCTTTACAAGAAGACGTCGAGGAGTTCTTGTTATTTTCACCTCTTCAAGCCGCTCTCTGCACTTATAAGGTAGATATCTGCCGGTACCTTATCGATATAGGTGCGGAAGACTCTCATGAAATGCCCAATCTTGGTGACATACTGGAACATTTGGTCTATCAGGATGAATTCCACTTCGAAGACAGAGACATACGCGGTCGAGAACGGTATTGTGAAGCTCTCTCGCTTCTCCTCGAACTCGATCGCTCAGGATGGCTTTCCAAATATCCTAAGGCTCTTTGGATGTCTACTATGGTCCGTTGCTTCCCCCTGACGACGATTCTTCTCCAAAATGGAGCTTCTGATGCTTCATGGGTCAACGAAATTGGGGAAACTTGTAAGTACACCTCACTCATTAAGATGCGTAGATTATTAACGATTTATATATAGGTTTACATAATATGGCCTCTTATGGATTCGGTGACTACCTGGTTCCCACCCTTATACCACACCTTATCGCAAATGGCGCGGATATTAACAAGCTTAATAACGAGGGCTACTCGCCGTTCTCGTATATTTATGAAGTAGGCTTCTATGACGATCGTGTTGAGAATGTTGGACGGTACCTCAGAATATTCACAGCCTTCATCGAGAATGGGATAATCCAGACGGAAGGCGATGTAATAATGTTTGAATTGTTGGCGGATAACCTGCATCGCATGTATAATATAGCCCAGTTACACCTATTTGTGGAACTAAGCAACCTGTACGTTGTCAAAGACTGGAAAATAGTTGCTCGAGAAACACCCCTCCACCGGGAAGTCTCTCAGTTCAGGACCAGTATGGACGAGGCTAGCCGGGCTAGACATTAAAAGGCTATCCTGGTGCTTCGCTCCTAACGATAGTTGAGGGGGAGTATTACGAGACTGAAAATTGAGAAGGTAACTCAAGTCTTAACTTGACTTACCTAAGAAGTAGTTTAATAAATATACCTAATTTGCATATTTATTTCCCGGAAGAGGACTAACTATGATGTGTTGAAATATGGTAATTATTGCTATATATCTACCTCCGAGGTACCTAAGGTAGGTTACTAAAATACGCTTATAAGGCATAACTAACTTGGGCTAGGTTCTCAATCGCGGCCAGTCCATACAGCGCAGCATCGTTGGTCGAAACCCACGTTGCCTCGTCAACCGGCACTAGAACTTCACTTCCGTTCAGATGCTCGCTTGCCCAGGACAGGGATGGCGAGAGGCCGTCGGTGCTGAGGAACTCTTTCCACGCGCGCGCCGCCAGCGTCGAGTTGTCGAGCTTCTTGGCTGCGTACGCAGTCAGTCGCGAGTGTCCCTGTTTCAAACTTAAGTTGCCGAAGCTGACTCCATATCGCGCCTTTTGCTCCGCTGCCCCCGCGCCGTAGTAGTAGCAGTAATCCAACCAAACCTGTTCAAAGCCGGTCGGCAGGTCGTCTCCTAGGTAGTCCGTCAGCTGCGAGATGATCTCTGGCAGCCCAAAACTCGCCGAGAGATGGGACACGGTCACGTTGCCGAGGTTCTCTGGGTCAGTGGCTGGTGGCGAGATAACGCCCGTATAGAGATTGTAGAGACCTAGTCCTGTAACAAAGCCATTTTTCAGGTTTACAATACTGTGCATAGTAGTATTGAGTTTTGATCGTGCTTCTTCCCATCGCGGGCCGCGTCTCTCCCACTCGAGTAGCCATGTCGATGCTAAGCCCGACCAGTCCAGACCGAGGTCCAAGTCCAGAGCGGTCGGGTCAATAACATATGTGCCGTTGTCCTTGCGGACCTTGCGACGCGGATCTACCGTGAGGAATGCCTGGTCGGCGTCCATAAGCTCGTGGAGGAGTTCCCCGGTTCGCTCGTCGCCACCGGACAGGTAATAAAATACTTGTCGGTAAATGGGTGTCGACACACGGATCTGCTTAGAGCTGTCGCCCCAGTGCTGGACACCGTGGCGGGTACCGAATCCCTTGAACGGACCGATATGATAAACGTCTACCTCACCGGTATGTCGTGCGTGGGCTTCTGCAAATCGGTACACGTCCGCTCTTCCCGTGCGCAAGAAGTAGTTCCAGAAGAAAAGGTTAGGGGAAAGTTCCGAGTTGTCCCACGCGTATCCTCCAATATCATAGCGCCAGGTGTGCCTATCTTCGTCGTAGGTGTCTACAATAATGTGTTAGTGGTTTTATCCTTAGAGACTTTGGAAATAGGTGCCAAATAAAGGAGTACATACGCATAATGTCACCGTGATCCCAGAACCCATACCATCGTCTCTGAGACACTTGATCTTGATAGAACTTGATTAAGAAGTTGAGGTGTGTTTCGATCGTTCGTGCTGCCTCGGTCAAGTTGTCAGGGATCGTCTCCCAGTATGAACCGACAGCTTTTGTCTGTTGAATATATGCCGGGTCAGCGGCAAGTGCGGGCGGTTCGTTGGCGTGCTCGGTAAGGGAAGCTAGGGTATCCGAGGAGGGTGTTTTGTCGAACGGGAATAGGAATAATTCGTTCGTTCGAGCAATGCCGTAAGGTGTGTTGTAACCTCCCTCGTAGTCCTCATAAGTGATTTCGAGCGCATCGAGTTGGTCGTCATATGTGTCTTCCCCTAGGCCGTCATGGAAGGGTCTGAGATCCATGGGTTCGGCAGAAGGGCTGTATAGCCATAGGGTTATCTGACCAACATCCGTGGTCGCGTTAGAGATGTCTAGACTTGTTGGATATTTCTTCCAGAAATCGCGAAGAGCGACTGCGAGACCACCTTGCGTAGCACCGCCAAGATAGGCGAGACCGCCGGCTCGCGTGCCTCCGGGGATCTTCACCCAGCTCTGACCAGCCTTGGTGCGCTTTTTCAGTGTAAATCCATCAGGGGACAGCTGAGTTAAGCTATAGTCATTCCATGAGGGAATCCACTTTAACCTTGAGGAGACGCGGGTATCCCATGATGCAATATCAGGTGTCTGTTCGCCTTTGAATTGGGCACTGCGAACTTCCTCGCCAGGGTCCCTTCGTAGCCCTGTAATGCCTTGCACCGCCTCGCTTAGCAGTCCTCCTTCGGAACCAGCCAGCCTGACATGACGGTTATACAACTCTTCACCGGCTAGAGGGACGTCAAACTGGATTCCAATCCCCGCAACAAAGTCCTTATCGGCCTTCCCGTCAAATACGAGTGTGTGGACAACACGGATGGCGTCGGAATTCGCGTATAAGTAAAAGCGAAGAATAAATGGTAGCCAGTCATCATGGGTACCCAAAGATGCTTGGTGCTTTCCGCGGACAGTTATAAGGGACCTAACTGTGCTGCCTTTACCGGAGTCGACGGTCACTTCTTCGATGTTACTTTCGAATCTCAGCTTGTCTATAGAAGTTGTATTTCCGTTGTCATTCGTGATACCGGACTGCGACCGCAGTATCAGTCGTCCGTTCTGCCCTACGATTTTGCCGCTTGACGTCTTAATAGTACTTAAGAGGGTGCTTCCGGACTTGGGGAATGTGGCAGTGAGTTTTCCGGTGTTCACGGTAATCTCGTCGTTGGAGTCGCTGACGGTTAACCCTGATTGAGTAGACGAGTTTGCGCGTTTGGTCGTATTAGCTTCAACCCTGGTAGACGCGGTAATCTTGTACTCTTCGTAAACCTTCTCTGATCCACCAAGTGCATGCCCAGTCCATTTGATCGAATCATCGGGCCAGTAAGCTATTACCCATGACTCTATCTGGACCTGGTCATTACCGTCACCTCCCAAGCCAGTAAATGTGGTCTGGTTCGCTTGGTATTTGCCCCGGGGCCAAGGAAGTCCGAATGTCGACCCCAAATTGAGTGCTGGCGTGTTACCGATCCATCTCACCGTGACAGCATCTTCCGAACTGTTATTATTAGTTCGATATTTTTGGGCGGAAGCAAAGTTAGCTAGGCCGAGGACAATAGCCCCTATAGTCCGGGGCAGAGACATGCTTGGAAGGTTAAGAGGCCAGAAACACAGCCGAGGTCCTCTTCAACTCTTTTTCGAAGCCTCGCTGGACTTCCCTCCATCTAGGTGAGATTTCTATACCGAAGTCTCCCATATCTTTATATATTATATACATAATTACCTACCTGTTTAACAGTATGGGAAAACTGATCTCCAATTTCCGGCATACGGGCTTTTGGGTAAACTACAAGCTAGAAGCATTCATGCTATGTAACTTGATTTGCGTATCATTGCAACCTCGGTAGGATATTACACCGGACATGTTGCCTAGGTAGTAAAGCATGAATAGCTACTCCGCATCTAAGTTGACTTAGTATGCATTAGCATTGATCTTTGCTATGGCGAACAAGACAGGATAGGATAACGTAAGTAAACATCAATCTCTTTATGGAAAGATTCCACGAATGACGTGAGTGCCCGCGGAGCTAATTCATGTCGCTTAACGGCGATGTACTATGGTGTGGTTGCGGAGACTGTGGAGATCCCCTGGCTAGACATGCGAGTTTAGCGGCCTTGATAACTAATTTGGAGACTTCGCAATTGTCATGATAAATGTTGGAGATGAGCAATTCCCCGCAGGTGATGAGGGGTTTTGGGATGTGCCAACTCTGCTACTATTAATCCCCAGCAATCTATCAAGCATGAGACAAAATATTCGAGGAAACGTCTTGCTCTCTTCTTGGTTAGTTGCCTCCTTCTGGGTGAATAAATACTACGCATTGCAAGTCTAAGATGGATGTTTACCTATACAGAACTCTCACGCTGCTGATATAGAGGTTCTGCTTTCCACGGTAGTAAGTCCCATATGATATTAGCGAGTATTCTGGAAATATTGGAAATAATTTTAAAAATATTTGCTTGATCCAATTCACGTATAAACGCTTTGACCACTTTGAAATGCCATTTACTACCAGTGCCAGTGCCAAGTGCGACCAGCTGCTAATTTTAGCCTATTGTTTATCCATCATCGAAGATTAACGGGAATCAGTTTTTCAAAGCTTCACTTCATATCACATCTTCAGTGTCAAAGTACTTAAACTAACATGCTTCGGCAACTTTATACTCGGGCTAGGCCCTCATTACTAAGGCCAATCGCCCATCACCGTCAGTTTAGGAGCCGGCCGCAGCTCAGCTTCTCCAATTATGCGCCGCCGCCGCCTGGTCCATATTTCTCTGCACCACCCCGGTCACGAGGTAGCCGGCTTAAGGATATCGCACTCGGATCGGTGATCACCATTGTTGCTTATATAGCATATCAATTTTATTCCTTCCGTCAGTTTTCCAAGGATCTTGAGAAAGCCGTAGAAGAACTTAGTCAGGAAGAGGCCAGGGATGATGAGTTGCGCCTGAGCTTCGCTGATGCTCGCCGCGCCGGTGATCATGATCGTTTAAGGGAAATTACTTTTCAACACGCGCGCCGCAAGTGCATGTCGGACCATACGATGGAGTTTGGTCCGCTACCGAGCTTTTTTGGGGATAAGAATATTATCCCCGAGGAGGATACTTTGGTGTTTATAGGGGTCGGCAACGAAGCTGTTATCAACGTCTTCGGCCACAGCATTTTGGAAATCGACATAGCCATCAACGCCGAACTAAATGAAGAATTCCTCCCTTCGAGGAATCCGAAGGAGGGCGCCGCTCTTACGGAATTGCTTGCTCGGATCAACTCCCTAACCGTGCAGTTGGCTCGAAAAGGGTTACTGGACGAAGTTTCTGGCTTGGCACTTCGTGTGTTCTTACGAGATCAATATTTCCAAATGGAATATGATATTAATCTACCTACTCCTGAAGATGAGACCGAAAACGAGACCGAAAATGCAGCTTGATAGAGAGCTTGACGCCTATCACCGCTTAACGTTACCTGCTAACAAGCGGATTGGCAATATTGGCCATTTATCCGATGGAATAATATTCTACTGAGGTACCGAGCCTTGAGGGATTGTCCTGGTGGTCCTCCTTGATATTCAGTATGTTTCAGTTACTATTTTAGCTATAACATTGCTGTAGCCGACCCTTGCTAAGGATAGTCGGCTTTCACAGGCACCTGTATTGGTTTCATAATAGCCCGTTCGAAAATTCCGGACGGCGCGCAGACGGCGTTCTGAGAACACTGGATAGAAAGGAACTGCCAAGTAACCAGCATAGGTATATACCCAAAGATAGGCCGTAGTAAGAAGCTTAAGTGCCATCGAGAATTTTGAATGATTTTCATCGCCACAGAAGAAATCGGGGCGGATTTTACTACGTCGCATATAAGATAAAGGATGTCTAGGCAAAGAAACTGATAAACCATATTTGCTCTCACTTCTGATGGCACTGTCCTTCACCAATTATAATATTGAACCGTAGTTAACTCTAGCGATACCGCTTCGAGCATTCCAACTCATAGACCATTCATACTATCCAAAAATTCGCAATCAAAAAGCGTTGAAAATTACCATACTCTTTAATATGAACGTCCGGAAGCAGCTTTCAATCAACGGGGGTATCATGCCTTCTTTTCGCCGCTTTGGTAATATCATTCCTAGAAAATCGACGCACAGCCGTGAAATATGAAAGTGAAAATAGATCTGAAAAGAAGCTATGCGAGAAGTAACATAGGTACCTAAGGCAATCCTGACACTTGGACGGATTAAAGGGGCCTCTTTTCCCTTTAGGTCGAGGGAGACGACGAAGAGTTTCTCCCCAACCTCTTGCTCTTCTTACCCACGATATCAATCACTTCGGGCTCCGGCGTCTCGGGGTCCTCAAGCCGAGTAGACGGCTCGCCTACTTCGGGGTCGTCTCTGTACGGGGCAATCGGCGTAGTAGTCTCTTCCTCGTCGTCGCGATCGGTAGAAACGAACAAGGGCGCGTACCCGCGTTCGCCACGATTCTTGAACCAAGCTGGCGTCTTCCATTGCGGCGCCCTCACCTTCACCTTCACCTTCGGGATTGCTGGTAACTTCCACTTCACAGCCTTAACCTTGAGGCTCGGCCTCGGTAGCGACGCCTCTTCGAGCCACGGCAGGCTAGGAGGAGCATCTGGTCGTAGTTGGTGTCCGCAGTTGGGACAATCGGGCGGAACAGCCTGCCACGCGAGGTATTGCGTCAGCCCCGGGATTGCGAGGCCGCGAGAGAATTCGCGTACCGCTAGGAAGAGATGGATCAAGCTGTGCATAATACACTGGATTTAGCAACTCATTATCTTGTATGCTTCTTGCTTGATTTCTGGAGAGATCAGAATATGGGTGAACCTACAAATTAATCAATAGTGGAATAGTCGCGTATGCGGCTAGCATGGCCGATTCGGCACTGTTAGTGCTGCTACCGCTGGAATCGATCCATGTGAACACCAGGACTACCATAAGTGCTGCAGCAAGGATCGTATCGACGGCGAAAACGAGGATGGGGTGGGCCTGAGTCGATTTCGGCGCTGGAGCTGGGGTGGGCGCATCAGAGGCCTCTCGGCTCTGCTGCGTGTCTTCCGTCTCTGGTCCTCGTTCATATTCTTGTTCTAGAGCACTCTCTTCGGTACCCCCTTGTTCCAATTCCGGCTCCGGTTCTGAGGGTGTCTGCTTACTCCTAGACTGCCGCAAATTTAGAAAAATACCTGCGCCGGCTGAGAAGGCGAGCGGCACCAGGCCGACCGCGGGGGCGGGGCTGCCTGAGACGACGCCGTGCGCGATACAGAGGGGAAACGCAGGCAAGAAAGTCGCAGCGGTAACAATGCGCAGCGTTCGGGTGTCGGCCATGGATGCGGTAGCTACCTGAGCTATCGCGAAGAGGATCTCACGGAATTGGCCTATGTGTATATGTCTACCTCTGAAGAAGTGGAAGAAGAGGGGTTTGACAAACAACATAAAACTTACAAGGGTTCAAGTTGAGGTTCGTTTGGGCAGCCCCTTGCTCATCCTATCACCGCCAAGGATCTGATTCGCTAACCAATGAGGTTACACTATTGGACCGCGGCCCTGCCCAGGCTGGCGATCTTGTTGTCAGGAGGAACTTGATAGGTGATCAATAAGATGTGGGCAAATGGTTAGTGATAATTGGTGGCTGGATGCTACGTGGTCAAGTAGCACATAAAACTAACACTACAATATAAATAATTCGATCATCAAATCTTTTATAACATAATTTTATGATTGTAGAATGAAAGTGTAGATCGTAGTAGATGAGAACTTATCCGCTTCAGGGAATTTCATAATATAAGTTTCACACAAGAAGATTCATAAATGGATAATGATATATTATGCCGACCTAGGTAACAAGTATAACTAACACAACGGGTCGTCATAGTGATAAAGCAACACTTCCGTAAACATTCCCATTCTATCACTTCCTTTTCCTAACTTAAACATCATATGTGATTTGTCGTAGCAGGACCGCATTCGGCGTCGGCGGAGCCTGCGAGGCGGGCACGCCGGGCTCCATAGGTGGTACGGGGTGCAGGATGGTAATAGGCCGGAGGACAGTCGTCGGGTATAAGACGACCGGACCACCCACTGCGCATTTAGGACGTACCGGCGGCTTTGGGAGCGGGCGGTTCGGTGGACCGGGAGCATCACGGGTTGGACGGAGAGGACCGTAGATGTGTGGCGGTGGCACCTCGTAGATGATGCGGCTGATGGGTGGTGGTATAATGATATCAATCGGCATTGGGCCTACTTGAGATTGATTTGTGAAAGGGTTTCTGATAGTAGCCCAGTTTGGTAGTAGCAGGAAGGGATATGGTAGGTCACAAGTACTAAGGTATGTGCTTGAGTGTAACTAGCGGTTGAATAAGAGGTTATGTTTGGTGGAAGAGGGAGTTGTTGGTAAGGGGGAGGAGAGAAATTATAAGTTCGCAAGATAGATGGAAGATTGCGTTAAATATTTTTTTATGACATCTCAATCTATCATTGAATTTTTCTTCAGTCTAGGTACGTTTAACCCGCCTAGGTTGTCTTCTATATGATAAGGTGACGAGGGTCGCTGACTTGGGTGTGACTTGGAGTATTGCCTGTAGCTATACGTAGCGTCTGGTGGTAAGATAGTGGGTTCATGCGAGTTAACCCTCTATCAGGATTGAATAGCGGACGTCGTATGGCCTGAAGTCTATGCTTCGTAGAATAACTTAGAGGGTTGAATCATGAATTCTAGTTCGATGGTGATTCACGTTCCTGAATGGGGAACACCTGTAATGTCTTGGGGCCGAGTCACGATATGATATACATTGGGCGTTGCTCTATCTCAGGAATCATCCTCTTTCGATACTCCTTTCGACTGAATTGTGGTACCCAATAGGTAACAAGCGAGTTTAAGTGACCTTATTGTTGTTGCAATGAACAACCCAGCCCCGGGAACGAAGTAGGCGAGTTAATGGGTTGTCTTGGCCTTACGAATTGGTTATTGCACATGACCCTGGACTCTCGTTGAGGTGAATTGCGTAGATTATAGTCTTCTGCTCGACGTTTCCGAAGGAAGAATCCGTTTTTAAGGATGGAATTATTCATTAGAAAGTCATGTTATGGTATCGACGATGCTTTCGCTCGAGCCCGTCCTAAAACGCCGCGTTGTATCATGCCCTGCTATACAAACTTGCTACCTTAATCCCAATACCTGATGATACCATCCAGACCCGCCGCGACAACCTTGCTCGTCTCCTGAGGATGCCACTGCACGCATGTGATCGGCTGGTCGCCAGCTTGCAATTTATGATACATCTTACACGTCTTCCAATCCCAGAAGCAGACGAACCCACCGCTGTCACCGCTCGCGAGAAACTGCCCGTCGGGGCTGCACGCGACATCGATAGCTGTGCCGGCGTTGTTATGCCCTCTGTAACTCTTCTTCCTATTTTGCCTGAACTTGTCGTTGGCGCCGTAGACCACGATCTGGTTGTCGGATGATTGGTATGCCACGTATTTGTTTGACGGGTGCAGGCACGCGCGTGTCATTGGGAACATATATGGTTCCGCGACGTACTTTATGGGTACGGGAATGTTGTAGTCCCATGCGCGTAGCGACTTATCGTCGGACGTGGTCATGAACCGTCGGTTGTCGTCTACGAAGGTAATGGTGTTGACGGCATTTAGATGGTGATCGTATTCCTGGACAAGCTCCCTCGTCCGTGTGTCGAATTGAACGATCTTCTTATCCGACATACCTGCGAGGAATTCATGCGAATGCTCGGGGGAGGGGTTGAACTTGATGACGTGTGGTGTCTTGCCGGTTGTAAACTTGTTGATACAGGCACCTGTTTCGGTGTCCCATAGCTTCATTTGGCGATCATACGATGCCGAGAGAAACTGCGTACCAGAATTGTTAAAGCAAATATCGGAGACAGCTTTGGAATGGCCCAGATAACTTCGTAAAAGTTCCTTTTGGTGGTAAACATCCCAGATCTTGACGGTGCTGTCTGCACCAGATGATAATAATAGATGCCCCGAGTTCGGGAAGAATCGAAGAGCGGTGACAGCCTTGTTGTCGTGGTTCTTCCACGTATGAACCAGCTTCTTGGGGATGTAATTTGTGATGCTGCCGGGTTCCTTTTGTAAATCGATATCCAGATCTTTGGGTACGTGCATGTAGGTCCTCCCTTGGTAATCATATTCCTCCTGGCCGTGGAATATGGTCTGCTCATCTCCTAATTCCTCCACTTGCTTTCTCCTAGCTATGGCGTCTACCGGTGCCGAGACGACAGTACCACTTGCCACGACGTCGTCTTCGTCTTCATAAACGTATTCGACCTCTTCGTCACTTGCTATTTCTTCGTCTTCTGCAACTTCTTCGTATTCATCCTTCTGATATTTTGCCCAGGGACCTACATATGCGCCATCTCCGTCGGCGATAGTCGCGTTGCCTTTCTTTTGCCTCGATTGCCTTAGTTTGGCCGCTTCCTCTTTTACTGCAGCACCGGACTGGTATTCCCTCTCTGGACCGCCCTTGCGTTCGATGGCACGATGCTTACTTCGAAAGGTATGTTCGCTGAGGAAGGTCTCTTCTGCATGGCCGGTAAGAATGTTTTTTCGTTTTAACGTATTTGCTTCGTCCTTGTATGGGTTAAGAGGCCCGAGTCGAGGTCGCGCAAGATCTTCGCCGGTGTAAGGCACGACAGCGTGATCGGGTTCAGCATGTTCGCGTACTATAAGCGCATCCTGGGGTGCCATATTTGGCGGATATTCCCCGAATTCGTTCATTTTGCTTCCGTATATTATTCTTGATACGCGCTTGTAAATGGAGTGTTAGGCCAGTAGGCGTGTTGTAAAGACGTGGTGGGTCGTAGTGTTTTTGCGCTCCAGCAGCTTTAGGTAGGTACATACACTAGCAGACGTCAGGGGTTACTTTTATTAGAGCTTCCAATGCCTTTTATTTTTTTATTTTCCTATTCTTCTCAAGATTACGTTATCGTTTCGATAAATCAATAATTCCGGTAACATGAACTCATTACTAAACTATAACCATGTACACCATAACTACAAGATATACAAGATACAATTACATACAGGGCTTAAGTGATCTTGATATCTTGATATCTTGATCGCATTTGCTAAATGCCTTACATTATTTTCAAATATCATATTACCAAACTCGTACAGATCGGGGTATTATCTTGTGACTTTATTATCTATGAGAGTCTCCGGCCCGAAAAAAAAAAAACCTTGCATATACTGCTGATTTAACAGACCTGACCTACTCCCAGGTCGCTCGCTATCATAATTTCAATCCCATGGTATCGCACATATCGAACGAGACAATCGGGTCATTTTCAATCCCTATCGAGGGACCATGTTCCATCCCGCTTCATCAACTCGTCCGGTAATTCCCCCTCTCCAAGCAAATTCAAGACTTCCAGGCTCGCTCCAGGGTTGTTTGTCTGGATTGACGATGCTCCCGCCGGGTATCTGGAGACCCTATGTAATCGTGGCCTCATAAGAGTCATTCCATTAGGGTGTTTCGTTTGCGTCGTGTTTATCATTGTGATTATCTCAACGTCTCACAGCTTATTTCGTCTCGTCCTTAATCAAGGCAACGATCATGCTGTATAGGTAGAAGAAAAACATGACCAGATGGAAGCCCAGCTTAATGAATGATTCCTACAACTAACGTTAGATGGGCCACTCGAAAATTTAATAGATATCCATACCTTCTTGTGAACATTGAGCTTCCTGAAGATCTCGGTTGCATCCAGCAGGTGAGTGTTGTCCACAATCCTATATACTGCGTTAGAATCTCCTGATAGAGCACTTAAAACCATTTGATATGGCTGGGACGCAACGCACTTCTTAATGTTCCAGGCGAGGAGCGGCAAGTTGAGGATCAGTGCCACCCAGTATCCATTAATCAAAAACAAGAAGGTCAAGAATCCATGTACAGCAGCTTCGGGAATGATATAGGTGTTGAGACGGTTGCATAGGTCGATAGGGTTAATGTAGTCACTAAAAAAGAGACTGTTAGCCAAAAGAGCCCGCCAGAATAGACAAGAGACAAGAGAAACAATGACGTAGATCAAAGGCGCACCCTGCGGAACGCAGATCTGGCTATGAACTCCAACGCCTTTCCCTCTCTCTCCAAGGTTCCAAGGTCTTGCACATACCATTCTAAATCACTATACATAATCGTAAAGAACACTTGAAGGAACAGGTTGACGGCATTTATTAGCACGGCGAAGAGGTATAACCACGCCTCGCCCGACATCTTGACAGTTGTACTTTTGGTGGTCTACAAGGGAGCTGCAACGGTATAGAATAAACTGTCGGATATGCAAATCTCTCGTTAACCGGTATAACCGAGCGAAGCTGTACGGAAGCTTTCTAACAGCGTATATCTAGACGGTCTCGGGCGCACGTCGAGAAGGTTGGACGGTCGAAATGACGGGACCTAGAGTAGGACCCGAAGGAGAGAGAATGCGGAGATAAGGCTGCAAGATTACGGTGCGCGAGTATCCCAGCAAATTAGGAGAGAAAGATTTACGTGCCGTCGGAATGTACTGTAGACGGTAGACGGTATGTCGAAAAGTCCCCGCGATTAATTAAGCTGAGAACAGTGATTTGATTATTTATCGGTAGTTTGAGAAATTTGGGGGGAGCGGAGGTTTTGTGCGGGTGGATGATGAAAGCGGCTCGACCGAAGCAAGAGAAAAAAAAGCTTGCCTTCCTTTTGGGAGGAGAGGAGATTGGGCCTTGAAGCGGCGAAGCTTGGTGAAGCTTTCGGCTAAGGTCCACCCACTAACAGACACTGAATCACTGATGTGGTATTCCATCAGGTACATGGTACAATGCCTAACTAGATTCTACAGTGGACATACCCTCTAACGAACCCCCACATTGGACTCTAGAGTCTGGAAAAATGGAGGAACAGGGACTAGAAATACAAAAGCCACTACCTATCTAAGGTTAGATCAGGCAGTTTCTCTAACAGTTGCCCGGTATACTAGCGTAAAAAATGCAAAGGGCTAGAAAGAAAAAGAAGAGTTGGCTCTTACCCAAGTGGTTGGTTAACGACCTGAAAAGGGGGAAAGGTTCAACAAGATATACCGCCCAATAACACAAACCACATACCTACCTTATATATTCACCTAATACAAATGAACAAATAAACTCGGTAGGATATTTCTTGCGCCAAGATCACTTTGCTTTTTTACTATGCTATGCTACGATAAAATCCCAGTAGTATGCATCGCTAGTATCATAGACAAAGACATATCATAGCTCACCCACGAAGCTACTATGTGCTACCATTTGCTGCGATTTCCACGTTCGGTATCGGTATAGGTCCGCCAGGCGAACTTTCCGTTCGCGCTGTTAATACTTCCACTCCAGTTTCGGTTACTAAGAAAGTGTGCTCTGAACTATAGTTAGTTTATTTATTGCGGAGGATACGGGTGTCGACTTTACTCACCAAACTGAGCGGTCCTCTTGCCGTCGATCGTAGTGCTTGTCCAGTTGTCCGGCCAGGTAATATCCCGATACTTACCCAACGCGATCATAGGTTCGATGGTAAAAGTCATGCCAGGTTTACATTCTCCTACGGCCTTATTTTTCGCATAATGAGGTACGTTGGGCGGACAGTGGAACAGGGAATTAACTCCGTGGCCGCAATATGTCCTGATAACGCTGCAGTTCCTCGACTTGGCGTGTTTTTCAATAATGTTACCGAACTCTCGTATTAGAGTTCCTGGTTTTATGAGCTTGGCTGCCTCGTCTAGGCATTCTCGAGCCGTTTCGACTACCCGGACCGAGTCGGGATCAGCCTTAGCTTTGTCACCCACATAATACGTCTCGTTCAGATCCGCATGGTAACCCCCGTGGTAAAGCGAGACGTCAAGGTTGATAATATCGCCGTCTAATAATACCCGCTGGTCTGGAATTCCGTGGCAGATAACTTCGTTGACCGACGTACAAATAGACTTGGGAAAGTTGTTGTAGTTAAGGGGAGACGGATAACACTGTGATAGTCAGTTATTGCCGTGCGGATTCCGTACCCCAACAAGGCTATTCTTCTCACCTCTCGTTCTATGGAAGCCTTATGGCAAACCTCGTCGAGGTAATCGGTAGTGACACCAGGTCTCACTTCGGCCGCGACAATATCCAAAACTTCTCGCCCCAACCTGCACACCTTACGCATGGCCTCTTGTCCCTTGGCATCGAGTAGGTCGATCTTATTCCTATTAATATATCGCTCGCTCTTGGGGTAGCCCGTCTCAGCATAGTCGGGATGCGGTATCGATTTGGGGACTGGGCGTGGTTTCGATAACGGATAGACAGGACGCAGCGATCCGGTATACGAGAAGGTGGGGAATGGGTTGTAGAAGCCGGTAGCTGGATCAGGTTTAGAGACGACCTTTGGAGTTCGAATATGGTCAAGTATACCGTTGGCAGTCTTGCCCTGCGCGATCTTGTGCAGTGCCTTGTGATCATTCTGCAAACGGATAATGTTAGTATAGAATGTAAGACTGGAATCGTGGTTGAAGCATACGGACCCAATTCTTCTTGAAGCAATCTTGTGAACAGAAGTTGCTGTCCTTGATTCCTATCTTCAGACATGTAGGACATTGTAGGGCGGAGGCATCATTTTCACAGTCTGCTCCTAAGCACTTTTTCTTGGTAGGCGGTTCGGTGGTCATGGTGGAGGGGTTCTCTAGAGATCCGAAGCGAGAGATGGGAGCTGTCGGATAAGAAAAGAGAAAATTGAGAAATAATACGAACTATATGTGTGTATTACTGAGAGTATTGGAGGTAAGATCCCACGATATACACATATAAATCGGTGAATATCGTAGAACGATGTTGGTTTCTTGGTGGGATGTTATTTATTCGCTTTTGTAGAAAGAAAGGCGCAAGGCGCAAAACCCTTTCCTCGAATTTACCTAAGGTACCTAGGTACATAACCCCACATTAAAAGGTACAGGGCCCAATGCCAGTGGATCCCGAGGGGTCGGCCTTGCCTACCTCGATTTATGCATTTGTAATATTCTATTAAAGGAGTTCAACATCAAAGAGGTTCTTATCAATACTTCCCGCTTCTATCCGGAACTGATGGTGGTGAGAAATTTCAACTTCGTCCGTATGGGGACATTTGTAACCTAATTAGAGACCTACAGTTTGCTCATGCTGAGATACATTCTTGTGATATTTCTAATATGTCGAGTCAGAAATATGTAGTGGTTGGTGCCGGTCCTGTCGGGTCGCTTGCCGCGCTGTATGCGGCAAAGAGAGGTCACGATGTTGAGATATACGAGCTTCGAGGCGGTAGGTAGCAAGATTCCAAGTAAATGTATCAGTCCAAAATTCATTCATTTCTTAAAAACTATTCATTTCTTAATAAGCTGATTCCGAGGCTTGTCATTATGAATCCGATACTGATGTAAAGTAGATTTAAGAGATCCTTCAACAACGCCGCTAAACTTCACCAAGTCTATTAATCTAGCTCTATCTGAAAGGGGTATCAATGCTATGCGACATGCCGACCAGCAAGATCTTCTCGACCATGTATCATCAGCGACTATTCCTATGCGAGGTAGAATGATCCATGGCAGGCGTCCGTCTGGTGAACTATTTGAAGAATCTCAGGATTATGATATTCACGGAAGGGTACTGCGGTATTCCGCTGTCAGCGAAGCAGAATAACTCAACTGGCTGACATGACACTATAGACGATATTTGCCGCCGACAGAGCCGATCTTAATAGACGACTACTAGATATTCTTGGCGCAATGCCGAATGTTAAATTTTTCTTCAACCATAAACTTACCGGCGCGGATTTCAAGCGTCGCAAGGCATGGTTCGAGGTTCGCGGCCAGGACTCGCCGTCGGGTCGACCTGAAGAGATCGAAGTTTCATTCGACTTCATGATGGGTGCTGACGGGGCGCATTCGGCCGTACGATATCATCTTATGAAGTACACTCGAATGAATTACCAGCAGGAGTATGTCGATACTCTATGGTGTGAGTTTCAGATCAAGCCTAAGGAGGGAGATGAGCTTCACGATCAAAAGTCAAAATTCCGAATATCTCCAAATCATCTTCACATTTGGCCGGGAAAGCAATTCATGTTCATCGCTATACCCAGCGAGGTATGAAAATTTATTTCCCGCAAATCGGCAATACTGACGGACGATAGGATGGATCTTTTACCTGTACTCTCTTCCTACCGAGCTCCGAGTTCGCGAAATTGGAGGGCGACTCGTCCAAACTACCCGCTTTCTTCGATCAACATTTTCCAGGCGTAACTTCATTAATAGATCCAGGTGAACTGGCCTCTTCATTCGAGACGAATCCGCATCTCCCTTTAATCAGCATTAAGTGCCAGCCTTACCACTACTCTAGTTCTGTTGTCATATTAGGGGATGCAGCGCACGCAATGGTACCATTCTACGGTCAGGGTATGAATGCTGGGCTCGAGGATGTCCGTATTCTCTTTTCTATTCTAGATAAGCACGCCACGGCCGAGAATAACAACCCGGACAGCCCGGGCTCGGTTGACATAGCCTTTGAAAGAGGATTGGCCTTAGCAGAATATTCGGCCATTCGCGTTGCTGATGCCCACGCTATCAACGACCTGGCTTTACAGAACTACGTCGAGATGCGCGCCTCGGTCCTAAGCCCGATTTATCGTGTCCGTAAGTTCCTAGAAGAGTTCATGTCTGTCCATCTGCCAAGTCTGGGATGGCAAACGAAATATTCTCGCGTGAGCTTCGGAAACGAAAGGTATTCCGAAGTTGTCGCGAAGAGTAACCACCAAGGCAAAGTCCTCATGCGTGGATTTATTGCGATACTATGCAGTCCCATCGTCGCAGGCGTTCTTGGTCTATATTGGACTCGACGTCGTTCCCTTGGTGGCGCATCTCTTCTTGACACAATTCGTAACCTAAGAAGATAACTTCATAGGCTCCAATCAATAAGATAAGGTGTTTCCACATTGCTTATATTAGCCGAGTTAGGAAATACACCACATTAAATGCTTATGGTCAATCGACTTTAGGTAGTAGCGATTTTCTTCATCCAGTCACGTAGGAGGATTGATTTCGGTAATAGCTAGAGGTAGGTACATATATGCGGGTTTCTTCGTAGGGCCAGGTCGACACCCATACTTTATTACAGATATTATCATGCGTCTGAGGTTGAAGATGATAGGGTATAAGTGCTACGACAAGAGACTACCTCTGTACTATAGTGAGAATCTATCCCCGCGTACTATAAACTAATCGTAAGGATTAGTATAAAAAACTATAGATTTTAAACCAGATTCAACTCTGGTCGATTGTAATAATCGTCTAACCTGGACATTTTCTATCTTGTAATGTAACCTAAATAGGACACCACCAACAAAATTCAAGGTCGTTCATAACCTCAAACTTCGATGAGGGGGTGAAAGGTTATTATCAATTTTAAAATGGCCCTTCTATATTCTACTAATGACTTCATAGTCTAGATATCTGTTAATTAGCCCTGCGCTACTGCATAACATGCAGTCATCATCGATGTGGGGTGTAAACATGTGAGCGGACAAAGCGGACTATCAGCAGCGGAGCGCAGTCTCTAGCTTATGAATTTTTGTTATATTGGGCTTACCACGTGAGCGGACTTTTTACTCTGAATCCAAGCAAGTACAGAATATATTGGAAATGAACGGGTGGTTCCTAGGAAGGGAATATAGGTTAAACCAAGCTATCGGGCATGGAACCACGACCCATTATGGTAAATGATAGAATGGGGGGGGGCGGAAGAGACGGAGGTCTTGTCAATGTCTTGTCAATGAGTCATCCACTTAACTATATGAAGTTGTCCGCTCTTATAATATCATAGGAGCGGATTCTCATATTTCAGCGCGCTGTTCGACCATAATATTAAGCGATTGGCCACTATTCCTTACCAAGATGGACCGTAGAGCTCAGTTTGCTTGTGTTACTTGTCGGTACGGTATCGTCCTCTCCCTGCTTTGGGAATAGTCGCTTACGATTAATAGGCGACTGAAACGGAAATGTCCCAAAGAACTACCGTCTTGCTCATTGGTAGGGTTTAGCAAAGGTGATAGAGTTATTTATTACGAAGACTTACATAGATCGTCTCATAGTGCCTTAGACTCGAAAAACAATGCGAGTATCCGCCACGAGTCCGGAACTTATATGAGAACACGACTCTCGATTCATCAACTGGCTCTCAAGGCACGAGTGAAGGAGCAGATCATCAAATATCAAGCCACACACCAACAGAGCCAAGTTTGAACCTCGAACAAGATGCTGTCTTGGGGCATAAAGATATCCTTACTTTCCCAGCAATGTTCTTTCTAGAGGCTGAGGTTTGCGTCAAGCCTTTAGCATCAGAACCTAGCCAAGTAAGAGGTTTCATAACATCACATTGCAATCTTTCACAAGAGGCAGATGCAATCTGTGAGAAGTATTTCTCCACTGTCCACCAATGGTTGCCAATACTAAGTAAGAAGCGTGTCCGGCGACATATTGCCGAGAATGAATTAGTACCTGACTGCCCCTCTCAACTATTATTACTTTGCATGAAGCTGGTATCGGAACCATTGGCGGCAGATGTATCCGCCAGAGCGAATTCACCTTACAAAATGGTCTTAGAGACTTTGCTTGAAGTCGAAAATTCATATCTTCCCTCTCTTCAGCTTCTCCAATCTGTAATCTTACTATCCGCTTACGAACTTGGTCATGCGATATATCCGGCAGCTTACTTGCGTGTCGGACATGCTGCTCGTCTTTGTGTCATGATGGGATTTCACGATCGGAAAAACGCGAGCCAGCTGTTCAAAGATGCAGTTACATGGACATCACGAGAGGAAGAACGAAGGACGTGGTGGGCGGTGTTTTGCCTCGACAGGTATTCCTACTTCTGATTTTCATTATGCTAATAGCTGGGCTGATCCGTGTCTAGAGTCACTAACCAAGGCATTAATGGATTACCTTTCTCAGCGCCCGAACCAAGTCCAGGAGAGTTATTGCCATGTCCTGAAGGCCCGTGGATTGAAGGCGGAGTTGGCTTTAACGAACCCCTTTTTGCGACTTCGTTCTCAAACAATACGAGTTTAGGATCATTCGCCAATATGTGCCAGGCAGCGCATGTCCTTGGTCGTGTATTGCGCCACCGCGATGAACCTCATAGTAGCCGTATATCCCTTGGTTTTCGGGTATCAGAAGCAAGACAGCTTCATCATATTCTCACGTCCTTATCATCACATCTGAGTGACATTTCTCAGGAGTCACTTTTGCTCGACAACTCTGTACTGGTGCCCCTAGCTTTATGTTTTTCTGCACGCCTCATTCTATATGATATATACGCGTGCAATGAGACGCATTCGACGGATTATGGCAGATCTTCTGAAGAAGCGGATTTGCAGAAAGAGGCCATGGCAGGAATCTTTGATGCTACTAGGGGTATTTGGCAACTCGCGTGTCAACTACTTGAGTCTATTAATCAGGCCGGAGAAGATAGGCCTGAGAACCTCAGCCCGCTTCTATGCCATTGCTTATACGCCGGAGCGGGTGAAAGCGAGTGGCTCGTCCTCGAACATGAAGATTCCACTGCGGGTATATGGCTGAAAGACATCGTTAAGCTTCTTCAGGTTATTGGGAAACGATGGCAAGTCGCAGGCAAGTACCTACATTTCGTACCAAGAAAAAGATCCCCGAAGTCTAATATGGTGTAGATGTCTACTTATCGCAGATCTATAAATGGCCTGGATATAATAGCTTGAGTATGTTATGAAGGGTCACACGGTACCGACCGAAGCACTATAGATGACGTTGAAAGTATCTCAATGATATTGAGAGAATATAATCATTCGAGTAGCTAGCTTCAGTGAATCTCGAAGATAAAATCTTACACCAAGTCGTAAATCGTAAATCGTAATCCTAAAGTCGCCCTCGGATCTTAATCTCTAGCGATCTGATGAGGAGATAGGCTAGAAATGCCACTACAACAGCAAATTCAAAACCGAGATCTCCGGTCTTCTTCGCTATAGGTCCAGTGTACCAATCTGCCTGCATAGATGGGATTATGAACGCCCAGGCGATCAAGACCGATGCCAACGCACTTAGACCTGACGGCAATGCACGGCCGTCGTTCCAAATCTTTGGGTCAAAGCTACGAGGATCGCTCTTTCGGAACCATAGGTACTCGGTTAAGAAGCACGTTACTGATGCCCCTGCGTAATAACCGATTATGCTAAGGAACGCCGTCACCGACGTAACGAACGACCTCGAAGCAGGAATCGCCACTGCGATGATGACTGCGGTGGCAACGACAGCTAATACGATACGAGGAACACGACGGAGGATCGGCGCTACAGCAGTCAGGTTGAAGGAGACGGTATATACGTCGCGACCACAAGTTCCGAGGACAGAAAGACCGAGGATAACAAGGACGAATCGGCCAAAGTCTCCGAGCCGAGTAATCAGTATGCTTCCAATCACGGCGCCGATTCCACCAGCTTTATACGCAGCTTCCCAAGAAGAAATAGTGAAGACGGCGCCACCGATCGCCGCGCCTAAAACCATAAGGAGCGAGAACGGTAATGCGATGCCGAATAGACAGTATAGAGCAAGACGGAACCGCGGTGCGGCCGGTGGCATATAGCATGCGTAGTCGCCTACAACATTGCTCCAGGTAATCATGTTGCCAGCCGCAAAAGCCACGATGCCCATGTACTCCTGGGCGGTGGTACGCGTTGGTGGTGGCGTCTGCTGCCAAAGCTGGTCACCCGCGGCGCCGACGAGAATAATGATAGCGACGAGTGTCGGGATCCAGGCCCATCGAGTAAAGAAATGCATTACGCGATATCCCATAAAGCCGATGGCCAGCGATATCACCATGATGATGGCGATCGCAGCCTCGACGGGTAATGTACCTGGCCGGACGGCGGCGAGGCATTGCGCACCATTAATGCTACCGGTCACACCGAAGCCGCCGACAGTAACTGTCGTGACAATGGAAGTTAGAATGTTGCAGTATTTTCTATTCCCCTTTAAGCTTAGCATTTGACATTCCTGGGTACATAGTAACTCATTGGATTGATTCGATGAGCTTACCCAAAACAATACCGCGATTGGATCATCTGTCGCATCCCGGTACGCGGTGCAATGGTGATGATGTATGCGGCTGGGAGGGCAAATAGAATTTGGAGGAACACGATCATTAACGCCGCGTCGCGCAACGACAGCCCGAACCCGAGTGTTGTCGCCGAGCCAATACCGATCCTAGTTACGTATTTCAGCTTCGCAGTCCTTCAGAGTAATGAATCATGTCAACCTATGTTACGCCAGAAGAAACATACGGTAACAAGCTTGTCGTCGACGTAGCGAAGATGGTCAATACGTTCACATAGCGGGTGTCAGTTCGCTTCTCAACTGGCACAGGTTCGGCGCCGCGCATTTCGACACCGTGGTTAGACAACTTGGCCCAGAACGACGACCGAGGCGCTTGGAAAGGGTCCTCGGTCTCGCCGACTTCACTCATCGCCGCAGACGAAGACTCCTTAGGGCCCATCTCTACGTCTTGGGTTAGATCTTTCTTCTTCTCAACCGTATCGTTAGCCATCATGTTGCTTTGTCCGCGCAGGATGGCGCATATCATCCACCCCTTTTGTTTACTAGCAATGACAAGCTACCCTTTTTATCAACACTGAGGCTCAAGGTGGACGGACGAAAAAGTGAGCACCGGCTTTTTGGTAACCGACGCATCCATCCCGCCGCGGATCCCATTCCGCATTGTTGGTGCACGTAAGGTGGTATTATGCAGAGTGATATTCTCATAATAGGCAAGCTATTGGTCCAATGATCCGTGGTATTCGGGGTTAACACCAAATTCGTGGGATGAAGGCCCTGGCTTGCAAGGGTAAATTGATAGTATTAATACACGGGTCAGTGATATGTCAATTTCGGCCCGAGCTGTCTTTACGGCCTCCCTATTGGTAAGCCGACAAGGCTTACTAGGTATGATATAGGTTCAAGAGGAAGATACGACTTCCGAGTTTTCCTTTTGTCCTTTAGGCTAGTCTAAACGTCCCGTCTCTGGTTTGTATAAAATGAACTTCGTCAAATCGTCCCGGTTGGGCTTACAAGGTGTAATAGCATAGTTTGGCTCTAGTGAATAGTCGACTATCTTCCGATTGCAACTTTTAAGTGGTCTGCTCGGACTTTGATACCAAGGTTTTGAGGCTAAATACAATAGAGATTGCCCGCGTCCTAGTCCAATCACTGAGCTGCTCGGCGCTGATAGAAACCTGTTGATTAGCCGTTACGACATTGGACTCATAGTTGATGTATGTATAATATTGAGATGACTCTGCTAGTCTTAAGGTGCGACTACGAAGCATTTTCCATTAAGCAATACCAGAGATAATATTTAGAAAGACTTACTCTCACAAATATTCGAAACCATCAATCCCAGTAAGCTTTAAACCCACAATGAAGGCCCTTGGTGTTGACCTCATGATATTCCTTGAGCTTGTATCGGCCTTGGCTGCGACTGCTAAAGGCGAGACTGCATACCCTCCGTGTGGAACTCTATCGACATTTTCCATTCAAAAATGGCCCGTCGATACCAACAACGACACTGATTTCGGGTTTCGCCTGTCGACTGGCTTCGATGGTTATACATCACTCTGTAGTGGGCAATGGCAAGGGGGAACCGAGTGGCAGGAATGCGACGAGAATTCCGAGGACTCTAATACCATGTTCAGGGGAACAACTAATGGGTATCTTGATGTGACTCACAGGTACCTCTGCAAGCGACCGGATGAGCCTGAGGGGAGGGATGCTATAGCTCTGGCTATTGCAAATGGCTCTGTGATAACCGATTTTTCCGAGAAGGATAGTCTTACTTTCAACGCGTATATCAAGACGATGCACCGGAGGCCCAACACGGAATGTGCGGATGCATCACATCATCCAAAGTGGATTGTCGATGGTTTTGACTATGGTATCGGATACCTAAATACCCCTGGAGGTCCAGGACCGGGCGGAATTGCTGGAGTTATCGCTTCAGTCAGTTTCGATTTTCTGAACGAGGCGAACGATTTCTCCATTCATTGCTTCGCATCATATATATCAGGATCTCTATCAATTGGCAACGACACAATCATTGACCCCAACAAAGATTGGCCCTGCCCTAGCCCGTACGGAAGTGATCTGGTACCTCCTGAGGATTATCCGACGACTTTGTTTAGATTTGACAAGGCGAAGCGCCAACTCGCTCTGCAACAGAAATGGGAATGTGATGACCACGAGGAGAGGTGAGTACCGTAATTGAAACTCGAGCTCGCTGCCTAATTGTGCTGTGTTTGGTTGACGAGGTTCCATATACGAAGGGTTTTGTTTTCGGCAAGGGGCGACACCATCTTACTACCAGAATGCACGACGGTTCCGCAGTCGAATTGTGACACCACCAAATTCGTCATCGAGGGAGATATGGACGCCGCCATACCTATAATTTGATATGGCCACGCTCGAGATCGAGTTTTGAGAGTAATGTGATGATAGAATATGTACCAAACTCCACTAAAGGGCGAAGAGGCGGCTCCATTATAGCTGAGTGAGCCAGGGCTACGAATTAGGTAGTCTAGTATACATTCGAATCCCAATGGCGTCGCAAAGGTTTCCCTTGGATGTTAATTGTCCAATCCTACAGAGATGGTGCTTTGTAAAACTCACGTCTACATACCACAATAACTAAACCAAGTGAGATTTAGTTGAAGTCCAAAGAGCTAGATATGTAGGTACCTAGGTAGATTCAAGTCCCTGTAATTGTAACAACTTAGACTGGCCCAAACAAGCAAAGAGCCCCTTACAGTGTATAGCAGCCATGTCACGGAGCTGGCCTCAGCAATTTAGCTCATGGCTAAATTATTAGTGGTCTGACCTTAGGTATCTAGTTCATAGTTATTATTTCTTGTTCACATCCTATCAAAGCGGGAGTAAATAGGGTCTAAATTGTTGTCGCCGTCTGTCTTCATATAGTTTTAGGTATGTTTTAATATTGTTTAAACGAAGTTTGCTTTGCCACAAAGGCATTGTAGGTTACCCTACGGTCCATTATTTACATAGTAGTAATATATTCCCAGGCACGGAAATTCATAGCTGGTTCTGTTACCAACTGTCGGGGCATAACCGTGTTTCTTTGTTGATTCCGTGGGACATAGGATCAAAGATGGTGACCCGTAACAACTCAAGTGTTGACAAACATCCACAGGCGAGGCGGGTCGACCAGTTTATATAGAAACAGCGTTAAAATGAGTACACTATGGGATTGTTCTGATGTATTATATAAGGTCGCGCCACTATCAAGCTCATCGGATTAATTCCATCGTAGCACGCATCTGCCACTTCCTGGGTACCCACCATATTCTTAACATTCTAGGCAACTTTGATTATTAAGAGTACAGGTTTCAACCGGATTACTTTTTACCCAAAAGACAAAATGGAGAGCGACAATGGATCTACATCCCAAATCACTGTAGGAGAAGCTTTGATCCGAACAAAGACTGAGACGCCGCCAAAAGGGTCTGGGGCAAAACGAGTAGGCTTTCTTCGAACCCTGTTTAAGAAACTCGGGTTGAACAAGAAAACTCCGCAAGGGAAGATAATCTTACCTGAACGCACTGACTTTGAGGTTGAGGTCGAGGATGTTAGCTTTCCCGCTGTTAATTTGTTTGATGATCCCAGCGAATCCTTTGTAAGATCAGATGGTACACCATTAGTGCGCGCAAGATCGGTGCCAACGACGAATTATCATCGCACTCAGGTTCTATGGGACAATGAGAGCACAATTTATTCGTTCCAGTGGAAGCCTCGCAAGGTGAAAACCATTGGGGATATTCAAAACCCAGAAATCGAAGACCGTATGCAGCATCTCATAATGCGTTGCGCCATGGATGGTTATGAAGTAACCCCCCAGGAGGCTTATGACGTGCTACTATTAGTAGAAGGGGCTGTTGACGAGGCTGTTGAATACATGAAGGTGTTAAGAGATTTTGATGGCTAGTCCTGCCTAGATTGCCTATTATTGGAATGGCATCAGCTATAAGGTAAGGTCAACCTGTTCATGGTATGTTAAATTAGGTAGAAAACCCCCAAGTAGAGCGGGTCATTGAATATAGTAAGTTGAGCTCAAACAAAGCATTGTGTTTCCTATGTTAATTAACAGGTACCTAGCTTATAAGTGACTTGTCCTAATTCCGATTATATGAGGATAACTCGGCCGACTTCCTATGAGCTGTTCGGATTTATCTCGGAGTGTCTCGGATTTAAGACAGAATCACGAATAGGTAGAGGCAGATGCTTGCCTGGGTACATATACAACCTCGAGGGTCTGGTATAAAAGCATAACTTGAGACGCGCCTGTTACTCATGAATATTGTGCAACTTGGTGTGGGCATATTCCCGCCGTGTCTTTTTTCTTGGCAACAGATTCTCGAACTTCCGAATTGTATGAGCTACTGGAATGGGCTCGACTTTGTCATCGAAGCAGGAGGATGCGGGCTTGATGGAAGATTATCGACAATGGAAGGCAATGGGTCAGGGTGGTACATCGCGTAACTGGACCGGATACATGTCTCAAGTTGTCGTCGGTAAGACTAAGGCGTTTGGCACCAACGAGACGATCAAGCCTGGCTTCTATGAAAACCCCGAGAAGCGAGCCACTGGATGGAAGAAAGCCACAGAGCAGCAGAAAGCTAATGCTCAGAAGTCATTTCTAAAAGAAACCCTTCCGATACGGCTAGGTCCCCGGGTTAGGGCAAAACCCTATGTGTTCCCTCAACGTGAGAGGAATGCCGATCACCCTCAGGATCCAGCAGTCGAGCAGGTATATCTACTAAGTGATATTATACGCTCTGCAATTTCGTGATAAAAGAAAAGCCACGCTAACAAACACCTGTCAAGGCGTATCTGGAAGCTTTTGATAAGCTGTGTGAAATCAACACAGATACTGAATGGGGGACGTCAGTGCTCGAGAAACACGGCCAGGCGCTGTTCACGAAGAGCTCGGTCCCGCTTTCGCCTCTGGCCGGCCCGTCTTCTCGGGAGATATGTCACATCCACAGCACAGATCTGTCCGGTCACGTCACCTTGTCATTTGTAGATGCGGAGGATGTCATATCGAAAGGTTGGGGGGAACGTCACCGCTTGAGCGGCACAGATTGGATCCACATCGGCTTCACGATGCTCTATGTGCCAAACACGATAGAGGAAACAGAAATTCTTATAAAGATCTTCCAGGCTGGCATTGATTATATGAAAAGCGGTTAACTTACAGTTTCTGGGTACGTTGAGGGTTAGTGGATTGAAATAAATATCCGTAAAGTTAGTCCGCTATATGGATCTCCTTGAACCTCTTCGTATTCTCCGTAATTGCGATCTCTACCGGGATACGTTCCATGCTGCTCGCACCATAAAATCCATGCACTCCCTTCGTTCGGGAAAGGACGTACTCCGCATCTTTAACCTCGGCGATTGGGCCGCCGTGACATAAGACGATTATATCTTCCTTTACCTTCACCACCGCGTCTCTAATATCTTGGATTAACTTGACACTTTCGTCTAGAGTCTTCCCAGTCTTCCCTCCGATACCCTTACTAGTTGTTAGGCCCATGTGCGCAACCACGATATCAGCACCGGCCTTTGCCATGCTAACTGCCTCCTCGGCATTAAATACGTAGGGCGAGGTGACAAGGCCCATCTCAGAAGCAATCCGTATCATCTCGACCTCGAGTTCGTAACCCATCGCAGTCTCCTCTAGGTTGGCCCTGAAGTTTCCATCCATGAGTCCGACGGTAGGAAAGTTCTGAATGCCGCTGAACCCCAACTCCTTTAGTTGCTTTAAAAACTGCCGCATGTCTCGGAACGGATCGGTTCCGCAGACGCCGGCGAAGACGGGCGTATGTCGAACGATAGGTAAAATCTCGCGGGCCATGTCGACAACGATGGCGTTCGCATCGCCATAAGGCAGCAGACCTGCAAGAGAGCCTAGACCAGCCATCCGGTAGCGGCCTGAGTTGTAAATAACGATAATGTCGGCACCGCCAGCCTCAACAAATTTGGCGGAAAGACCAATGCCAGCCCCAGCACCGACAATTGGGCGGTGAGAAGAGATAACTTCCCGTAGGCGTTGGAGAATTTCTTGGCGCGAATAGAATACCATGATTACAGGTCACGACTATGTATAAGTTTTGGATGCGACTTGCGTATGTTGTACGACTTGAGTTCCCGTCTTCACCTCTCACAAAGGAGAGGGGCTTTGGATAAGATAAGGGGAGTTAAAGGGGTTAATGGCGTTCAACTGTGCCTTACTATAATTCTGTACAGTACGTAGGTAGGTTGGCCAATTATATTTGCTCTTCGTAGCTTTAAAGTTTAACTTTGAGAGACTCGCGTACTGTGCGTAGGAGGTACCTATAATTATGGTGGGGTGCAGTTGAAGGCCGGGAGAAAGGATTCGTAATTGCAAAGTTTTGTTTTTTTCTTACTTGAGACCAGAACAAAGCAATATGATCAACTGATTCAACTTCTTCCCCGCTTCGTGTTACTATATTGACATTTATACGAACGAATGGCATGTCTGTGTAAGTGTAGCCAAACGGTATACGATACATTAAAAAGGAAGAAATAGAGATGATGTTTTCTTATATCATTTTTAACTCTTTACCACCTCGAAGCTCGAAACGTCCGCCATGCCTCCATTGAAAACTTCTATCGCCGTGATTGGCACGCTGGATACTAAACTTGAGGAATTTCTCTATCTCAGATCTCGAATTCTTGGGAATGATCCTTCGCTGGCTGTCGTCCTAATTGATGCGGGCCGATCCATCATAGAACATGACGCCATAACTATCAAGCAATGTGAAGTATTAAAGGCCAGCGGGTTCCAAAGAGGGGACAATGCTCTCATGTCACTTCCTCGGGGTGACATCATCAAAATTATGACAAAAGGAGCTATTAAAACAGTTAAGCAGCTCAAAGATCGCGAAGAGATCCATGCTATAATTAGCCTCGGTGGTAGTGGAGGGACCAGTATCGCCTCTGCCGTCATGCGAGAGCTTCCTGTAACATTCCCAAAGTTGATTGTGTCCACTGTCGCCTCGAGTGATGTGAGCTTTTATGTCGCAGAGACTGATATCACTATGATGTACAGTGTGGTTGATATTGCAGGTCTGAATGAGGTATTGAAGGCAGTAGTGGACAACGCTGCAGCAGCAATCGCAGGCATGGCTAAGGCATATGCTAAGAGAATTAGCAACGACCATAATGATATCGAGACTACTAGGAAGGGAATTGGAATTACGATGTTTGGGGTCACCACAAAAGGGGTAAATGCTGCACGCAAGCGGCTGGAATCCTACGGATTCGAAGTCTATGTGTTTCATGCTACGGGGTCTGGCGGGAGAGCGATGGAGAGACTCGCTACAGAAGGTCGACTCCACGGTATCCTAGATCTGACTACCACCGAGCTGGCCGATGAACTAGCCGGCGGGGTGTTCAGCGCGGGCAGTAGCAGATTGATGGCTGCTGCCAGAGCAGGCTTGCCTCAGATAGTCAGCGTTGGTGCTCTGGATATGATAAACTTCGGACCTATGGACACTATGCCAAAGAAATTTCGAGAGAGAAAACTCGTCGAGCACACTCCTTCGGTAACCATAGTTCGAACGACAGAGCAAGAATGCGACGAGCTGGGGAGGAGAATAGCGCAGAGACTTAAGGAGAACTGTACTAGGCCCGAATTTACGGAAGTATGGCTTCCTTTGAGGGGCGTTAGCGCTCTTGATGTACAAGGACAGGCATTTTACGACAAGGTATCTGACGAGGCGTTATTTACGGCCATCAAGAATGGTCTTGAAGGGAGTGGGATATCGGTCAATGAGCTTGATACTGATATCAACGACCCAGGTTGGTCAGACAGTATAGCTAAAAGGCTCAGGGAGCTTATTGAGCTGAAGGGATAAAATCAGAAATGACGAGCGATAAACTATGGCTATCCACGGCAATCCAGGTAGAAACCCCGTAGGATCATACCAAAATGATTCTCCAACTTCATAGAATCAGCCGTAAAAGTTATCCACAAGTCCTTAGGTTACCGAGCATCCTTAACCGCCTCAGCAAGAAGTCTTTCAGCCTTCTCAGATCTGGGTCTGAAAACTACATCGAGCTTGCCAGGATGGCTTGATAGTCCGGTACTGAATTGGATAGTTTGTTCAATGGGCTTTCCGTCTGTCCCGATAGGTTTCGATATGTCAGTGGTGGCTATGAGAGTCGCCATAATTATCCACACCGATGCTTGTGCTAAGTGGCGTCCGACGCATACTCTATATTGCTTATTAGAGATCCACACGTAGCAATACGATCAGGTGTATTTAACACTTGCCTGCGACCGAAGCCAAATGGGCCAACGAGCAGAGGCTCGCCATCCCCGCCTTCTTCCTTTGGGATGTATCTATCCGGGTTGAACTTCTCGGGGTCCTTATACACATTGGAGTCTCTGGACATAGCGAATGTGTTATAATAGACCACGGTCCTGGGAGGCTAGTTAGCGAACACTCTACACTAACTTCCGGACTAACTACATGCCCTTTAGGGATAAACATTCCGTTGTAAATGTCGTCTTCTAGGGACCTATGAGGTATTCCAATTGGCGATAAGGGTCTCCATCTTGAGACTTCCTCGACTAAATAGTCAATGTAACGCAAATTTGGCCTGTCTTGGAACGTAGGTAGTCTTTCTGTTCCAACTACCCTATCAATCTCGGCTCTCGCTTTTTGAAAAACTTCGGGATTTAACATCATGTTCAGGATAGCAATAGTCGTCGTAGCGAAGGTCTAAGAAATATTGTGAGCTATTGCAATCTTGCCTTGATGGGTACCCAGGTAAAACTTACTGTGTTAGAACCTGCGATAAAAACAGCGCCAGATGCACCCTGGATATCTTGAAGTGTAAGTTCATTAGCAATACCTTCCTCCTCGTTTTCTTTATACTTAGTGAGGAGTGAATATGCGAATGATGGGTTGGCCGTCCCTTCGTCCTTTCTTGTGTTAGCGATGCCGTGAAAAGCAACGTCGTATAAGGACCTACAAACTCCTTTTTGATGGCTGAAAATGGAATATCGTGTAAGTTTTGAATGGCCCATCCCCATTTTCGCGCATGTTGCAAGCTTCTTGAAAAATTAAGAAATTGTGGGATATATCGAACTTTATGACTTGTTAGTTGGGCTTCCGTGGTGTCTTCTCACCAGGGCGCGCATACATGATGGTAGATAGTCGACTAAGGCAGTTCCTGGATTTCCTCCTCCTCCAGTCGCCATATTAGCATCTATCGCGATTTTAATATAGGGGTCGTCATCTGATCTAACAGTAACGCCAAATCCGATACGAAGAACTATCGCGGAAGCAAAGCTTCGCTCTATATCAGCTGTGGAACATGACACTAAAACATCGCCATACTTACCGCCGAAGTGAAAAGTCCCAAGCTTCTGGGCGTTTGAGAATTCTTGAAACTGCTTGCCTCGCTTCATCTTCCTGAATTGGCCTATAGTTCGTGATCGCCGTCTTCGTGAAACCCGTTTGTAAGACGGAACGATGTAAACGAAATCTTGGTCCGTATGGAAGGAAAGTTAAGGTCAGACCCCATCCCATAACATCAAACAAGACAAATCTAGGCCTGTCTTGGTAGTTGGCACCGCGCTTATCCAGAAGCTCATTCGCAGCCTTCTGAGTGTTAAGGACAACCATATGGTTACCCAACACATTGAAATAGATGATATCGGAGCCTAGAATCTATTTAGTAGCTACAACGTGAAAATTGAGCAACTTACTCACCATACTGCTTAGCATACTCCATATGCTTAAAGTGGGCATTTTCTGTTGGTAACCTCCTGAAATGCCCAAGGATGGGCTCCGCTGGAGGAGACGGTGGAAGTGGATATGGAAACTTTCGATACAGAATTCTAAATGCACTATAAAGAAATACCCCAGTGACAATAAGCACTACGCCTAGGCTTGTAGGCGATTCGACGAATGATTTGGAATTGTCCATTTTGGATAGTGCTGCTAAGATCTCTTGAGTTTGGGGTGGCCCCTCCTTTACGTGTACATAATCATAGCCCTAGTCGTCTTCGTTCTTAGTTGAGGATTATCTCGCTATTTCCATATCAGGTAACCCGAGTAGTGTGAACTTCAGATTGAGTTATGGCTCGAAACTAGTTGCTGCCATAAACTAGTTTAGGTGAATGTTTAAGAACGTGGATATTAATGCTCTTCGTTTGTGACGAGAGACGAAGATGGGGTCAACTCGTTGTCCGCAGAATACCCCTCTGCCCCTGAATCCCAGCCCTATACCCCGCCGCTACCGAAGTCCCCTACCAATAATGTAGCCTTGAACAAATAACTCGTACAATACAATCTGTGTTGGTTATTGAAGACGCGCCACGCAAGCCACGTAATACAGCCATGTACATAGGAATATCTACAGGGGCTCGCGCCAATTCAGAATCAGATTCCCGATTGGTAGATGGTTTCACTATATAAGCCAACAACCTCCTGGGTACGCCCAACAACCAGCAACAACGAGAGTGGAAGGATGGACTTTGAGCGGCACGGGCATGAAGAATTATATCTCACCGCAACTTATGAATATGCGAGATCAGGCTACATAGGACTTTTTCGGGCATGAGTGGGAATGAGCACTAAAAACCCATCCAGTTATATAGTGTCTTACACGCTCAGCTAACTATCATGACAAGATACAGGATCTCGTTGTTTCTTATTATCCACAGTTCCCCGCTTATAACTATTCTACATTTATGTCTGATTATTAATTACCAGCTATCCCAAGATAAACCATCTCTCGGGCTATACATAGTGTGGATCTTAGCTTTGATGTACACCATGTCAAGCATCCTTAGTGTGGTGGTGTTGGTTGTATTATTTAACTCTATCCAGTTAAGACCTTTACATCATATGTGCCATCCTGGCACAGGATTATAGTCTTCGGCTGAACCGGTCAGGCATATCATTAGTGACTAATGCACTGAATATCAAATACTCGATATCAACTCTTAAACAACGTGAAGTCCTATTCTACTCCTTTCTAACACTCTTACATCTTCAAGCCTTCTTTAACATAATGCATTGGGATTGTTAAAGAGCTACGTCTAGTGTTGTATTATTGTCCCAACTAACTGGATTACCCTTGTCTCTTTGTAACTCTTCCTATACTACCTATCATGACCGCTCGTTGGTCTATTGGCCTCGTCCCCCTAACTGTCCTTATAGTTGCTGTTGCTGTTGGAGTTCGTAACAGCAACTATGGCGACGTTGGTCAATGTCGGTCTATCCCCGGTGATCCTTCATGGCCAAGTGAGGATGATTGGAACGGATTGAATCGGACAGTTCAGGGGAAGCTGATTGCTAACATACCTCTTGCGGCTCCTTGTCACCACTCTTCTCTAGATGGAACTGATACGTATGACCAAGAGAAGTGCGATGCGTTACGCGATACGTGGTTCTTCCCTGAGACACACCTAGTCTCGCCATCATCGCCCATGGCCTATCAGTTTACCAACAACAGTTGCAACCCCTTTCTAGACCCAGATTCTCCGTGCGGCCTTGGATATCATGCCGAATATACTATTAATGCTACATCTGCTTCCGATTTACAAGCTGCTATTCGCTTTGTTAAGCGCCATAACATTCGCCTCGTTATTCGCAATACTGGTCATGATTATTTGGGTAAATCAACAGGAGCATACGCTCTGGCGGTTTGGACTCGTCACATGAAATCTATGGAGCATATCCCCAAATATGAATTCCCACAATCTGATTATCAAGGTCCTGCTTTGAAAATGGGCGCCGGTATCGAAAATATTGAAGCTTACAAATTCGCCAGTTCCCATGGCCTTATGGTGGTCGGCGGCAATTGTCCAAACGTTGGTCTGGCTGGAGGCTATATACAAGGCGGTGGCATCTCCATTTTGTCGTCTAAATATGGCCTCGCCGCGGATCAGGCATTGTCCTGGGAAGTTGTGACCGCATCTGGAGACCTCATTACTGCCAGCCCGGCCGAGAATACAGATCTTTTCTGGGCTTTACGCGGCGGTGGTGGAGGCACTTTCGGCATTGTAGTTTCCGTGACCGTCAAGGCACATCCGGACACCTTTTTCTCGGCCGCCTATATGAACGTCTTCAACGATGGTAATAATACGGATGCCATTTACTCTTCGTTAGGAACGTTCTTTCAGTCATTGCCCAGCCTTGTCGACGCTGGCGCTTGGGTCGTATGGGTCGCCGCTCCCTTTGGGTTCATGATCATACCGGCAATGGTCGCAGGCTTACACGCCGCGGAATTAGACGGGTATCTTCAACCTACGAGGGAAAAGATGGATCAACTTGGGCTTCAGTATCAATATTCTTCCGCCGATTATCCTGGTTTTATCGAAAGTTACAATTCCATACCCCCTATGTGGAACGTGTCGGACTTTACTATGGGTGGTCGTCTGATGCCCCGCGAGCTTGTGCAAGACCAGGATAGCACTGATGCTTTGGTAAATGCTGTACGCACTGTAAGCTCACAAGCACTCATGTCTGGGGTCTCTTTCAATGTTGCCAATGCCGTTTCGTCACCCAGCGATGTTGCTGCCAATCCTTACTTCCGCAAGACTCTTTTCAGCGCTGTCGTGGGCGCGCCGCTCAACTACACCGACTGGGCAGCGACCAAGGCAGCACAAGATCAAATAACATACAAACTCTTGCCAGAACTAAAGGCTATTACCCCTAATGGGGCCGGCTATCTTAGCGAAGCTGACTTCCAGGAGCCTGACTTCAAAACTACATTTTACGGTGCTCATTATGAGAAGCTTCTAGCTATCAAGCAGAAGTACGACCCTGATGACATCTTCTACGCTAAGACAGCCGTAGGAAGCGATCGATGGGATGAACGGGTAGATGGGAGGTTGTGTACGAAGCCTAGTATTTGGGGTTTTGACGTACCTGACTTAATAAGGCGATATGTATGAATTAGAAGAGTTTATCTAGAATTATAGATTCCTGATTGAGACGTAAAGCCCCCTTAAGCTTCTTTTGGAGTCTAGATAACATCACCACGCCGATGATATCTGATATCGAAGTCGTAGAATTTAGTATGAGATATCCGGCGTCTATTCGTTTCTATTCGTTTCGGCGGTCAAGTTCCCCGAATTATTGCGAAAGCGTATGGCAAGCTAGGCGATGGCAAGGGTCGAGTTGCATTCAGTCTTCAATACGAGGTTTTGAGGGGATGTTATAGAAGATAGCACCACTCCACAGGCGTTGCTATTTGCCGAGCCGGTCTTGGCTTGCGATTAATAGGAAGCTGATAACTTGTTCTGGCTAAAAGCTCGTGTATACTCGTGTATATAAAGCCTCGACAAACTTGCGATTGAAAGACACGAAATACGATAGTTTTACCACGCCAAACATTATCCTAGTCGATTAGACGTGATCATATCATATCTATCTCAAAGGCTTCCAAAATGCGTGTTCCTACCATCGCAACTCTCGCTACTATCGTCGCGTTCGCGACTTCGACTCCTACGCCTCAAGCAGACCCCCCTGAGACCGATCTTTGTCTCCAGCGAAAGTTCTTGTCAGCAAACTTATGTACAGACATCGACTCTACATACACCAATGCGACTTTGCCAGGTCTTGGTTGGTATTGTTGTTGGCACCAAGGGCCATTCGCGCCTCCACCAGCTTTGCCCGTGTCGTAAGTTACTAGAATAGAGTTATCGCGTATTTCATACTGATACATGTGCGAATAGGGCCTGGTTGACGTTTGCGGAGGACGGCTCAGTTGCAAATCGTTGCTTGACTAGTGGAACTTGTGAAGCAGGTTTACCTGATGGTCGTAGCTAAATTAGAAGAATACTATCAAAATTCAGAAGGTATATGATAGGAAAAGCGTATGGAAAGCTTTATCTATTTTACTAGTGATGATGATAGAAATGCTACATGTTGTGTTTAAGTTGTGTTTAAGTTGGGTTAAAAGTGCGTAGGACATATCGTAGTCGTATTAGCTGATTAGATAAAGTGATCCACATATATCATTACGTGATCATGATTAGTAAAATTCAAACGGTCCCATTGGAAATCTTATTACGGATTAATAGTGGGGAGTTCTTAGTGGGCTGTTTTTTGCGCTCGACACTTAAAAGAAGAGTTATCTCTTAGATTCCAGACAAAGACAGAGAACGTCAACCGGATCAGCATTCTTCTTCGCCACGGCTCGATAACTTAGGTGTCTACCTCCTACTGAATTAAACGTATACCCTAAATCTCCAACATGGCGACGACTCCCAGTTCCAGGCCCGCAGCAAGCCCCCAACCAGTCGCGCAACGAGCGCAACCCCCGCCGAGACCCATCTTACCAACACCTACTCGAGTGAACCCCTCAAGTCCAGAGTACAAGAGAGCTGCTAGAAAATATACCCAGCTGATGGTTGCTATGCCAATCTTGCTGGTGACGTCGTATTATTTATTCGATCGACTTGTTTTAGGCCATGAGCCGAAGACACTACCTAAGAGAACCGCGTTGGATGCGATAACAACGGAACAGAATAAGGATTGAAGACAATCTCAACAACCTTGACTAGCTCAAAATGCTTGCAATTCCATTTCGGTATAGTCAATGCTAAGTACACATGTGTCGGCATGTAAGCGATGCAGTTGTGCTTCTCCCGGTCTTCCAGGGGCAATAGACAGAAAGTCACAACAGGCGCTTGCTAGATTTAACAATCTGTTCGTCTCTGGTTGTATCTGCTAGTGAATATTTTCTAGGGAACGAGCTAGTAGACATCGGTATTGTCAAACCACGTCCTTAGCTGCTCTGAGAGAGGGTTATTCGACAACACTGGACAATGAATCTGCATTGTCTCCTTATTGAATCCATTAATCATGGGGCCGCTCTATTATTGTTGTCAAATGGTTTACAATGGCAAAGTCCGACTCACTCTTTGACTCTTAGTCAAAAAGAAACATGGTCACTTGCGATTCATCTTGGATCCTCTCAATAATGTTGATATAAAAACCTCGTCTTCCACTTCGGCCAGCACGTCTTGTATGATGTTGAACCCCATACAACAACACCAATAACCAAAAACCTCCCAACAACTAATAACGAATATTATCGTGGCAATCATGAAGACAAGCTTCGCCTCCACCACTTTGGCAATTCTGCCTATCCTCGCCACCGTCTCGGCATTTGAAGTAGCCGACATCTATAAGACCACCCTTGGCAGGTCGAAATGTACTGATATCCACTTGACGGAAGGGCATGTTCTCCATGCTAATTGCGACAAGCCCGGATATGGATCTCGCGCCGATTACCAACTTGACCTCAATTCATGCCTTGCCAACTACTTGGGTTCGCTGAACCACAGAGCAAATGGCGGGTTTGGCGGTTCGTGCGACCCTTGCCACATGGACGGCACGAAACTGATTTGCGAGTGCTCAATCGGCGCGGGTCTCGGTACTATGCATAATGAAGTTGAGCTTAACGATTGGGATTTTATTCAAGTCCATGATGAGATTTTGACTTGTGCTACCCCGGTAGGTCTTGAGATGAGAGGCACCGGTAAGAACGCACGATTCTTCACAGCTTAAGCTATGGACTTTCTTTATATCTTCGGCTACACTTTAGGTAGTGTATGATTTGTTAGGAGGTCCATTTTAGCATCATCCCAAATCACCTGTACGTTTGGTAGAAGAAGGTTGCCCATGGTTTCGGGCAGATAGGCTCATAGCTCTTCATGTAAAAATAAAGATTCTTTTTTTATCGCATCGTTTGCATCGTTCGCGTTATTAATGAAAGATACAATTTGAACGCCCCTATAGTTACAATATTCAATAAGTTCTGATTCATGTGATAATTGCAAGTATTTTTCTCCTTTATTGCCCATACCATCCTACCGGCTTGACATGTTAGTGTACTGCTCCTGAGCTGAGTGCCCACCCAATTAATGGGTTTCTTTAACTTAAGTAAATATTACATGCTATACATTGTTGACGCCTTAATTCGCAGCACGTAGGCAGACTTCATATTCCGTACGGTATTAGCCACGTTCTCAAACGCCCGAATAAACCCACAACCACGGAACACCCCCGATTTTCTCGATGAGCTTTTGATAACAGATACCTACCTCTAATGCGATGAGACAACTAACTGATCATTATCCTCTTATTGTTATCGAGATCATAATAATAGATTATGAAGCTTAGGTACTTATAATAGCCTTGACTCCACCATAAAAGAGCTTTTATCTGTGACGATAAAGAATGCATTGTGCCCATTTTCTCTTTGAGAAGCTATCTCAGGTCGGCTATGATAATTTCTTTTCTTTACGCTAGGCTTCCTTATATTTAACCCCACCGCCGCTACTAGATGTCATAAGAGAGATGTGTGAAGTTCAAGAGAAGTTTTAGGGGAATTTGGATTCGCGTTATACCGTAACAAAAACAAAATAATCAGGGACTCAGAAGCCACTCTAGGACGAGAAATAGGAGCATAGGTAAGATTTCTGGTTAGTCTCATCATGGAATCTATTTCTATTATTACCATGGCTTCTGAGATACAGTTCCTTGCGGGTCTTACGACGCTAAATGTTGTCATGCTTGGCGCTGTCCTTACCGTCGCTTGGAGGAAACAATGTGCAGCGCATAAATGAAGCCTGGTGCTCATATACTACGGTTTGGCAGTAAGGGTTAAGTATAGTCGACACGGCAACTAAATGTTATAGGTTTATAGGTTATGGTAGATAGTAATTGGACTGCAATTCCCCGTAACACCATAAACGTCACCAGACCAACAGGCTTGGTACTGCGACTGATATTATTACATTTTCAACGGTATAACCCTCAACCATGTATTCCTTTCAAAGCCGTTGCCTATAGAATGGCTCTTGATTTTCTTGCTTTTCCGACTACTTAAAAACCATCCTCAATGGCCTTTTACTAATGCGAAGTTCTAGGCCGTATTAAACATGAACTGCCACTCTTCAGTAAAATGGCTCGCCTTCAGCAGCGTCTACTCCCTCCTCGACACATCGCTTAACAGCGGCCTCTGGATCCTCGTCGCCGTCGATGAGGTCGAGCCAGCCGCTCTTGACGTTGGAGGCGTCCAGCAATAACGCGGTTATCTGCGCGACAGACGCACGGCTTGCAGAACCCAAGACGGGAAGTTTTCCAAGCTTAACTTTACCCGCCGGCTCTAATGTCAATGTGCCTGGGCGAAGATTGATCGCGGCAAAGTCTTTTCTCTTCTTCCCTTCCTCGTATAATACCTGATCGGCTGCTATCTTAGCTTGATAGTATGTTTTCAAAACGCCGTTATTCGTTTCTTGAATATTCTGCCAGACCTCTTCAGACCACCATGGAGCCTTCTTTAACCGAGACCCAAGGTAGGAAATCATGACGAACTTGGTGATTGATGATGTCGCGGCTGATGCGCGGATGAAGTGAATTGCGGCATCACGATCAATCTTGAACGTCTAACGAAGAGTTAGCAACGACGACATAGAAACTTAATGTCAAGTAGTTTTAATACCCTCTCTGGCCCCCCTTTGCCCGCGGCACCAGCACTCCATACCACATAGTCTGGCTTCACTTCATCTATGATGCTCTTAGCCTGAGCTTCGCTCGTGACTTCCTCTAAGCTACGGACTAAAACGTTCAGGTTCCCTTTCTGGCCTTGTCCGAGCTTCTCTAGGCTTGTGACCCGCGCGGGGTCGTGGATAATGCTAGTGACATTCCATGATCGCTGGAGGAGTAAGGGTGTTAGTAGCTGAGCAACCTTGCCGCTACCGCCGAGTAAGAGAACGTGGTGAAGAGACGACATTGCTGTGATTAACTACCTGTCAAGTTAGAACCAGCTATGGGAGTATGAATATGGCCTGTATCTACTGAAATACTTAATAAAGCTCTAATCCACCTTACACCTCCTAACATATGGCGTGCTTGTCTATGTCATTATTCATACCCCTTAACCCCACATCACGCGATGAATTTCCCTTGCGTCATTGAGAGGCACAGTTGAACGATAATATATCACACGGTGCTTATATCCGAGAAAGAAGCAACTTTAAAGAGACTCTAATTAAGGGGGGCTTATTCAGCGTTCGTCTCTCATTACTACTTTTAGGAAGTTAAATATATTTTCCATTATGCCTATCCTCTCGAATCAACGGCTTTCTCAGCGCCTTTCTTTCGGAATATTACTGATGCCATATTCTCTAGCGGCGTTACAGTACCATCCAGGCCAAACCCAGTCTGTGATTCCGATCCTTCGGTTCTCAACATACCGAAACGAAGCTTGGTATCGCGAATAGGATTTGGTAGAGGCTTTGCTCCAAGAGTATTACCCGTAGACAACCTATCGAGATCAGGGTTTCTAGTCGTCAGAAGCACCGCGGAGAATGCCGTGCTGCTAGTATAGCCGTTGCTTAACAATGCAGCGAATCCCACGCATATACAGAGCAGTGTGACCACAACGGCGGTTGAATATGTAGCAACGAGAGTAACACTGTTATAATAAAAAAAGTTCCTCGGCATTGATACGGTTATCGGTACCTTGGTCGTAAAATTTTGCCAGTTGCTGTAAGTCAGGAGGCTGTACGTAAAGTTTCTGGAGAGGCTTTCGATCGCTGTTGCGAGTGTTCCTCCTGGACACCTATTGAGCGATTGGAATGCGAGGGGACCGCCAGAAGCACTCTGGTAGCCTGTAGAATTCCAGATTTCGGGACAGTCCCTCAGGCCCGACTGGAAAAAAGGAGTTTCTCCAACCTCAACGATATTGCCCTCAAAGCCATCTGACTGAAATATCAATTGCCCTCCCGCATTAATCCGTACCTGGCCAGTTAGGAAGCGTGTGAAAATGTATTGCACCATATAATAAGTCGGACAAATCGTAGCGTTATTTGCAGCAGGATCAGGGGCACAGAGGCCGTTAGCCAATACCACAGAGAAACGCCCACGTTCACCATCCCACTCTTGGGAATTTACATGGGTAATGGACTTCTCGTGTATAGACTGAACTCCGTTATCGAAGCGCATGGTTACGCTATATGAGGTGTTGTAAAGTTGGCAGACCAGATAGTTATGATCGGTATTACCCCAATTCTCGTTGCGACCGTTGGCGCCGATGAGAATCATGTTATTCATCCTGCTGGGAGCAGTACTTTTATAGATCAATGGCGGCGCGCCGCTAGAAAAATTACCCGTAGATATCGGTTTGGCGATTTCCGCATTAAAGGCCTCTTCAAAATTCGTATAATTATAATAAACAAGGTCCCAAGTACGATTATTCCTCGTCCTAATAATCTCGCTGGCGTTCGAACATTTATAAGATGGTGCCCAGAAATTTAAGTCGTAGGATGCATTGGCAAAGGGGGGTGTCTGAGGTATGGGACTATTCGATATATAAGTCCTCGTAAACAAGCGAGCAATTTCAGGCGCCACCCCTGAAATAAATCCAAAGCCTCCATATGTTCCCCAACCATCGGTGTTGGAGAAGTTGTAAAACGGAACCTTGGTTGTGACACTATCGTGAATCGTACGCGACTCGACAGACAAAGTTGCCGGCGTCACGATTGTGATGATGGGAAGCAACCTATGATGGATAAGAAATAAGCAGTCAGACAGGTGCTTCGACTATAAAGTTGAGGGTATATTATTGATGGAAGATTTGGAGCTCACCATGCGATAGCAGCAAGAACGGCAAGTCGTTTCGCATGTGTCAAAAAGTCTCTGTTGAGGAACGACCATGGGTTTCCCATGATATCGAACATGCTATCAATACCACCAATCGACATAGCTCTTTTCCTCAATGATAGCCAGGTCTGCTGGACAGCAGCAATCCCTATCGCTGCGACTAGCCCGCATCTAGTGAGGAGGGCGAGCCCAGTCCCGATTCTAATCGACCATACTTGTAGATCCTCAGATGTCACAGGCGTGTCATTCAGCCTCTCGTAATATAAATGGTGGCCTACTGCGGCTAGAATTCCCCCAACGAAGAAAGCTATTGCTAGCAAAGGATCCTGCAATCTTATGACGGCGGTATTTTGTAGTTCAGCGTTGTCTAATAACCGAGTTTGAACTTGTATCCCATTTCCAACCGTGTCTTTCGACGGCTGCAGGTGGTTATAGTTATATTCTCCTTTTGAATTCATGCCGGGTGTTTGAGATGTGCTTGGTACGTCGGGATTTGCTGTTGTGTAGTAGTAGTTATTATAAGCATTGGCAGTATAGCTGTGACTGTATTCTGTGTAGTGTGTGTATGGGTCGGCGTGGCTTTGGATCCCCAAGGGATGAGCATATTCAGGGGTAGTGCCATGATGAGGGTTAGCCATATGTTTGCTAAATTAATTTATAAATTTTTAAAGGGTTCGTCTATTATATTTATATGCTGATGTCGGACCTCATCGAGAAGTCAAAAACCAGGTCCAAAACTCGATTTGTTGATTGATTCTGCATCCGCTCAAGTAACTGGAGAAATTTAGACTGCGGCTGAACGACTATTATACCCAAGTCAACATATCTACATAGGCGCATATTCAACGTCGCAATAGTAATGCTACCTATTATAGCGCATATCAATCACCCAATTAGACTAGCAGGACGTTTTAGATGTTGGGGGCTAGAAATTTAAACCCTGCCGTCGACCCATCAGTCCATATAAGACCCCATTTTCAGGAACATCAAAGCAAGATTCTAGAGATGGCGAAATAATATAATGTATGTGAGTTGGTGAGTTTACCCCACCTATATATATACTATATATATGCATGCTTCAAACTATAAAGGACTATATACATCATACGAAGCGGTAACTATATACACGAATTTCCAAGAAGGCAAATTTAACGAACGATACAACCAGCCCTATGCTGTCCCTACCTAGTACCTAATCCACAATGACTGGCGGTTAATATGTGTTTAAGCCGCGGTAGTCTTACTCTTGGCGCCTGCGTCACACGTTAGTAGACGAACTAGCTGAAGCGAGACCCAGCTCGCTTTACAGAGAATCACAGGGGGTTTTACTCACAACTTATTCAAACGACAGGGGTGGGTGCGGCCCTGGTTTTAGTTACCAAGGTCGTGGGAGCTCTCGCCTTAGCCTTAGCGGCCCCAGATCCGGTGAGCGAAGCATAGACAGAGTCGAGAAATCCCGAGTTCTGGTACAGCTGTGACATATCCCACATCATCACACCGCCGAAGCTCGAGTATTGCTTCGAGAACTGGATGATTGGGTCTAATGTGGAGGCGGGTTCGTAACCACCACCAGCTCCCGTGTTAGCTGGGACGCCAAGGAATACTTTAACATCCTTGTTTGCGCTGGTGTTCTTAGCCCAGTCGTCCCAAGTTTGGAAGTTGAAGTTGTTCTGGGTCGTGGATCCTTGTGTAAAGGATGAAACGCCGCAGTAGTTGTTATAGAACTGGATCATGATGAAGTCGAATGAAATCGCGCCATTCAGCATGTCGTTCATCGCAGCGTCCGGGTACGGGCATTGAGGCGCCGCAGAGAGGTAGTACGTCTTGCTACTATCAGCATCCATGAGCGAACGCAGCTTGGAGGCGAATGGCACGAAGTTCTGAGTCGTAGATTCGAAGTCGAAATCAAAGCCATCGACGACGGCAGAGAGGAATGGTCTGTTGGGCTGGCTCGTATCTGAACCGAACAGATCCCATACAGACTGAGCCGCGCTCTCAGCTGACGAGCTATCTGAGAAACCACCTTCAGTGTATGTCGCTCCCCCGATGGACAGGAGGATAGTCTTTCCCAGAGACTGGCATGTCTTGATGTCCTCTTCCAGCTGCGGGCAGTTTAAGAGTTGGGTACCTGCATATGCCGTGCAGTTGTCTCCAGCGTTGGCAAAGTTCGTGATCGGGGTCTTGATGCCGTTTAAGAAAGCTATCGGGATGATCTACGAAAAATAAGCATGGTCAGTATATTTTATCTCCAGCTCAAGAATGTCCAAACTCCGTACATTAATCTCATCGTCTATAGCAATACACGTTAGCAAAAGCAAAGCCATATGGAAGGGTAAGGTTGGCTTACTTGAACAGTATTCAGCTAAGCGTTGTTGGGAGCTTGCTTGGCCGTAAGAGTTTTGACCTATGGTGATGCGTTAGCACCATATCAACCACGTTTCGTATTATCGTATAACTATACCCCAATATACAGCAACATTACTCTGAGAACTGCCGTCGAATCCCGCAAGGGCGGAGGGGAGAATGCTGGCCAAGGATGCCAGAGTCAGCTTGGAAGAAACCATGTTTGATATATGACTTTACTTGAGGCTCTAACTACCGAACAGAAGAGGACTGGTATGAGAAATGGTATTTAAGATTAGTTGACGGGACGCACATACCCGTATATATAGTTATTATTTCACATTCCTCATTCACATTCCCTAAGATCCATCTGCCCGTCGTCCGATGCCTAGATGACCGTCCGAACGTTACAAGGCCGCAGTCATCGACTTGCCATGAGATGACAACTAAACCCGTGCAACCAAGCCCATGACAAGCCGGTGTTGTATGTTAGGATCTTTACTTACACCAGTTGCCTTAAAGGTTACCCCAGAAAGATCGGAACCACCGCACGCGTCATCCAGCCAGTAGTGGTGGGCCGGCTCTAAGTTGACCTACGGAGATTACACTACAACCAACTACTGCACCAGTTCAAGCAGGTGATGGAGCCGCCGAATGCACGCGGTATACTCTAATCGCACGAGGAGGTAGTAGACGATGAGATCGGCAGGGATGTATCTGCGGACCGTTTCTCGGAGGAACATGGTATCAGTACCTGTCGAAGGGGGATTTATCCTATACAATATCCTATACAATATGCAAGCAGAAACCCGAGTCGGAAATGAGCTAGGGCTGAACTGCTGAACTGCTAAACTTGGATCTCTAATGAATCCCTGGCCCGCTCTAGGAATCCTATCCCACGGCTGCACCCGCCACGTCCACCTAAGACATACGCCGCAGCTCTAATCAAGGATATCGAACGTGTAAATATCACATTATGATGTTGTTTAACTTGTACCACTGTCAGTTACATCACAGGAGCGATAAGAACATTTTTTATTATCTTTCTCTAGAAACAGTTGACTTGCAGCAGGTCCTGTAGTGTGATGGTCCCTGGCATGAACAGCTTCCTTTTCGGGGTTAGGGGTTGAGAGCCCACGAATGAGAAGGTAGATTTTTAACAAGACCATGCAAGCTCTTAAGGGGGGGTTGACAAGGGCCAAAAGCGCGTCATTGCAACATTGACATGTCTTTTGACAAGCTTCCTTGTAACATAATCGGATTTTGAGCTGAGCAAGTTAAGCTTAATGCTCATTTCCGCTGGGCCTCTAGGACAGGTCACCGAAGTCATCTGAGATATAACCAGGCCTCACATTCCATGCAACATTCCCTTGACACAGGCATCCATCTGGATAACATATTGCCGTAGATAACCCCAACTCTTCACCCCAGACTCAAGCGCTAATAATAACTTAGATAGAAAACCCCAAGCTCCTAATCTAACATTGCAACGTTACTGTAGCGATAGCATCAACACTACCTACGGCAAACCTTACTAGGTACTACTTCCTCTTTATATACTAGACTAGGACGCCGAGGAGTAAGAAGTACGCACGTAAGATAGCTTCTGGGAGATACTTCCAAGCCCGAGGCAACCTCCCATCGCTTGGATAAGTGTTCAACCACATACACTATCTATCAATCAGTCGTCACATACCATGCCAGTAGTATCCCGACGCAGGCTGGGTGACTTGATTCCCTTTTCTTGCAGTCGGGCTGCTCGTTTTTGAAGTGTATGGTAATCTGGTCGGATATGTTCGGCATTTGTAATGCTATGGTGATGAGGTGCGCTTGTTATCAAGGTTGTAGACTCGACTAGTTCCAGCCTTAGAGCTAATGACGTGAAATATTTATATCGTTTTAATATAAGAATAACATAATCATATCTATGGCTATGCGAAATATAAGATTGAAAGCTTTTGGTATACCATAGGGGCTATCAACTCCGAAGCTAGTATAAGTTGACTCGGGTGCAGAAAAGTATTAACCATGGTTTGATACAGGATAATAACGATATAGGAGTTAGAGAGTCATTGAAGCTGGATACAGATACATATATAGCTTTAATTCAGTATTCTAGATATTACACTATAACTCGATAACAATGTATTCTACAAGGCATGTGCTAGATATCAATAACACCAATATCCATCTAGCCCTAGAGATTATAATCCTTACATCCTCCACTTTGGATGCCATTGTCCGCTAGGTCCTGCCATTGCCTCAACGCGAATCCAAAACACCGCGATACTAGCAGCAAAGAGTAACACTCCGACGAGTACCGCCATGTTAACATAGCCATGCGGAGCGAAAGCTGTACTCTCGGTACTACTCCGAATCAGCGCGCCGCCGACTGGCGTACCAATTAACGTAGCTAGGCCGCGAACCATATAGAGTACACCGTTGACAGAGGCAAAGTTCTGTATGCCAAAGATCTCGATGAGACTGGCGGGGAATAATGAGACGTACGCGCCAGCAAATAGACCATATAAGACGGTGAAGCTGATAAAGAGGCTACGTGAATTGTCTGTAGAGCCATAGACGGCCGAAGGAACCCAGAAACTCAGTGTAATGGCTGCGCTGATGAACGTGGTTAGGAAAAGCGTATTGAGACGGCCTAGGCGATCAGCGAAGTAGCCGATGACAATCTTGCCGATTGCATTACATGCGTTGCTAAGCGCGATGAAATTCGCTCCAGCAGTAGCACTATACCCAAGGGTACCGGCATACGAGGCGAAGAAGAAGACAGGAGTATAATAGGCGGCAGCTTGAAGGATAGCACCTAGCCCCTGAGCAGCGAACTTCCGCGTCTTGGCTACGCGCCAGTCGACCAGCGGCACGTTTAGGATACCTTGAAGACGACCTGTACGCGATGCATTCTCAGCGTTGATACGCGCAAGGGTCTGAGGCTCCCAGCTCATAGAGGCGCTGGATAGGGCGACCAAGACGAATGATACAACCCCGGACACACGAAGCGAATTCCGGAAACCGACGGAATCAATGAGCACCTTGATCACCGGTGCCCATACGAGACCTCCGACACCAGTCCCGGCCAAAATGATGCCCATAGCAAGACCCCGGCGTGCCGTAAACCAAACGGGCGCTACCGTCACGGCAACCATATATGGCATAGAAGTGCCTATACCAAGAAGCAGACCTTGCGTAAGCTCAAAATGCCAAAGCGCAGTTCCGAAGCTGGCCAAAATGAGCGAGAGCCCAAATATGAAACCGCCGATAAACGAAATCCAACGCGGGGAGAAACGCTTAGCCCAGGCTACCGAGAATGGCGCAATAATAGTCATCACCGAAATGGAGATTGTTCCAATGAGATCAATAAGTGCAGGGGTCGCGCCAGTAAAAGGAGTATTGGGCTGTCGTGCCATCCCGTCATAAAGTTCTTGAAATACACCGAAG